TTTTCTCGTGACGCCATCTTGTCACGCGATCCACATTCCTCGAAGACAACGGCTATTTAAAATCATTCCCTCTTATCAGAAGCTCATTACGCCTCGCTTTACCTAAGTGATATCTTGAGGAAATAGACAAAGTCGATAAGTCGACTTTTCGAGGGAATTTCCTCGATCCCGGTACATGATAACGAAAATAGTGAACACGGTTATGTCGGGATTTAGCGGGATTTTAGAAACGTTCATTTGTGCCCATAATTATGAAAGTGGTCTAAGTCATATATTTTTTGTTTCGAAATTACATTGAATTAATTTCGTTTGAAATAATATGCCGTGAAATAACTGATAAACTCATTTTTTTTTTCAATTTTGACTCAGACCACTTTCATAATTATGGGCACATTTATCCCAAGGAAATCGACTCGCCTATTTCGACCGCGCTTGCGTCGGTAATAACGAGCGACGAAAGACACTCATTACTCCCCTCGAAACGGCGGGAAATATTTAACGGGCATCGCAGAAACGTTGATTTCACCTTTCAAATTCATAATTTCAATCACGGCCACGCCACGTTTCCGCCGAGCATGGATTCAATCTCAGCCTTCTTTCCCTGCCACAAAGCTTGCGCCGGAAGTAATAAGAAGAGGGAGAATCCCTCTCGTCCCGACGAAAGTAAAAAATCTCCATAAATTAAACGTTTGAGGGGTACCGTGGGAATAATAAGAGCCTGATTCGAGGCACGATTTAAGGTGAGGTGAAACATCCTTCAAATCAGTCGATTCGAATACAACACTTTTTTTTAAGGGTATTAGACAAAGCTGTCCGAAACTTTGACACATCACTCCTGATCATCTAAGAATTGTCCTGACACTGATTAAAAATTTGGATTTTTCAAACAAATTTTTTAACTCAGTCCAGACCAGAACCAAAATGGCGTCGAGCTCTCATATTTCGATCAATATACAATTATCGAAGGCTCTGATATGAGAAAAGAAAGGGTCAGGACAATTTTGCGAGAATGTAGAACACTCTGGTAATCTATAAACTCGCATTTTAACGGGATAAAGGCAAAAAAAGTGTTGTATGCGCTTCTTTGCTAAAACGATGGGAATACGAGGTCTCGGAGTGAAAATTTAATTGACCTGGAAATCACAGATGGCGCAGGGGGTCCCTCCGCAGTCAATTAGGGCCCCAGAAGGCACGAATCCAGAGGATTTCTGGAGTTTTACTTCGATTTCTTTATAATTATTGTACGAAAACGACAGGTGGAATATGCCATTTGGTACAATACACAATATAATTCGACCCAGCTGTCAATATAAAAACCAACGTCGGCAACGTAGGCATTTAGAAAAATCTTCTTTATCGACGTTGATCAAGTTCCTCGACGTGTTTCACTTCACCTTAATTCTTCCAAAGATCCTCTGGAGTGGAGATGAAAGTGGTCCGATACAATATACATACATGTGAATACTAATTAAGAGAAAAAAATTTCTAAAAGTGGTACGGTACAATGTAAATATAAACGATACAATAATCATTATATAGAAGAAAAAGAAATGACGAAGGACTTACCCTTCGCAGGTTCGTCGAGGTGGCTCTTCCGAGTCTACGGATTCGCGAGACCCTGCGACCGGAAGTCGACCCTTCGGCGATGCGACGAATCAGCGGAAAGTCGTCCTCGACCTCCTCGTCGGTTTCGCTGCCGTTCCGGCGACTGTTCATACACAGCCTGTACTCCGTGGCGTAATTTTTCCCCGCCATTTTTGACGCAAACGACACAAAGCTCCTCGAATGAAATTTAATACTCGCGTGCCTGTCCTTCCGGAGTTTCCTCGTCTTCTGCCCCCTCCTCGAGGATTTAAAACGAACCGCTGAACAAAAGAACATAAATCGAATGCGCGGCCATGTTTGCGCCGATTAGGACGCCCAAAGTGGAATTCGTTACGGTGGGAAGATAACGATGAAAATTAAATATTAATACCATTTGGGGCAGGCTCTAACAAGGAAGGTACCTGAGGTGTCCCCCTCCGATTTTGTTCATTTTTAAATATGTTATACAGGAGTAAAACCTAAGGGACTCGTGTTTTTTTTTTATCGGCGGATAAACACTTTTAGGGGGTGAAATCTCTTTCCCAAAGGCGTAAGCATTATGCTGCACATCACTTAAAAATAAAGAAGTAATTTTGTCAATAATAAAAATAATTATTTCACTCGAATTAACTGGAGGAAGTGGGATGCGAAGTTTCTTCGAAATTCAGACGATTTATTTTAATTCGATCGAGTCGAGTAATTATTCTTAGGAATTAACGAAGCATTTCTTTGGTTCGATGGGACGGGTTTCGTAGAGATAGGTATACCACATACAGATTTAAATAATTAGAAGGCTTAGGAAAAAATAATTGCGTGTACAAATTCTTTGGATGAAATGATTAATTTACGATACAAAAATGGTTAAAATTAATGCTANGATTTTGTTCATTTTTAAATATGTTATACAGGAGTAAAACCTAAGGGACTCGTGTTTTTTTTTTATCGGCGGATAAACACTTTTAGGGGGTGAAATCAGGCTCCAAAGTTGACTGTTTCATATAGAAGCACTCGACCGATTTTCATGAAACAACCGTCAAAATGTAGGGAATGAAGAATTATGAAACATGCATTTGGAGTTTCTCGAAGACATTCATTTTTAAGGGGTGAACCACCCCCTTATGCGAGCAGTAATTGTTCTATCCAAATGAAACTTTTTTTGTATTGTTCTGGTCTATAAATTAACGACGTCATTATTGCCGTCATGTCTCCTTATATACTACTTCGTGGCTAAAACGAAGCGTCCGTGAATTCCACTTCAGACGGGAGCGCGACGCGGCGAATCGAAACGGGAAATAAATTCAATCTCGAAGAAACCTCTCTCCGCCTCCCGACAATACGAAAGATGTAAACGCGATTCCATTGGTTTCCCATTCGCTCGCTCGCGCTGGAATCGCAGCTCCCGAAAATAGCATCGATTGCGCATCTAGGCTCGCGACAACCCGCGGAAGTAACTTTTCCCGGCAGCGCTCGACGCGCAACGGCTCGGCGGGGAATTAAATCCCACACGGCCGCTAATTAAATTCCTACGCAAGTTGTTAGCATTCCTCCGCCTAGTCGTCCGCACTTTCGCTCTTTCCAGTTTCCATGAAAGCCCAAAACCGGGGATTTCCGGACGCAGGAGAGCGCCCTCGATCGCCGACCTTAACGCCATCCTGGATAATAAAGTCGCGCGATAATGTCCGAACGGGCAATCTACATATTCATATTCGTTGGCACGGTTTCGAGCGCGCCTCGTGGTGTCGTTGCAAATTAGCCAGGCTATATGCCGCCGGCACTCGGTCGCAATTACCCAGGCCGAGTTATTTTCGAAAATAGAGGGATATTAAACACCGGATAAACGCGCCACGCGTACGGAACGTAGGAACGCACTCCTAGATGGCGCCACCACCGCGGAGAAAATTTTAAACTCTCATCGGGGGACGATTAGAGTTCGAAAATTCTCGGTAACATTAAATTGGAGAAGGTAACTGTGAAACATACCGTAAGTTACCGGGAACATTGAGAATTTAAGAGAACGTTAATTTTGTTATTTATACTTTAGGTTTCTTCGTTTAAATAACTTCTTTTTTCAATCAACTTCAAAGTTCAAGCTATAGAGTAATAATTACTATTAGAAAATATTGATTATAGGGTCGTATTTACCTCCAGCCAAAAATATTCACGTATGTACAACTTCACGGAAAATTTCATGCCATTTGTTTCAAATGAACTAATATTTCATTCTGCGAAGAAGCGAATAGGAGGTTTTTATTGGCTACGGAGAACGTACAACGGAAATTCCCCTCTACGATGTTTCTCTATAGCTAATCGAAACCTCTCGTTCGCTCTGTTGAAAAATCCAAATTCTCATAATTTCTCGATAAAAAAGGCTTTGGAGAAGTTACCGGGAATTTCTCTTCGTTTCTGACGTAACTTACTGGATTTAGAACTCTAGACTCCCCATGTCCACCGTGGCGTAATTAAAATACCCTAAGTAATTTACGCATTTTTTTTTACAGTAAATTACCAGATACTTTAGGAATTTCATACGTCATGTAAATTATACAAGTATGGGACGTTATGTTTCCGCAGTTCCTGATACGCTTAAAATTCAAGATTTTCTCCGAAATGTATGGAAAACTGGAGAACTGGAAAACGTAGCGGAGTAGTTGGTTGGAGTAAAGAACCTTGGCGGGTTATGCCTTGTACTTGCCCTGAAACTCCACCAAGCCTTTTCAACCCGTAAACCAGCGCCACGGTAGGTTTAGGAAATAAAAATGGTTTCGCTAAGCCGATCGCCCCTCGTGATGGATATATGGTGGAGTTTCAAAATTGAAGGGTACGATCGTGGTTGGAGCACATCGGACGCACTATTTTTTTTAACGGAATTTCTCATGGAATTGCCTGAATCATTAACACACTTTCGTTCCATGGTGAATCCGAAGATTGACCAGGGATCCTGGGTGCTGTGGAGGAATCAAGGAATGCTATCTTGCGCGCCACTTCGATATTCGAACGCCCTTTCCATTCGGTCCGGATGTTTCTGATTGTAGGGAAGGATGAGCAGAAACTCGAACCGACTTCGACGGCGAAGTGCTCGCGCCGGGAAACTGGGTCGCCGGTCGGATCGGCGTCGAGCTGCGGAAAATAGAAGCGGAGGAGGAGGAGCAGCAAGTGAAAGGAGATAGCCACCTTTCACCTCATGGCTGAGCGTTACCAAGCGATTGTCGGATGCTGGCTGAGTGTTTATCAAATGCTATGCTAAGCACAGAGTGCTTATCAAATGCTAAGTATAAACACGCTCGAATTGGCAGCTGTTATCGTGGTGGGACCTGGGAGATCGTGGTCTCCAATAGTTCGAGACCAGGTCTGCTAATAGCTGCGGCGTGGAATTTAATTAAGATTGAATTTCTCCTTCCGATGTTCGTAAAACTAAATGACACTCTATTCATATTTTATTTATGACATATTTTCAAGTTATATTAATTTAGAGTGAGAATACTTATCAGCGCGCATATGTTCTGTAGAAACAGAAATACGGTGACACATCTGTACAATTGAAAAAGATGGTATAATACGATAGGCACGATCAACGGTTATTCTTCTGTTCAAACTTCTCCCGCAGAAACCTCAGTCCGGCTAATATCTTATCTTCGTCGGGAACATGTCTCGATGAAGACTCACTTGTAGGGTATGCAACATTTCTTGAATCACTGATTTCAGAACTTGTATCGTTAAGGGATAACTGTGAAGAACTTGAAACGACGCATTGGCTTGTAGGAATGTCCGGCGGTGTGCTGAGTACAAATTCTTCCGGGAGTGGCACTTCATAATTTGGATCGTAAGGACTTTTTCTTTCTTCCTGATGCGTTATATTCACGGACCGAACAATATCAGGATCACTTGAACAACTGGCTGGAGGAGTAGAAACTTCGGGTAAATCTTGCTTCGCACCAACAGTTGAAGCGGATAAATAAATAGAAGCAGGTGTAACGATTTCTTCGGTATCTGGGAGCATCGATGTTTGTGCAATATTTGCTAAGTCACTATTTACAGTTACAATGCATTCCTTATTGTCTACTACAGTTTCATCGTCCATTTTACAGTCAGGCATTTCTGGCTCATTGCTAATTCCATCGTGACTCTCGTCACCACAGGACTCATCCACGTTAACTTTGTTACTATTTTCTAAATATCCTCCCTTCTTGAAGTTACTATATATAGGCCCGAATTCTTTCTTACGATCCTCTCTTCGTTCGTGGACCCATTCCTCTTGTGACATCTCATACCAGGTTCGCTTGTTCAAAAGCTTGCCAAATGCTTTTACTTTCTCCTCGACTGCTTGCAGACTGTCGGGAGATGTCTTTTCCGATTCAGTTCTCTCCATGGTAGCGCTAGTGGATGAGATGTCTGTTAATCTTTGGTTTACTTCTGTTTCTCCTTGCGGAGCACTGTCAATTTCTGGAACATCCGATGGCTTGCTCTGTGAATCCTCCAATTCCACTGATGTCGGTTCGGCAGGTAAACCAGCTCGAATTCTCTGACGTATTCTCGCTGCTTTCAACCGGTTTTGCTCCATTTTAGACTTTAATGTTTTAAGCTCTGTCATTTCTTTCTGCTTTTGCTTGGTCTCTTGCCTAAGTTTATTTAGATTTTCTTGTTGCTTTGCTCTGACCTCCTCGTCTTGTGAGAATGCATAATATCCAACGCCGTGTGTTCTGGCTTCATTAAAGAGAACATCCTGATAATGTATATCCTGCTTATCGGAAAGACGAACCATTTGTTCTTCCCACTTTTTACGCATTAATGCAATATCAGGTTCCTGTACAACGTTTGCAAGAGGAGCATCCCTATCGATGTGGTCGTCATCATTTTCAGATTTGGGTTTTTTCATAATTTCATTCTTCACAAAATTATCTTTGGCTTGCATCATTGGCAAGTCACGGCGCAGGCATTTTCTTGTACGACCGAAACAATCCTCATATTCAACCCATTCATCCTCTGGATCAGAAGGATCGTCCGACATGACTTCATCTATCGCATCATCGCTCTGTTCTTCCTCAGACTCATAAGGTTTATTAGCAAAGTCAACAAGGCAATGTGGATTAACGTTTTTACGTGACCTTCGCAAAGTATCGTATAACCTTGATTTTGCTTCTAGCATCAGCCTGGATTTTTTATGGGCTTCGATATCTTCCACATCGACCGGTTTAACAGCATCGTCTTCACGGTCTCTCTTCTTTTCCTTAGTTCGTTTTGTTTTAACCTTTGGGGCTGCTGGGTTGTGAAAATTTTCGTTCTTTTCCTTCGCATCTTTCACCTCTATTTGTTTCTTTAGTAATTCCGCTTTAAGTCCCACCAAAGAGGAAAAATTTACGTTTATCCTCTTCGTCGTGTTCATGATTCTAAAGATGCACTCATGAATTGTTATTAACGGCGGTTAAAACAATTGGTTAATGTGACAGAAGCTATAAAATAGAGTTACCATTTTACTTGTACCGTTTCTTCTTCAGTATTCGCGGAATTTCAGGAAATTTCGACGTGATACTGCGAAACTCTGTGGAAGACGACTGCAGATAATAATTTGACATAACCTATTCTCGTACAAAGTTTTATTGTAAATATATACACCTCAGTACTTTAGGTGTGTTCCAAAATGTTATTATATCTCTTCTCGACCAATGCGTCACGAAACGAGGTAAACTAGAATGGACTTTCAGTTCTGTATACGTAGATAGTTCATGATTAACCTCTCAAACATCACTGAGAAAAACTGGGAGATTTTCTTCATAAAAATTCACCGCCGTTCTCAGATCAACGTGGTGACCGCAGTCATAACCTCCAATATTAGGTTTTTTCACAAGTTAATGGCATTCGCTAGTTCGAATCTCAACGTGATTATTAAAGGATCAACTTTATAGAGATTTTACTTACTTCGACAATTAATATGACGAGATTTGCAAGGGCTAAAGGATCAAAAGCATCGAATGAACGCGTACCGGACGATGGGACCCCATGGCACGTCATGAAACAGCAGCTCCAAGATTCCTTAGCTGGAACAAGTACCACAGTGAAACCGAAAACTGCTAAACAATTATTGGAGGACAAGAGCGAACTGTTTTACTCTACCTCACGTGGAAATGTTAATAATACTTGGGCGGATTTTGAAGAGGCAAAATCAAAAAGTAGTAAATCCAAGAACATCGCAAACACAGATACTATAACATCTATGGGCAGCAAGAAAGAAAAGAAATTGATTGAAGTACAGCAGAGTAACGATTCGATAGAACAAGGTCTAAAAAAAAATGTCAAACATAAATTTAAAAAAGATAATATTAATATTACGAGCGATGCAAATATTAAAGTCAACGAGAAAAAATTGAATTCAGAATGTCATGTTACGGATGTAGTATCTAAATATCCTAAAGAAAAATCCAAAAAGAAGAAAATGAAAAGTATTGTAACTAACGATGGTAAAATTGTTACTGGGGATAACATGGTTGATACAAGTTCGAATAAAATTAAGTCTGAAGAAACTTGCGGCGTAAATGAAAGTAAGACAAACAATACCGTTAATGAAAAGAAACGCAAGAAAAGGAAAAGAGAAGCAAGTGAGATCGATCGAGGTAATAAGAACATAGAGAAACCTAATGGAAAAACTGACGTATTTATGGGAAAACGTAGCAAACGTCAAAAACGGAACCTAAAACAGAAGGAGAAACGTTTGCTGAATAATCAGGTTCCTGATACAAGACGAGAAACTACAGAATCTAAAGGTTTCGATGTTGCAGACAATAATTGGAACAATTATATCAAATCTGGGAAACAAGAAAAGACCATAAATGGCACTAAACCAGTATTCAATAAACGAGAGGTTTCGGAACACGGATCTTATAATGGCAAAAATGGTCATGTCACTAGGAAATTTCCCCAGGATAACAAGACTGATAATAACAAAAGGAAAGCCCCAAAAATTCGTGACGACAAGGAGCACAAAAGAAGAAAACCTGATTTAGAAGAAAATACTGTCATTATTAATGGTAGAGGGATACAAATTGTTCCGTTTGATAGGTTTCCAGTTTTGAAGGAAGATGCAGAAAGACTAAAAGCACTTAGGCAGGAAATGATAGCTAAAGGTATGACATCTCTTTTTAAATTATTAAATCTTGGTCTTTCATATTCATTTCACTTAAATTGTATTCAACTTCACCTTTTCTTTTCCCCCCAGGAATTCCTCTTTCTGAAATCAAAGCTGCAATGAAATTAGAAAGAAGAAAAGCTGAGAAGGCATTAGCACGGGTGAGAAAACAGGCTTGCTTCCATTGTCGCAAAGGAGGCCACAATTTGTCGGATTGTCCAGAACTCGATCAAGACGATGGAAGCGGAATTTGTTATAAGTGTGGCTCAACGGAGCATACCCATTTCGAGTGCAGAGTGAAGAAGGGAGATGAGTTTGGATTTGCAAAATGTTTCATTTGTCGGGAACAAGGACACATTGCTAGACAATGCCCCGATAATCCAAAGGGACTGTATCCGAACGGCGGAGCATGCAAAATATGTGGAGATGTTACGCATCTCAAAAAGGATTGTCCAGACTTGGAAAAAGAAAAGCAAGAGAAGATAATCACCATCGATACGATTAAGAACAATACCCTAGAATGTTTAGAGGAGGACGTTGCGAAGAAAGATTTAAATCCAGAAGAAAATAAGTCAAAAAGCAAGGTCATCAAGTTTTAGGCAGGTGCGTGAAATTTTCCGTAATAAATGTTCCATCAACAAATGGGAATTCAGGATTTATTGAAGATTACATGACTCGAAAATGTATGTACACACACGCACACTCCTGCCTGTAAAAGACCTTTCTCTAAGCCACTTTTGAACAGTGAATATTGACATTAAGCAGATACAAGAAATACCGTCGCAACTTTACAGTCTTTCTATCCACTTTTGTACATCTTCCTGGAAATCCAATTTCATATCCAATAATGTACATTAGATCGAATCGTTTCAAGTATTTGAAACATTTTTGGAAAGTCTTATGCGTGACTGTGACAAATTTCATAATTCTTCATCGAGTGCATTAAACAATATTACAAGTGATCGATTTAACCATTGCATATGCAGGATCACTTTTAAACATAACTGGCAATGTGATGCTAATCTACAATTTATTATACAGCTATTACTGCACTTTCTCATTCTCGAGAAAAAAAATTATCGATGCAGTATCTAAGCACCGACTGCCTTAATTTCTGTTTGTACCCTCAAGATACTATGATTTGTCCGTAGACCATTTGTAAATAATGTATTTTAAGAAAAATACCATTAACTGTAAAATACAAATGCTATGAATATATATCTATATATATACTTGTATTTTCACCTATTTTACATTTGTCCTTAAACTACTCTTTCTATATATAATATATAAATTCTATTCATTTCTCATATTAGTTCGCCACATATATTTCACGAAGTTCTATTATCATTCTGCGATACATACAGATGCTGTTATTGCAATGAATTACTTTTGTGCATAAGAAAAAAAAAAACTATATGCCTTTAGTCTAGGAATTCGCTTAAACCAAAACATGTTTCCATCTATAATTCAAACACGTCTACCCATAGAAAATCGGATCGGATTTTAAATGAGTACATTCTCAAGTAAATGTACAAAACAACGCCGCGTAAAGGTACGACTAATATTTGGAGAATTTCGTCAAAATAATTCACTCGACATATCCTTTATCGATCCCAATTCTCTTGACCGACCACGAAATTCTAAATACATATCGTTTACTTTATTTCTTCCCCACTACAGTGGAACTATACATATTACGGTAAACTATGGTTTTCACTGCCATACTCATTTTACCATTAGAAAGATGAACAATATCTGCATTTACGATTCCCTAGGAAACTGTACATGTACTCTAGTTTATACAATGCGAAAATGCAGAGATACTGCGATCAGACAGGGAGGTGCAATTCCTGGCAAATAACTATGTCTATCTCAGTGAAATGATATGACTTTATCAAACCCATTTACCTATTATCAAAGGATCAATAATCACTATATATATATAACGATCGAAATAAAAATAGCCTTTTTACTCTCTTGCATAATAAATATTTCCCGCAGCTTCTCAAGTGTAGAATGTTCAAATTTAACTTATAAACGCTCTCTGTCATAATTAATGGATTTTTTGACAACGATGCTTCTCCAAGTGCTGCGAAAGTGATGTCAAAGGACCGAACACAATGTCAATTTGCAGTAACTTTCGCCATCAGGATTCCAAATAAATTAAAAGTGAGGCTTACAACTAAATATTTCTCAATGTCTGTAACGCTAAATAATTTGTTTATACTTAATACTCCAGGCACCCTCTTTGACTAAGACTCAGCTACCCTCGTATCTATTTAAAATTCCTCTTACATACGTTCTAAGAAAATAAACATAAGAAATAGCACTTTTTGTACAGCTCGAACCCAACGTCTCGTTGCGTTGTAATCTTGACAATATCCAAATCACTCCTGCAAAATAGTAAGTAGCACACACGTGACAATCTTTAGTATGTCCCTTTCCCTTTAAAATGACACTCAAAAAAAAAAATCTCCAGCAGCGATCAGTAGTGATTTCTGACACTTCCTATTTTTCTACCTAAATTGAATCGAGTGTTTCTAAGTTTACAGGTTTCGAATGTATCTGTAACAACACGACTGAAGTGCCTTACCAGATGCACCTGCTAGGTAGCTTCTGCTTTGTGTGCTGATTCTATAATTTCCTTCAAACATCTTCCGAACTCTTCGATTATTAATCTCTGTGATGTCTCATCATCTAACATGTTACGTTCCGCCTCGTCTGCTTGTGCCATCAAGCATTGGCAGGTCATTTCAACTACTTTATCGGTTAGAAAGTTAAATGGTTGCCTGTAATAAAAGCAAATACATTTACACATGACCTATAAACATATGAAAACTTTATCAAACGATTCATTAGAAAAAAAAAAAAAAATATATGTTAACAGCAAAGAAACTGCACTTAATATAAATGGAGATATTTACCGTGCACCAGTGTTCGATGTAGCAGGCGGTCTAAATGTTACTTCGGACAATTGTTGCAATTTGGCCTTATTCAAACTAAGCTGTGCCGTTCTAACTTCGGCAGCTTCTGCGAGGTCCTTCAGAGACTTCTTTTCCAAACTTGGTTCCTCTATATTGCGGCAACCTATGCACTTACAATTAGCTGAACACGGAATTTTCGCCTGGAAAATAGAAATAAATTATTGTAGAATAAATAAAGTTACATCGAACCCGATAAAACAAAACGCATATTCTCGCACCTCGTAACACTCGCAGTAATTCTTCAAGCAGCCACTGCGTTTGCAGTTGCAGCCTTTATTATGTCTTCTAATATCATCACCAGTCTCTCGGCCTTTGCCAATCTTAGGTCGGAAAGCGTTTGGATTCCGTTCTAAGCAGGACTTAATAGCTCGTTGGCGTTCCTCTTCGTTCCCCAGATTGTTGGAACAGTTGTTACAGTTACACATGTGACAGAATTCCCCATTCGCGAAACAATCGCAGTACCTGACGAAGAACATGTTTAGAGGTTAACTCGGGACAAGTTCACGGAAAATTTAATATCACCGCTGTTATGACAGTATAAAACGAATATATGATCTAAAGGCATGCGTATTCTACACCGTATTTTTCTAGATTCCTAGACTGTCTATTTTTTTAAATGGAATATTGACAAAAGAGTAAGCCATTCTACACAGCAAATGCAACTTCAGGAATACGCTTGAAAACAAGTGAATATCAATAGTCCGGCAAGTTTAAACAATGCTGCATAGACGGAATATTATATACTCTGTTTCCATATTTTTTGTAACTTTATTTTACGATATTTCTATATTTTTTATATTTTAATTAAAGAGATATTTACTCACAGCTTCAGACATTGAGATTTGGTGCAATTGCATGGTTTCCTCGGTCGGATTCCATTAGGTTCGATATTAGAAAATGACCGCTGTGAACTTTTCGTCTCTGGAATGGTTCCGAGGGATATAGTATCTAAAGAATCTTGAAAACTTTGCGAGCTGCTCAACAGACTTGACGCTGATTGCTGAGATTTACCTTTCGAGTCGTCGGTGTGTTGCTACAAATAAGAAGTTACCAATGTTATATATCATGATAATATTTTAGTGACATGTTTCATCGACAGAGATTTTTACCTGTTGTTGAAGATACTGGGCTGGAAGAACAACAATATTACCAACATTAGGATTCGTGGAAAGAACCGCTTGGCCCGACGCTAGCTGACTTAAAGCCGATGCTGGAATAGCTACGGCATTCTTCGACTGATTACTAACTGTAGTTGCAGCTGGAATCAACAACCTCTGAGTATTTGTTGATAATGTTGCCTTCGGTGCCACAGTCCTCAGAGTTTGATTACTGCCAGTATTTAACGGAACAACCTAATATAACCAGCAAGATCGAAACATTACATTTGTTATTCTAAGGCTAATTAATTTTAACCTTGTAATCATTTTATTTACAGGCACTAACCTTAACAATCTGTTGTTGACCTGCAATTTTCTGAGCTACTCCAACCGTTTGCAGAGTAGTTTGAGATTTAGACTTGCCAACAGTCACTACATTGGTCGTATTCGAAGCTGGTGTGCTTACTAATCTTACATATTGCACCTGACATATGAATAATTTAAACATTACACTGATTGAAGAGTAGAAATATTAATACATATATTTAAAAAGTGACAAACCTGACGCCCTGGCATTTGTATTTGATGTATTTGGTTTCCGCCAGATACGATACTCTGATTAGCTGGTATCCTAATTACTTGTCCACTGCCAAGAACCGTTCCAGGCTTTAAGGAACTCTGAAAAGCCACGATTTAAACAAAAATTCGTGATTAAATAATAAATCTTAAGATTCTTTTCAGAACCTCAGAACGAGAAATCAAAATACCTGTCTAATGATAACTTTCTGTGGATTCTGTTGAACAGCTGTCTTATTTGTGATAGTCTGAGAATTGGAGATCGCCGTAGGCTTCACCTGAGACGTCATAGTCGGAGCTGGTAGGATTTTCGCTGGAGACTTTACTACGTTACTTGGAACTATTGTCATTTTTGATGGTTGTGTAGATGATGACTGCACCAATTTATTCACAATAATCCCCTAATAAAGGAGGAATTCGGTTTTAAACACAAATTTAAAAATGACATGACATCAAAATTAAACTCAATTTTTAAAGGTATCTATACCTGCTGTTTTTGTGGCGCCGATGGTAGAATGTGTTGTACTTTGCTGGACGTAATTAACCCCATCTGTTGAGCCTGCGCTAGTGTTATTGTTTTTGTCGGGGTTGGAACATTTTGGTTCCCAGCGTTATTACTTAAAAACTTAATTGTTTGTTGTTGATTATCATTCTGTGATGACGCTATCAAAACTTGCTGACCAGGCTGTGTTTGACCTCCCGTTAATATCATTTTTGTATAAACCTAAAGAATAGAATGTATTTTCAAAGTTTAAATCTGTCAAGGTCCACTAGCGAGTACTTCGGAGTAAGAAAATTTTAGTTATTAGCCTTTGCTTACATTTCTATTTTGTTGCCCCGTTTGTGCAGGTCGCTTCATTGTCGATTGTATTCCTTTAACACCCTGAACAGCACTGACAGCTGTATTACTTGCTTGGCTCGTTGCCATCACAGGTTTAGTTCCTTGCGCCGATCTTAATTGTACTATATTACCATCGGTTGACTTAGCCGTTATCAAAGTTTGAGCTAAAGATTGTAACTGACCAGCTGAAGCACTTGCCGGATGAGAAATTTTCAAAATTTGACTGGTGCCTTGACCACTCGCAGGAGAAACAATCATGATAGATTGACTCTGCGACGTTTGACATGCATTAGGTTTAACCTGAAGTGAAATTATCGAATAAAAAATAAAGAAGGTATACACAAAAGCAATTACTACTAGATAGAATAAACCACTCACTTGTATTGCAGAGACAGGAACTCTCTGTAACGTTGGCTTAGTCTGAAATATGATATTTTGACTATTCTGATTTGCCGCAGTATAAATAATCTGTTCTTCTCTAACTTCATCGGAAACGTCTGTCATTTCCACATCAGGCACGATGGTTTCTTCCTCGTTGCGTTCAATAACCAATTGATCCCCTTCTCTCGTCATAACTTCCTCCGCATTCATACATTCCAGCTCAGCTTCGATATTTGCAAAAGCTTCAAAATCATTGGAGGTATATTGCTCGGCATTGTGCGACAGAGACAAAGCGCTAAGATCGTTATCTCCGAGCGTCCTCGAATCCAGAGCCAGTGGTTCAACCAGAGCCCGAGCACCTTGCGTTTTATTGACAGACATTACGTGACTAATTCTTGGATGTTAGTTCCTTACTAAAACATAAAACGAGTAATTAATTCGACGAATCGGCACTCCGACCGAGTACTCGATAAACTAACATCCCATAGAAAACCAGAGAAAACTTGCAATTGAACATGGGCATCTGCCTCGAACTGTGTTTACATGACCAACTTTAACGCTAGAACGACCAGCAGATTTTTCTGAATATGAAGAGCCATTTGAAACAAGTCATTTTGACCCGTCTTGGTAGTTCTAACGTTAATCAACTACATGCTCCAATACTTGGCGAAGACCCACTTACATGGTTAGGTTAGAAATTCTGGGCTCATCGGGGTTAATTTTTAAGTAATTCCCACGCAACGCTAGCGCAAGATCTCAAAAATCATCGTAATACCGTACCGAGACGCTCTCGCTATTTCCCGAGAGGAGACAAGTAAACTCGTTCATTGGACCTGGATTTAAAAATTCAAAAATTCAAATACTTGCTATCTGGATCGACGTTCTTCATTTTTCGGCCACGACGAGGCCGCGCCGCGCACCATCCGAAATCATATGCGAGCGATCTGGCGCTGACTTTTCAAAATCAAAACGCGAACATTCGAACGCTCGGAGGAAATTCGAAGCGCAATCAACTGAGGCACATTAGCGCCATTTATTGCTCGAACGCGCCATTTTCCGTCCAGCGAAGTTCCCCGTCCGTCTAACGCTTCCCAAAGAGGTTAACTCGGCCGACACTCCGAGGTTTATCAGAAATCCGATTCGAGAAGACAAGGCGCGCGAGGCGACGCGAAACACGATTCGAAAACGCGTCAAATATCACTTAGGGACGAACTTAACCTACAATTCAGGCATCCGTACGAAGTGTATAGAGTGGCGGGTGGGGGCGTGCCACGGAATGCGCTTCCCCGGGGCAATGACACCTTCGTTACCCGGAGAATTGAATCGCACGGCTAATCGGACGTCGTTCTATCACATTATCAGGAGATTTTCGAAAATCGCGAGCGTACCTGAACGTCTTCTTGGTTTCTCGAATTTGTTCAAAATCACGCGCCCACCATTGCTGTCCCAGAGTGCACTGCGGCTCGTTGTGTATAAACAGACCCAAAGGTCGTTTCTCTCCTAAACGGCGTATTACCGGAAAACCGTTCGATTTTTCCGAAATCGCAATCCTCTCAAGCCTCGACGCCACCGTCTTCAAGATCTCCTCAACTCGAGAAAATCGCGCGCAAAGCGGGCCTATTATTTCAAGCACTTTGCAAACTTCGATTTCGCCATATTTTGCCCTTCCGCGGCTAAACACGTCAGCCTATCAGCGCCATCTTCGATTAATCGAATCGAACCAATATAAACGGTCTCGCGTTCTCAATCTGTACCCTAATGCGTTGATAAAATACTAATACCGAAGAGAATATTCCATTTGCGAATGTTTAGCGATATTTCGACTCTAGTTGAAGCCCTGGCAGAATATTGACGGTGTCCTAAATTAGACGTGGAAATTAGATTCGATATCGAATCACCAAGGGGGCTGTACTCCTTTTCAAATAGAAAGTCAGTAAAGCTTGCCGTAATAGATTAGCTTGCCATACATCGTAGTCGATCTCGGTCGAAAATAAAATCGGACGTAATTTCCCATATTCTATCTCATATTTCCCTTAAAAGATTAGGTGATAAGGCGGAAGTGAACCCTTGTCCGCTATTAATAAACGTTGCCGCCGCCATCTTACGGCAGTTTATCGAACCCACGTTTAAATGTCCGACGTTCCACAAAACGGAGGATTTTCATTGGACGATGCTTTTGTCACGCAAGAATTCATTAGAAATTCCTGTTCAACGTTTCCTCTAATTTTCCATTTCTTGGTCTTGAATAAATTACTCCTTAGAAAAATGAACAAAGCCCATCAATAGTGAGGGATAATATCTACAATTATCAGTAACATTATTTCACGAATAATTCTGCACAGGATCTAACGGAATGCCGAGTTCCTAATTGGCCAGATTTTGTCGAATATTTGGAAGTTCACTGCCCACGTTCCGAAATAGAATAAACAATTCACAATTTCAAAGATACATGTGTCTCCTTTTAATACATGGCAACGGAAAAGGAAGGAACGATGGAAGTGTTGCCGTGGAAATTCTAAAATATATCCGATATATTCAACGATATTATGTAGCGGGACAGTTGGCATGTCTCAAGAGTGGAGGATTTTTTTTCCATTAGGTGTCTCTCTCGCACTTGGGCTAGTTACACCTGCGAGAGAGATACCATGGTCTCTTGAGAGGACGGCGAGAGAACCGCATAGGTTAGCTCGGCATATCTGATTCTGTCGGCCACTTTCGATCATTTTCAAGCTCCATGTGCGAACCAAAGAGTATGGAAAGTCGCGCCGGATATTAATAGGTGAATTAGGTGCTACAGCGATGACTTTTGCATCCTCGAAAAGTCGGTATTGTCGTCCTTGTTTACCGGACAAACCGCTGCGTTGAGAAAGGAGATATTTTACTGACAGCGCCTTACTAGCGCTGACACGACCGAATCCATCGATGATTTTGAATCTCGACGGCTTTTGCTGACCTAATCACCACCGAAAACTTTTCCTGCTTTTTTTTTTGCAAAACACTCGGTAATAATGGTATTAACAGTGGCCTCTGTGCGCCAGCAACTTGCCAATTTAACCCGTTCTGGCGGCACTCATAAAGATCAAGCCGAAAGGTAATTGCAATAAATTTAGAAATAGCTATTATCCTTTGGAACGTTCTAATAAAGCTTATTGGTTGTAGGTATCGAACGATTTTGGATACCGTACTCGCGTCGGCAGGGGAGGAGCTTATCGATATCTTAAAAGTGTTCATCGAAGCAAGTACGTCACTTTTGCAGATACATTTCTTTATAATTCGCCTTGTAAAATCAAACCTTGTTCGATCGAGCCGTTACGTTATGTCATTGGTTAACAGTACTTCTAGTGAAAACACATTTCTTGGCATGAAAGTTGTACTTCGTTATTAGATATTTAATTCGTGGAGTTCGACGTATGAAAGTGATGATTATGTTTTATAGTTGTCAATGAGAATGTCAGTCTCGTTATATCCAGACAAGTTTTAACCGATGTCAGTAGCCGTTTGTTGATCCTGCCAGATGAAATTTCAAAAGCTGTTTCGCACTACACGTTAGACAAGGTAAATTGATTTTATATTCATATTTTACAGTATAACTTTTAAATGGTTTTTTTTCTTGTTTTCAGGTACAACCACGCGTTATTTCCTTTGAGGAACAAGTGGCTAGCATAAGACAACACTTAGCTGATATTTATGAACGTAACCAAAATTGGAGAGAAGCAGCTAACGTACTAGTTGGTATACCCTTGGAAACTGGACAGAAGTAAGTACGGTTTCATTAGGAATTGTAATGAATATCATATCTCAAACATAAAGCCTTAAAAATCAAAATTAATTTTAGGCAGTACACGGTGGACTATAAGCTTGAAACCTATCTTAAAATTGCACGGTTATACTTGGAAGATGACGATCCTGTACAAGCCGAAGCATTCATCAACAGAGCATCGCTGTTACAGGTTTTAACCGTTTCTTTAGTTACGCTTTGTATTAAAGTATTAAAGTCATTAAGTACAAACTTTTCCAGGCCGAGTCTAAAAATGTACAGCTTCAAGTTTATTATAAAGTCTGTTATGCACGAGTGTTGGACTATAGGAGAAAATTTATAGAAGCGGCTCAGAGATATAACGAGCTTTCATATAGATCTATTATTCATGAAGATGAACGAATGACAGCTCTAAGAAATGCATTAATATGCACCGTTTTGGCGTCTGCAGGTACACATCTTGACACATATAAAATAGTATTTAATACCTTATTAAATTAATTGATAACCTTGCATGCAGGTCAACAAAGAAGTCGTATGTTAGCAACTCTTTTCAAGGACGAGCGTTGCCAGCAACTTCCTGCCTATTCCATCCTGGAGAAAATGTATTTAGATCGAATCATTCGACGCTCCGAGCTGCAAGAGTTCGAAGCCCTTTTGCAGCCTCATCAAAAAGCGTGCACCATGGATGGGCTTGGATCAACGATTCTTGACCGTGCAATTATTGAACATAACTTATTGTCAGCTAGCAAATTGTACAACAATATCACATTTGAAGAGCTCGGTGCTCTGTTGGAAATACCACCGACCAAGGCTGAGAAAATCGCGAGTCAAATGATCACCGAAAGCCGCATGAATGGACACATTGATCAGATCGATTCCATTGTACACTTTGAAAGTAAGTATTGCTTTAGGACTCTCAAAACAAAAGGATTGAAATATACAACTTCCTTAGAATATGTCAATTCTAGCGATACACTTATAATCTTAAAAAAATTATTTCAGCTCGTGAAATTTTGCCTACGTGGGATAAACAAATCCAATCGCTTTGTTATCAAGTTAATCAGATCATTGAGAAGATTGCACAAACCGAGCCCGAATGGATCGCTAAAGTTATGGAGGATCAGATGGTGAATTAACATGCGGTTAAATTCGAGCAGAGCTTACTACTGTAATTATCGATACTTGAGATTTCAAGGATCGAAGAATATCAAAACCAATTACTTGGCCGACACAGTGGCTGAGATTACAAACTACGCTTCATGCTACACAGTGGAGAACGTGGCAGATGTTGAAACCATTTCTGGTTGTCTTGCAAATTAAATTGGATTCTCATGGACCGATATTTGGATAAATCGTAGTATCCAACAATGGACAGTTATTAAACAGTGTTACCAAATGTGGGAGTTCAAGAACACGAATATGTTTTCGTTAATCATACCGAGAGCACACGAGTCTGATAACTAATGTGACGTGCACTAGGTTGGTACCCGATGTTGCATCATATTGCAGTGAAATAAACGTAGTACTTATAAGATCGGTAAAAATTTATTCAGGTAATAAAGTATCTAAAATATTGCTAGTTTAAGAACTACTTGTATGCTACTCTCAAATTCATACGAAAACTATGGAAAAAAGAAAAAGTGAATGCCGTGGAATTCCTTTACGAATAAAGCACTACCACGCTTAACGTAACAATTGTGTGTCTCTCTTTATTTAAGCAACTATCCAAAAGCCACATGGTAGATACTACAAAGGTCAGTCTAAACATACAACTTGACAATGAATGTAATTGTTTCTTGTCCAGTCCCTAATCCTTAAGTTGAAAAGAGTATACTGTATCTATGGAATAAAGTATAGAACGAACCATAACCTGAAATTTGTACGCCAGTGTCTAGAGGTTCTTCGAGTGAAAGCAGTCACTAGTTAATAATAATATCGATAAGCTTCTGGGTACATCGTACCACTTTGCTACTGTTATCGATAGTGATTCAAAAGTGCAGTTTTGTGATCACATATATATACACAACTAAAGGTAACTCAAAAATGATAAATCAGTGGTTTTTCATTCCGTAGTTAAATCGAGCTTCCATCCACTTCTAGGGACTTCCCTTTAACATTCTGAACGATTCAAGTATTCATCGTAAGGAGGGCTGAAATTCACTTAGTTTTACATTAATTTGCGGAAATTATAAAAAATACTTCATCGGAGTATTTAACAAGTCACGTTGAGATCCATTAAGAACATTGCTTGTTCGCTTCTTTGGCAGCAGTGTCTTTTCCGTCAGTGAGTGGAAGCATTAACAACGTCAAGTAACTACATTTTGTTCATCGTTTTCTTTATTGGGGATCACTTTGAATACTGCTGTACTTTACTGAACGTGTATTTCTTTACTTTCTTCTCTAACTTCACAACTGGGATGTGACATGTCAACATCAGCGTTTCCCTATACCGCCGATGAGGCAAACAGTATCTCGAAAATAAAATTAAAATTAAAAACGAATCAGTACGGATTCTTTACACTCTCGTATATACTTCTTCCCTCGAACATAACCATGCGAGTTGTGAAAGTTATCGCCTTTCATTCTTCTTTTGCAAATAATTTAAAATAGAGCCATCCAATTTCAAGATAAATATGTCTACATAACGTTACAGGCGAATTTCAAGTTGAAGCATGTATTGCAGTGTTTCTTTCACGACATAAAAGTTATAAAGTAATCGTCGAAGTATCAGAAATGACAATTAGGCTTCGAGCTCTAATGCGAAACCCAACTTATGACCTCCAGAGCCGAAATTCTTCCCATCGATGTTCGTTGAAAGGGTTAAAGTAATTCCTATAATCAATGGGAAGTATTAGAAATGGTAATTACGTATCACTTAAGATAACAAACATATAGAGATCTTTTCCTTAAGCATTTAAGAAGCTTGTCTATCGATAAAATACTGCTGCATATTTAAACATAACCTCACAAATTAACATATTACCCCTTAAAGTTAATCTACTGCAGCTCATGGTTCATTATAGACCTAGCGGCATATTCTTAGTGGGGTAGGTCTTCTGCCAGGGGGTATGTCTACATTTAGAATGGCATATGCTACTCGTTATAAATAGCTGTGTTTTTATTATTTGTACCTTGCTCTTGGTACAACGAGTTTTGCATGCCTCAGACAAGGACAAATAACGACATATGTGTAACTTACACGGAATTTGCCAATATACAACAATCGCTTCAAATTTCTTTTTGTTACTGCAATTAACTTCTAGTGAATACCACGCTTTAGTGAGATCCATAGACAAGCATAACGTAACTTGACATTTTAATGTTTAACGAAAAGATCTAGATTCTCTCGTGAATAAAAAATGTACCAATGCACTTCTTATTACGTCAACATAATAAAGTCATACTGACCATTGCAGAGTTTCTGTTGATAACCCAAACCAACTTGTAATTGGGAATTAACCTTGGCTCTTAGACTTGAATCTTGATCAAGGTCGTATTTGGAGCCGAGTCCAAATTGTGTTACATTATTACTAGAATTCCATGCCAGATTGACCGCGCCTTCCAATCCGGGTTTCACCTTGTGATAAATGGACCCGCCAAACTCACAGCCATTTTCCCTAAAACCATCCAAGATAAAATATAGAACCGATTCCCTTCGCAATTCAAAAAGGAAAGAGAAAAAAAAAGAAAGGTCTTGATTCCTTGTCGATAAGTTGCAAGTTAACTTACACGGAAGTGTGAAGAGCAAAGTCGGATGCAGTGAATCCAAGAGCAAAGTTGTTCTTAGTGAGTTTACTTCTCTGAGAGTCAAAGGTTGCCTGGTAGCCAGCCAACCATCCTGAACATCAACAATAAACAATGATCAAAGCATTGTAATCCAATGCAGTAAACTCCTAATGTGTCATTATCTTACATTTTTCCTGAAACTTCTTGAAAATCGAGGACTAGGACAATCTCAGGATGGGAGGGAATGGAACAAAAATCTAGACACTGAGACGAATAGCTCCATAAGCATGAGACAACTACTGATTTCAGATTTTCTAAATAAAAGTGCTCTTTCAGGGTGATGTAAAAAAAATCGTAGAGAGTTGTATCAATTTCAGAGATAATATAGTCATTTACACGTGATGAAGAATTCCATTACGATGACGTAGGGAAAATAAAGAGCAACGTTACATACCCTGATATCCCACAACGGCGCTGGCATGAACCAAAGGACCAGTTGTGAGACTTAAGTCAAAATCGGCATTAGTGGACACGTGCTCATGTTTGTAAGTAGTTTTTAACTTCCCACTCTTACTACTGAAAACGGCAATAATAATTATGAATGAGACAGTGGATTAGATTTATTAATTGAAATTATGCCATATTCGAGTTTTGAAATCTTCACGCAATACAGACTGGATTAATTCAGTTACAACTCGTTCTTACCCAGTCTGAGGAGAAAATGTACAGCTATAACCAATGCTAAGTCCCTGAAGTAATTTGTCTGCGATGATTATTTCGCTACCAAGCGTATTGTCGGTGTTCCACTTCTCAGAGAAGGTAAGTCCATATTCCTTTATTTTATATTTTGTCTCAAGTGCACCGAACACCTTCCCTGAATCTTGGTTGGAAATTCCACCACTGTTAAACTCAACACCGGATGCATTTTTGGTTTTCACATCCAGTTTAAAAAGTCCAAAATGGTAGCCTTTAGAGAATACATCTCGGGCGCTCTTGCCTAAATCACCATATGTCGGAGGAGCCATTGCCTGTAGATAAGACAAATCAAAATGAAGTGACGAATTAAATCAAACCAATTTACATCGATAACGTACTTATTTCACCGTTGACTCTAAATCTTTAATTTCTCTTAAAATTGTAACTAAAACAGTGTTTAGCTTAAGCTACTAAATCCCTTGAAAGATAACTTTAATTTCGAAGTGTCACAAGCTGATATTGATCCATGCATTACGATACCACACCCGAAATGACCAAACCACACGCCAAGTCTGCCGAAGACTTAAAATCAGCTATTTCTTGAAAAACTCCTCGCTATAATTCATCCTAACCACCCTAATTCTCCCTCGATAGTACAAAATTACCCCGACTTCCCTGGAAGATTACATAAGACATACATAATCCATATTAATCTACGAATGGAAAAATTTCCAATTCTCACCCCCACGGTACCATTAATTAATGAAATAAAATCCATACAAGATCCAGAAACAAGTAGGTTCAAGTTAACGACCATTTTCAAAAGCTACCTAGGAACCTTGACCAAACATTATCGAACAAAGCACCGACACGGAGTGTGTAAAACCGAAGCATTAAAAGATCAATGCCCTTATTCCAGTGATCATTGGCTGCTAATTTTCCCTGGTACTATAACTGAAACAAAGAGCGCTGATCCGGGATCTGTGAATAAATATATCGGCATCATCCCCAGAAAACATGCGGCGTCCTTTCAGGGCGAAATCTCTCAGTACCTTGCCCTAATAATTCACCTCAACGATACCAATTTGCCGCAGCGGTGCGAAGCGGTATTGACCTGTCCGAGGTGTTACATAAGGCGTAATTCCTTCTCGTGAATTTTCCGACTAACCTGCATGCGAGAGTCGTTTATAAACCCGCGAGATACAACCATTAATTCGAGTCCGATCAAATTGACATCAAGGAACGGTCCATAAAATCGATGTTTCTCTCCCAGGGAGAATTTCCGACGAGGTCGTCGGCGACATAGCCGCCGCGAAGACCGGCTTCGACATCGACCTTTTGCCCTCGAATAAACGCGATTTTCGACAAACTCGCCTCTCCTCGCGGGGCCAGAGGACGAAAAATCGTTTCAGGGAGTTAATTTCCTACTTACGTGTGTCTTTGAGCGAGGAGATCACCAAAGAATTGCCAACTCCGCGGAAGAACGACGCGTGCGACGATGTGCGAGAGCGAACGGTGATCGCGACGAGTTGCGGCTCACTGCGCATGCGCACCCATCCGTGCAAGACCGTCTCCGGGCAAAGGTTAAAATTGCAGATTTCCTCAAATTGTACGTGAAATTCGGGTACTTAGGGAGCGGCAGCCATTTTTCCGCTCGTTTTAAGCCTACGGGAGATTTAATCGGTTTTTTTAAACCGGTCACCGTGATTTACGTAACCTCGAAGAAGACCACCACCGTAGGCGTGGAAGGCATCATGGCTTCCGTTCCGAGGGAGAATTTTCCTAGACTTCGAATTACGCCCATAAAAAGCCATAAACCGAGTCTAGAAATTAGCGGAATTTTCTGTGAGGTATTATTCAATATTATTCCGTAACTTTTATTTCTCTTTTGTTTCAGACGTGCGGAGAATATTCAAATCGACTACGCGAGTCATACGAATGCGCGAGGTTATGTTCAAATTTCGAACGAGCCCTTGGAGGGACCCCACGTGAACATTCACCTATGTTTAAATAATGAAGAATTAATTTAACGTTGTAATAGATCCTGAGATCTCGAAAAAGGACCAGTGATCTATTCCATTAATCGCAACATTTTCGTTAGTTTAGTTAATTTAATGTCATACGCTCACACTATTTTATAGCGACTGTAATGAATTGGAAATCTTTCAAATAAAGTGTTTGTCGAGCTGTGGTTGTGAATTATTATATTTATTATATTATATTCTTTGCGCGTCTTTTTCTCGCTGTAAGGAATGGGATGGTGACAGAAAAGGGGTTTTTGGAAGCTTCTGTACGTTTCGAGATCCAAAAATACATGACCAGTCCCCACCCTAAAGAACGAGAATGTCTTATACACCTCGAAGACGGACCTGTGGATCTCTCTGGCAAAGTCTAGATTGTGCCTTTGGCAGAAGATCCGCTGGTATTTTTGTTAAGACGAATATATAAAGGGAACCGAGGACTCGCTAGGCGATTGATCGAAGCCAGCGGACGCGCTCGGTATTAACTTAACAATCGATTGACAACGAAGAAAACGATCAATTAACAACGAAGAAAGCATTCGGAAGCTCGTCGGTTCACCGCCAATATGACGGATCTAAGTTCAGTGAGTGTCATTGTCGGTTCAACAGATACATCGTCACTTGATTAAACATTTTCATAATCACAACGCATTCTAATCTACCATAATTACATGCAGCAAAGTGCAGCAGAAGTGGAGGGTCGGTCCACCGAGACATATAAGGTCGTTCAAAGTGACAAAGTCGGAAGGTGAGCGAAAACGTGACAAGTATTACAACGTTTCACGATTGACCATTCTTAACCTATAAATATCCTCTTAACGTTTCTCAGTACTCTGCAATTTTAACAATAAAAGCGAACTCTACAAAACTCAGATTAATCGCATGATATATCCTGGGATTTCTTGTCGAGAATGGAAACAGGTAAGAATGATTTGCCAATTACAGGTAAAGATTATTCATGTTTTCAGGTATCTCGTAGCGAACAAGGATTTAGAGCCTGGTGAAGAGATTTTGACTGAAGTGCCTTTTGTCGTGGGACCAAAAGCGTTTTCTTATCCACTGTGTCTTTCCTGTTACACCCCATGGCCACCGTCGCCGGATAATCGACCTCTTTGCACGAAATGCAGCTGGCCAGTTTGTGGTCCTGAATGCGAAAATGCACCTCAACATAAAGATTTCGAGTGCAAGGTGAATTAAAATAAATATTGCCTAAAAGTAGGAATAACGCAAACGACTGTACGCAATGTCTTTTCCAGGTTTTTGTAGAAGCTGCCGAGAAGTTCAACGTGGAGGCGGCTCTTCGGGAAGATCTAGAAAACGGCGTCCCACAATTGGAGTGCGTTACGCCTCTCAGATTATTATTAACATCCGAAAGTGACAAGGATAGATGGCTCAAGGAAGTTAAAAGTATGGAGGCGCACAATCAGCAGCGGTCTGGAAAAACTCAGTGGAAAACCGACCACGTCAACATTGTGGAGTACTTGAGAAAACGACTAAAACTTGATAGGTAAGACTTCTCGCATTTTTCTTTAAATTATCATTTTCAGAGATAACTAAATGCACATTGTTCGCATAGATTCTCGGAGGAGGAAATTCAGACAGCTTGTGGAATACTGGAAATTAACTCCCACGAAATTAGGGTTCCTGATGGATACAGTGCGAGGGCTCTTTATCCCTTGGTTGCCTTGATGAACCATTCGTGTGTCACAAACACGATACACAGTATTTCTCCAAGTAATTACAAGTAAGAGCGATGTACTATTTTTCTTAAGCTCGATTATACCACGAGATACGCGTTTTAAATATAATAGTCTCGCCCTAGCTTTTTTCTCGAGGTATAGTACGTCATCAAGCGATACGTGGTACAAGAAGTTGCGGAAAGAATGCAAAATATAACGAAATGAATCCTGGGACTAATTGTGCGGCTCCACATTCGCAGAGTGCAATTAAGGACGACCGTGAAGGTTCCCAAAGGTAGCCAGCTGTATGGAAGTTACACCCACGCCCTTCTTCCAACGCTATTGCGGAGGGAAAACCTTCTGGAGGGGAAACACTTTTCTTGTGCCTGCTCGAGATGTTCCGATCCCACGGAGCTGGGAACCCATCTATCATCGTTAAAATGCAACAAGTGCGACAACGGACTCGTCTTGCCTCTGGACTCGTTAGGTGGATTGTCAATCTTCTCTCTAGAATCCTTGAAACCTGTCGACGCCACCTTTAAGACCGCACAAGATAAACAAATGCGTACTCACCCGGGTGTTCTTATTTTCAGACGCCGAGAGTCCGTGGAAATGCACGCATTGCGAGTTCTCGACTAACGGACAGGCTGTTCGCAAAGTGTTCCAGATTATTCAAGCCGAGGTCGAGGCCGTCGAAGGGATTTCTGGAGACGAGGGTGCCGAAGCCGTCCAACAACGGGAGAACGTGATTAAAAAGTACCATTCGGTCTTGCACCCCCGACATGCTTTCCTTACCATGTTAAAGTACGTCTTCCTTTTCTTTTCTTTTCCTAAAAGGAAACTCTTATTACATTCTAGACCTTCGCATTGAAGTAAGCATATTTTTCAGGCTTTCCTTGACTCAGATGTATGGACGTGTCGACGAGTACGCTCTGGATGATTTACCAATTGTTGTGCTGGAACACAAAGTTGAGATGTGTCGACAAGTGCTTCAAGTTCTGGACGTTATCGAACCAGGCTACTCTCGTGAAAGAGGTAGCTTCCTGAAACAGTTGGAGTAGAATTTATTCTCCGGCATTTATGCGATGTGTTTATATTCTGTATTCTTTCCCCCAGGTATTACGCTTTACGAGTTGCATGCCCCACTTATCTTCATTGCCAAGGATCTCTGGAGTGCCGGATCGATCGACGATGTCACCTTGAAGTCGAAAATGACCGAAGCTGCGAGAGTTTTAAAAGAAGCAGCTCAAATTCTGAGTCTGGAGCCTCCAGATACGCCAGAGGGTCAACTTGGAATAGCTGCCACTCAAGCTTTGACACAACTTCAAGAATCCATCGAAACTCTTCCCTCAGCTGGCGATAAATAATTTTCTTCTTCTAACAAAACTTCATATATTCACATCTCGCTTCTACAAAAATCCTGATTCGTAAGAAGCTTTTTGTAACACTTGCCATGGAAATAAATGATTTACTCAACAACCGGAGATTTTTCCTGTACCTGCATAATGTATAAGGTACCTATAACAGGGCGAATAAAATAAAGTATTAATTATTGCAAGCTCCTTGTCGATATTTCAATTAGAAATATTTATCGGGGTTGCATGTGTACGAGGATTCTAAGTGAAAGAGGGATCGATCAAGTGGCGGTACTTACATTTCTAATTTTATATCTAACTTAACGGCTTGCTGCATGCACAAGAAGTTCCACATTGGGACCCGATTTCTATAAATATCCTAGGCGAGTTTATACAACTTGATTGCAGTTCTTGCAACCCTGCCGCTATAAAGTGGAGAGGAAAATGACGCGTCGGGTGAAATATAGTGGAATTTTTTTTTAAGGCCCTAATTAAGTTTCATTATAAAAGGAAATACTCAAATAATGATCAGCGAAGACCCGAAGGATATCGCAGCGATCTCGCCGAAGTACGAAATCGCTCATTCCGACAAACTTGGAAGGTAAGTGTCACGATAGTACTTTACAAAATTGAATTTACGTCCAAATTTATGCACGACAATTTAGATACTTCATAGCGGCAAGAAATCTCGCCGCAGGAGAAGTTATTTTAAGGGAAGAACCAGCAGCGGTTGGACCTGCGGTTTTTAATAAAAATTTAATCTGCTTCGGTTGCCTACGATCCCTGCAGCACATTAAAGTTCCTTACACGTGTTCGAAGTGCAATGTCGCATCATTATGCGGTCCTAATTGCGAGGCAAGTTGAAGTAAATTTCGTTGAAAAGAAATTCCCCAGCTCCACACTTATGAAAACTTCAGAGTACCTTAAAAGTAAAAGAAACGGTATCGTTAATAAAATAGAAGACCATATTTAGCGGCAACACGTCACACCTCAGACATGCTTTAGTGCTTGTTCCACAATTAAAATACTTACTGGAACGTGTAATGAAAAATCTCGGTGCTTTAATTACAGTCACGCACGGGTCATCACACTCTGGAGGAATGCGAGGCCTTAAGGAGCAATAAAAACCTTTCCTCGAATGATGTTTCCGCTATTCTGCAGGTTTTGCTACCTCTTAGAATTGTGTTCCTCAGCAGAAGAAATACACCGTCTTGGGGGAGAATTAATTCCATGGAAGCTCACCTCGAGGAAAGAAGAGGAACTGCGGTTTGGGAAGACCGAGAAATTAACATTATCTCCGTACGATTCGTAGTAACTTCCCATTAATTACCTCGCATTTACTTGTCTATCAAGAATGTCGTATTCTGCAGATTCTTCGAAAACTTCAACTGATCTCACCCGACGAGGACGATTCAGAATTCTTGCAGAGGATTTGTGGAATCTTGGACGTCAACACTTTCGAAGTTCGACCTCCTGGAAGTTCGGATGAATCTTTGTTACGTGGATTATATGCAAATGCAGCGTTGATAGCGCATTCGTGTTTAGGGAATACTCATCTTACAGTTGACGATTCGTTTTACCTCACAGTCTATGCCAGCACATCAATCTCCAAGGGAGAAATTATTTTCTTCAATTACACCTCGTCCCTGTTGGTTCGTTTGGAATGAACTTAAACATGATTTCTGAATGAAGTGACTTTCTGCCAATTTTCAGGGAACCATCGAGAGGAGAGAACACTTGAAAGAAGGAAAATACTTTGAATGCAAATGTTTGATGTGCGAAGACCCTTGTCAACTCGGATCTCATATGAGTTCCCTGATATGTCCAAGATGCAAAGTCGGTTTTGTGACAATGAAATTACCAATGGCTACTGTGCCATGTGGTAAAAAAAATGAATGGCAGTGCCAGAGCTGCAAAAGATTATTTAGCGATCGCCTAATTAGATCTGCTTTAGACTTAGCTCGTCCTCTTGTCGCCGACACTGAAGACTGTAATTTTAAGGTTAGTTAAATACTACAAATTACTCGTTTTAATTTCATGACAATTCTTCTATTAAAAGAAATAAATGTACACTCGAAGGAAGGAGGGCTCACCCTTTTTATGTGATTTCAGGAATTAGAAGTCAGATTAGCCGACTTGTCCAGGACATTTCATGGGAACCATTATCTCATGCTAATGTTGAAGCAAAAGTTGCAGGTTCTTTATCTTCAACAAATTGTGTCTTTGAATCAAGAAAGAGAAATCCTAGAGAGGACGTCACGCTTGTGCCAGGATTTGCTTGATGTCTTGAACATCGTCGAGCCTGGAATATCACGACTAAAGGGTGATCATTATTTCGTTAAAATTAAAAACATTCTATGTGGTGTATTAAATCATACATTTACTTTTCATCATTTTACCAGGAATTACTCTGTACGAGATACACATACCTCAAGCGATTTTAGCAGATCTTGATTACGCCGATCAAGTGATCTCTTTGGAGGAATTAATCGATCGTCTTGAAGAAGCCAAATTAACACTTAAAAAAGCGCTGAGTATGTTGCTCTTGGAGCCGAGCACAACTCCGGAAGGTCAACTTGCAAAGCAGGCTTTAGGAGAATTAAAGACCCTGTCGCAGAAAATAGACGATATTAAATCCTTACCGCCTGAGAAAAATAAGTGACATTTCTCTAAATCAAAAGAACGTGGTTCAATGTTGTGTTTTAAAATTCGAATTATATTCGAACTTTCAAATTCTCCCGCCAATGAGGGCCGTCAGTCCTCGTGCTGATTTCGATTTCCATTTTTGAAATACAGTGCATTGTTACAACGGACGAATTTGTGTTCTGAATGTCGCTTTTTACATTTAGGATATCGTAAATAAATTTCAGAGTTTTCTGATTTGTTTTTTTTTTCAAATCTGTTGGGTTTCTTTGTGTTGCCTGTATGAATACAAAATGGCGACTTCCCTGAACCGCCAACCAGAGATGAGTTGGGAGATTGCTCACGGGCTGTGTCACGCGATCACGTTTTGTGCTGCCCTCAGTGGAGAATGCCGACGGTTCGTGCACCTGCCACCTGACTCCCTACTCATTTCTGATATCAAGAATGGAAAATGTTGTGAATGGTTATTTGACGATTGTTCAAGAAATTGATAATGGTTTAGCGAAAGCGTCCAAGCAATTTACAGCAACGATGATTGGATCGGAGAAGTAAGTTGGAGATACGCATTTCTGATGGTTTCAATGCTTGAAATATGTAAACAACTGAAATAAACATAACCTCTCGCTGGAATTATTAGCTTATATTTTCTAAATATTCTAGGATTCGACGGAACACGCAGAAGCACTCTGCAAGGGCAGCTGCGATGCTTTTGCAAAAGCAAAGACAACTGAAACAGAAACAAAGCAATGGTAGATCTGTGAAGATAATGCCACCGTTGTCCGTAGAAAATTGGTGGGAAATATTTGTTCAAGAACGTTACCCAGATGAGAGGTGCATCGAGTGTTTCAAGTGTTCACGTAAAACTTATATATATCTTACTAAGATTCTGCGTCCACATATAAGGCCAAAGGTTGGAGTGATTCCACAATTGGCTGCACTCAACATGTTGAAAGGTATAAAGAATTTTACAAATACTTTTCATAAATGGCGTATCTGTTTTCATGCTAAATATACAGGAGCAATCCATTTGTAGGGGTTAGCGTGGAGAAGCAAGTTGCCGTTATGCTTTTTAAGATGGCAAGGAACTCCGATTATGCAGTGGTTTCGGGCATGTTTGGTATCCACAAATCGACGGTGCATAAGGTTTTCCACAAAGCTATTAAAGGCATAAACACCCACGTTTTAAGGAAAATCATTAATATGCCGAAAGAAGAAGAGCTACAAAAAATAACGCAAGAGTTTGAGCAGAGACATAGAATTCCTCAAATTATCGGGACTATCGATTCGATCCATATACCTATTTGTCCACCTGCAGCAATGGTAGATAAATTTACCAATTCCAAGCAGTATTCGTCATTTGTTCTACAAGCAGTAGTAGATTCAACGTCCTGGTAAAACATTCAATTATTACTGTAAAATAGATTTAAAGAAAGGTGTTCTTTTTCCTTGACAATTTGTGTTATATTCTTTCAGTTTTCGAGATATTAGCATAAGGCATCCTGGCAGTATTGACGACTCTCTCGTTTTAGAAGATTCAAATATCTTCAAATTTGCGGATCGTGTAATACCACCGGTAAATGTTAACTTGTTAAGATTATTATAATGTACTGGATGTTGATCTTAATAAAAATATTTTTACAGACAACCAGAAACGTGAACGGTGTGGATGTTCCATATAAGATCATAGGATCTATAAATTACCCTCTACTATGGTGGCTTTTAACGGGGTACGACATACCGACGACTCAAAGTGAACTGCTGTTCAATGAGTACATGCAGAAGATAAATGACTACGTGCAAGTGGCTTTCGATCGGTTAAGAGCTAGATTTATAATTCTCAGTCAGTCAATTGACGTTAGTTTTAAATTAGCGCCACAAATTATAGCTGCGTGCTGTGCAGTTCATAACATCTGTGAAAGGCACGAAGACCTTTTTATAGAGGACTGGTTAAACGAGGCCAAATTATTTGCTGAAAAATTCCCTCAGCCAGACAGAGAAAAAGAGATAAAAGACTTCGAATCTCCTATCATGGCACACCGTGACGCGTTAAAAGACTATTTTGAAACGCAACTCCTTCTAGAGAATGCATCGTATGGGTACGTCGATAACGAGAACATTGACTTATTAACCGAGCAAATCGAGTAACTTACTCCGTATGGTGAAATATGAAATATTTCAAGCTGTGCAAAGCGGTGCAGTCTCGTTTATTATTTTAACTTATAAAAATCCTAATTTACTGTTACCTAAATTTTAATTCTCTACTCTTAACCTCGTACATAGCTAAGAGACCTAGAATTACAATCGACATAACCGAGATCCAGAAAACGTGTTAGCGGTTTTTAATTCCTTCGGCTCACGTCGAAACAATGTAAATACTTAAAAGTAATTTATACAAGGGCATCATCCATCTTCATTAACTCTGCAATAAAAGAAACGCATCCAAGTGACACCCTGCAAGGATTTTGTGCACCATGATGTACGAACCACAGTGTTGCAAGTGACCGTTGGTGTAAAGTGTCATAAAAAATATAAAGTGAGCCTCGGGTGGTGCTTTAATGGGCTTCGGTGTAAGTAAGTAGAGATCGATGATCCCAGTTTATTAACCTAATTATTTGTCGTATGTTAATTTATTTAACAGGGCCGTTGCCGCGAAAATCCCGAGAGTGTATCTGTACCTGCCTCGTTAACGTCACTATCTCGCAGGTCGCGAGCACTCGCCGACAGGTGTACACAACGCAAAGGTATTGCGCGTACTCTTGCATGTGAGGACCTTGACAAATACACGGGTACCGAAGCGGTAACCAGTAGACGGAGTCCGACCATCGGGAGCCGTGCACGTCCTCGAACTTCCTCCCGTTATCTCCGCGATCCTTATCAATCAGAGATGCGCCCCGAGGGGGTCTGAACTGTCGCGACCCTGGGGGTGTTTTTCTCCTGAGAGTTTTTTACGCGCCTTTCATTTTATTCCCGTGGACACAGGTGTAGGAGAGTGTTCCAAGTGATCTCGAGCAATGTGTCGAGGAATGAGGCTTTTGACATTAACATCAGTGCTGGTCCTCGCCGTGGGTCAGGACCATCCCTACCATGGCAACCCGGATGGCATCCTCTTCCCTGGACCCATCGGCAGGAAATCTCAGGGAATTCCTGACCTACGAAGCAGGACCCAGGAGAGATCAGCTGATTCCAGTGATTTATCGGTGAGTGTATTTTTAATCCTCTAATTTAGTCCACTTAACAATGGAAAAGCATTGAAAGGAATTTTAACTGCATTATTAATCTACATTTTCAGGGTGCGGTGAATTATTCTTGGAGTTTTGTATATATGTTTGTGGAACGAGGGACTCATAAATTATTAAAGCAACCTCGATATATTTTTATTATACTAGTAATGTTTTTATTATACTAGTAATTCAAGAGACAGAAAACGTTTATATGCCTTTTTGGATAATTGTGGAAATTTTCGCCCCGCCCTGTTTGTTATCTAATTATCTGACTAGTTAATAGATAAGTCGAAAATTATTGTATTGTGTGTGTTACACCTTCGGCTTGATTTATTCGACTATTTGACTATTTCCTGTCAAAATTGCAAAATCTATAAACCGGTCGTTGGGATTAATGCGACGTTCAATGTCGATTGGAATAGTGTCGAGGATACCGGACGACTAGAGCACCTCCGCAGTCCTGCCTCATTTTTTATGCTACCGGCGATCATTGTAACGTTGCCTTATTGTGACAGCGGCACAATAAACGATTGTCCGGCAAAGCAATCGTCGCGGACTACTCGATTAAATAAGGCCGAAGAGAGAAGGACAGAATACGCGCCCGAATTTTTTTCCGTATGAATTGCTCCTATAATCCGGTCGATCGATCACTATCGATCATTTATCTTATCCAGAGATTGTAGAACGGATGTATGTGGAGCGATCGGCCATTCACTGCGTAGTTGTCACTTCTTATTTATCATGTATTATTTATCATTCTCAAAATTATGCGAGAAAATTCTAATGCATATTTATCCTCGTTCGATCTGGTAGATCTGAGGGTTTCAATTTGAGAGAATCAAGGAATGTAATGATCTAAGATTTTCTAGTGACTCTCGGCTTGACTGGACTTGCCATTATTTATCATTTAATATTTTTATTAATATGCATTAAGGGCCATGCGAAAAAATTCTGTTGTATAAATATCCACGTTCGCTCTGGTAGATTTTAATTTGAGAGAATCAAGGAATGCAATGATCTAAGATTTTCTAGTGACTCTTGGCTTGGATGGACTTGACATTATTTATCATTTAATATTTTTATTAATATATATTAAGGGTCATGCGAAAAAATTCTATTGTATAAATATCCACGTTCGCTCTGGTAGATTTTAATTTAAGAGAATCAAGGAATGCAATGATCTAAGATTTTCTAGTGACTCTTGGCTTGGATGGACTTGCCATTATTTATCATTTAATATTTTTATTGATATGTATTAAGGGTCGTGCGAAAAAATTCTGTTGTATAAATATCCACGTTCGCTCTAGTAGATCTCAAGATTTTAACCGAGAGCGTCTAGGAAGGAAATAATCCGTAGTCTTTCGAATGTCTCTCGACTTTACGTCTCCCGGGAATTTATGTAAGACCGTTTTGCTCGTAGCCACTTAATAACGGCGCTTTAGAAAACATTTCACCCGGTAGGAACTAATCGCTGGTAAATATTTCAGGCTGGTGAAAATCCCGCCGGGCTAAGGATGCAATTTTACAGGGAGCGTGTGCTGAATTAATTAATAAGGATCCATTGACGTACTCGCTGTACCTTCGACCTGCTCGCACCTGCATCATCGAAGAATTAGTCATCACCGGGACGGCGAATTTTATCATAATTATCAGCGATCGACAGATTTATCCGATTCCCCCGCTCCACATATGAATTAATCCCTCGACTCTGTACGCACGATTCGACTAACATTTTCTGGGAATCTTGAGGAGAAAGCTGAAGAAATTTTAGCAGCGAGCGAAATAGTCGCCCTGCAAGATTCCTGTCCGACCCGGAGGAGGCTTTTTTTTATTTTTATCCCGTAAGAATTTTAACCGGCATCTCGAAACCTGTTCTGATCTCGTCTCTTAGAAGGAGGAAAGGGTGCGGATTCGCCCTTGCGGTTTAATTTACGCCTCTGGACACTCGAAATTCCCAGGATCTGGAGATCGATGCCTTATCGACAAATCGGGAATATTTTTAGACGACAGCTTCGACTGTTAACCCGTAAATGGCGCGAATTGCTGGGATCTTCCTTAAGGTGAAGTGAAACACGTCGAGGAACTTAATCGACGTCGATAAAGATTTTTCTAAATGCCTACGTAGCCGATGTTGGTTTTTATATTGACAGCTGGGTCGAATTATATTGCGTATTGTACCAAATGGCATACTCCACCTGTCGTTTTCGTACAATAAATATCAAGAAATCGAAGTAAATCTCCAGAAATCCTCTGGATTCGTGCTTTCTGGGGCCCTAATTGACTGCGGAGGGACCCCCTGCGCCATCTGTGATTTCCAGGTCAATTAAATTTTCACTCCGAGACCTCGTATTACCATCGTTTTGGCATAGAAGCGCATACAACACTTTTTTTGCCTTTATCCCGTTCAAATGCGAGTTTATCGATTACCAGAGTGTTCTAAATTGTCGTAAAATTGTCCTGACCCTTTCGTTTCTCATATCAGAGCCTTCGATAGTTGTATATTGATCGAAATATGAGAACTCGACGCCATTTTGGTTCTGGTCTGGGCTAAGTTACACAATTTTTTCAAAAAGTTCAAATTTTTAATCAGTGTCAGGACAATTCTTAGATGATCAGGAGTGACGTGTTAAAGTTTCGGACAGTTTGGTCTAATGCCATTAAAAAAAAAATGTATTGGAATCGACTGATTTGAAGGGTGTTTCATTTCACCTTAATCGCGTTTAGAAATCGTTTCATGAATCAGGACTGGTCTAATACCATTAAAAAAGAATTGGTCTAATACCATTTAAAAAAAAATGTATTGGAATCGACTGACTTGAAGGGTGTTTCACTTCACCTTAATCGCGTTTAGAAATCGTTTCATGAATCAGGACTCGAGATGTGCTTAGAGAATTCTTGTAAGAAAAAAATCCGGATTCTTAGGAATACGGGGAATACCGCAGTGTAATGCTAAACTTGTCAAGAAAGCTGTCCCAGTCATTCGAGGCCAGGAATGTGCAGTCTCTCCCTTGCTTAGGGCGATTTAGAGATAGATATTCACTAATTACTCGAGTAACGGAGACGGTTGAATACTTCTTAATGAAGAGTTTACTGCACTGTCGAAAAAATACCGTAATGAATATATTCCTACTTTTTTTTTATCTTATGAAGCTAATAAGTATGGATGTTAAATATTGAGTGCGGATTTTTTTTCAAATGAACGCAGGAATTTATTACACGATAGAATGTTTAATATTCCTGATAATCGTTAAACAATTACCGACAAAATGTCTGGACAAACTTGTTTGTGGAATTTATAGACATTCTTAATAGCGAACCCTCTTCGCGGGCATATTTTCGCCGATGGAATTTATTAGTTGGGAGAATGAGTATTTTGGAGAATTTTTATAAACGGATTTTCCTAATTCATAAATTTATTAGTGACGTTTGTTGCGCTCGATTCGAGGAATTCTTGGCAATTTTGCAACCTCTTTACGTGCGCTTTCAAGCATCGGTGTCGTGACGATATTGCACGTTCTACTGACGTATCTTGAGACAATGCAAGAATTCTTAAGCAGCAACAATACTTTGAGACTTCTGCGGAAAGGGAACCAATGAATTTCCACATTTCAATTCCGAATGTCGCGCTCGAGAAGTTAACTTCTTTCGATGAGGAATTTTTTCGGCTATCAAGTTGTTCTTTTTTCTTTTTTTTTTAATGACTATCATTATGTAATATCTATTACACGTTTTTTGTGCCTCGCTTTTGTTTCAGGTGGCTCTTAAAATGGCGAAGGAGGTGAACGAGCTGCAAACCGTTGAGGACTTCTTAACCCAGGTCAAAGGAGTACCTCCATCGGCGAAGGATTTATTCACCATAGACAGTATGTGGTAACGAAATGACACTAATAATAATTGTTTATCTCCATTTAATTATTAAAGTAACAGTAAGTAAAAAGGGAAATCTAAAGGGCAGGTGAAAGTGAAAATAAAAATTAAAGAAACAAAATCTATTCGCAGGGCCAGCCATCGAGTGGGATTAAAATCAAGATGAGTTTTGTTATTACTCTTGGTATTAATAATGTTTATATCTATATTAATATTGTTCATTAGTCCTGGACTTGCTCTTCGGTCCCACATGGCTGATCGTACTCTTTCTTGACAACCTTTCTATAGACAATCAGGTGTATCGAATAGTTAAATGCAAATTCCTTGCTTCTCTGTAGTGACTGGATTTCTTCTTCTGCTTCTTGGAAAATTAATTTATTCTTTACATATCGCAGGGCCTGCGGAGTCTGGCCAGCCTCCTTCTCCATAATTTCCTGCCGAAGCTCGTCCAACAATTGATTCTGCTCCTGGAAGTAGTCTACATATTTGAAGTATCCGCCGAAATTATTCTCATTCGGGATCAGGCGATTACTCAGCTGGTTGATTTCCTCGATGCTTGGTAATCTCTCTTTTCCTGTTTGTCGAAATTCTGCAGCATCGACCTTGCCTTTCCTCGCGCTCGACGAGGAAAACGAAGAGTCCCATTTAACAGGAGAATATGCAATTTGTAAAATGCATTTTTTAACCGAGGCATGGAATTTCCCCGTGGATGGAAAACCATAAATGTTCCAGCCAGCTGAAAAAGAAGCTGATCATTTTTACGGGTCTTCGGGCCCACGTTAATTCTTATTTATTATCTTCGTTATCTATCAAATTGCACTTGTGTTAATCGAGACTTTTTTTAACAAACCTGTCTCACCTGGTTTGCTATGTTTGGAGAACTTGATATGTCCATTAGCTTCCAAGAACTTCAATGACGTGCTTCCCGCTATTTCTGGGCCACCTTGATGGAAATCATCTTCATGAGCCTTGATTGCAGTTTCCTTTTCATGATCGGTATTAGTCATGCCACTGTCCCCAAATTGCTCCTCTTCCATATGCTCAGTGCCTTCATTCTGCTCTTCAATTTTCAGATCATCCGAGATGTTTAACTTCTCCAGAATTTCCAATCCCATTGTCTCTTCGGAGGAGCTGTTCGATTCTTTGGAGTCATCGATGGAGTTATCTTTCCTATCGGAAGGCCTAAAATTGTCATATTTCCATTATCAACAATCACATGTACAGTTAAAAAAAAAATACTTCGTTGAACAGCACCATAGAAATATTCTGGTAATTCAAAGAATAATTATTTAACTCAAAGTCGAATAAATCGGATGCAACATTTATTCGGAATTATGAGAATTTCTTTTAGCGAAATAATTACTCTTGGAATTAACGAAATATTTCTTTGGTTCCATGAATTCTTCTTTTTTTTTTCTCGGTGCAATAATTTAAAATGCAATGGTGTAGAAATACAATTTCTTTTTGTATCTAGATTGCGCTCACTTGTGGAAACGATATTCGCTTTGATCACCAGCACCATAGAAATATTCTGGTAATTCAAAGAATAATTATTTAACTCAAATAAAGTCGAATAAATCGGATGCAACATTTATTCGGAATTATGAGAATTTCTTTTAGCGAAATAGTTACTCTTGGAATTAACGAAATATTTCTTTGGTTCCATGAATTCTTTTTTTTTTCCCGGTGCAATAATTTAAAATGCAATGGTGTAGAAATACAATTTCTTTTTGTATCTAGATTGCGCTCACTTGTGGGAACGATATTCGCTTTGATCGAGCGCTTCTCTAGGAAGGATATCTTCGAACACATGGCTATAATTTCTACTAAAATTCTCCATGAAGAACGCAACGCGTCTTCTTCCTCTGATAATTGTCCCAAACCAGTCGAGAACCACATCCTTTGCAAGGTGGTCTTTTAAACCAGAAACAAGACCATCAGCCAGGGCAAAATAACCATTCGCGAAGGATATGATTTCAGGATGTCGCTGCGCCATTTTTTACCACGCCGATTTTCTGAAATAAATAATTAATTACATATAATTCTATACAAAAAGGGGACCTCCGTAAATTGAACTAGTCTGGATAACTGCCCTGTGGTTTTGTTTTTAGGATCTTAAGTCTTAGTGTTAAGGAAATTGAATTAATGAGTAATGTTAATTATTTCCAGGCCGAATTAGCGGAGTGGAGAGGTCGAATGCAGAAGTGGCTAAGCCAGCGAAATGTATGCCGGAACTACAAACAGTTCCTATCAAGGAAAACCACGCCGACCCCTCGACTATTTATTTCCCTTCTTGCACGCGCGTAATGAGATGTGGAGGATGTTGCAGTCATTCCTTGCTGTCTTGTCAACCGGTCTCGTCGGAGATCAGGAACTTCCAGGTGAGTCAACTCGTAGAGTGACTTTTATCCTGGCTTCGGAGAGGCATTTCAATTTTCAGTTTCCCTAGGTGATAGTGACCAAAGTCGAGCACGGCCAGTCATTGAGTTACAGAGGGAAAGAGATAGTGCCAACAGAGGAGCACACCAAGTGCAAATGCGACTGCAAGTTCAAGCCAGAGGTAATGTGTTTAATGGTAGCGTACCTTAATTGCAGCTTAATTGCAACGAGTGACAGTGTCAATTTCGTTTCGCAGCACTGTACCGAGAAGCAAATTTACGTGGAAGACGAATGTAGATGCACGTGTTCCAACGTGGACGAGGAAGAGAAATGTAGACGCAGCAACGAAACGAAATTGTGGGACCCTGATCTGTGTTCTTGTTTGTGTCGTACCAGTCAAGAATGTACCACTGGGTTTTACTTCGACTTGAAGACCTGCAGGTGAGTGTGGGGTAAAGATAAATTACTTTAGTAGTTATTACATTCTATGGTAAAGGAAGGTAAGATACGTACCTTGAGAAAATTATTTTTTTAGTTGTAGCGAAGTGCCCTTCTCACAGAACTGGTTCGCCAGCGACCGAATAGCAAATAGATTTCAACCGAATTCTAAACCTGATACCCCACCACTAATCGTCACCTTGGACGCAGCAGACCCCCGAAGAAAGCACAAGGATGACCCTGAATATTAATAACACGTAGAGGCTTCCTCTGTTCCCACGAACCAACAATACACAGCACAGCATTTATTGTGAAAGCATGATCTTGAAATGTTACCTACAGCAGAGATCGGAAAAGTTGTTTACATGTATAAGGACACACTTTAACGACATCAGGTATTTATAAGTAGTTACAAGTGTTACATTGAGACATAATAATCGTATTATTTATGCTATTTTATTAATAAAAAGACACATGAGTGATATACAATATTTTGCTTGTGGTATTCCACGTACAAGAAAATTATGAATCGTCCAGAACTTCAGAGAAGGCTGTTGGGTTTGATGTCAACTTCCTTTTGTGATTGAGACATTTAAATTAGTTTCAGGCTTTTTAGTAGCCATCAAATATCCAACGACAGCTTTATTTGCCTTCAGTAGGTTATTATGCGTTTCCCCAATGGATTGTAAAGTGTCGGAAATTGATCCTGAAATTAAACGTACTTATCATGCTAGGTTCCTAATGGATTAGACGTTACTTTCTGTACACTTTTAATCGCTGCAAAAGAACGCAGTATTATTGAATGCCTTCCATGAAAACTATTACTACTCACTAATAGAAGAAGCGATTTCAGAGATCCTTAACTCCGTTGACGGTTTTACTCGTTTCGTTTCCTGTTGCATTTTCAAGAAGCACAAGACGCTCGGCTGACAATTTTTAATTTAAATGTAATAGCGAATTTCCTTACATCAGATTTTCAAATCAAAATCCACGTGATTTAAAAGGCGAGTGAATGGATCCTCATAGAATAACGACTTTGTAGAGTGATTTGCAGTCCTCAAATCGTTCCCAAGATGGCGGCGATAGCAACGCAAAATGGCGTCGCGCCTTTAATCGCGTGTATTTCCTCTGAAGAAAGTAAATCGAGCGAGCCTTCGAATGTATTAAACGAATTTAGAAAGTAAGAGGTTGACAATCAAGCCGTGATTCCGAGAAATCAACGCTCCTGAGCTGGAAAAGCCGTCACCGTTCCATACTGTTCCATTTTTAAGTTTCATGCGTCAGTGAATTGTGTTCACTTCGTCTTTATGACAGATCGGAGATCCTCCCAGGTAGAATCACGGTTCAGCGAGAGTGGCCAATAGGAGGCCTCCATTCCGTTGTATCGTTCACGGTATGTGGTCCGCTCTAGAAGCCGCAGCCAATCAGAGCCCGACTATTCAGTTATCACGCAGCAGGATCGAGGAGTACTATTCCACTGGATCCCACCGCGGAGGTAACCACACATACTAGGTTAGCTGAGTGTGACCGAGTCAATTCTCGAACACGTAGAAGACGTGCGGATTACGAGATTATTTCGGTGAGAGCGAGATGTCATCGTGACAGGTTGACGATTGTCGTGCGACCGCTCGCGGGATCGGAAACATGCGACTGTTTGAGATGTTCCAAGGCTGGGTTCCGCGATCTGCTGGCGAGCGTGGTTCTCTTTGAGACGATGTCGAGGTACCCGTGTGTCTTCGGGTAAAAAAAAGAGCGTTGCGACAGGTAAGGAAGTGTTGTAACTTTCCGACCCACCGCCAAGGTGAACGCGAAAGAAAGCGTCTGCTTCGTGCCAGTTTACGAGTGCGTGCTTTGACTTCTCCCTTGATTGTCCAGATTCTCGAAGACCCAACAACGGAAAGCGATGGAGGATTACAAGTTCCTCTTTAAAGTTGTCCTGGTAGGAAATGCCGGGGTCGGCAAGACGTGTCTTGTGCGCAGATTTACGCAGGTAATTCGACTTATGACGGGTGCCTTTTTGCCTTATATGTTGACTTTTCTTATATTTATATTGACTATGTCTCCATCGTACTCGAAATCCGAGATTTATCATATCCGAATTTAAGTGTCGATCGAGACGCTCAGAATCGAATCTGCATAATTATCAATGCGATGGAGACATGCAATTTATTGGATTCGGACCCGATAAATCCTGGATTGAAGAGTACGATGGAGACGTAATCATTATACTAATGAGATTAATCAGATATTTGATATTCCTTGCTTAGTGGTGGAAAACTCGTTTTGATATCTGATGGCGCTGGCAATGATTATGAGTCTTATCGTTGTTTTCCTTCCAGGGCTTGTTTCCACCAGGGCAAGGTGCAACGATAGGTGTCGACTTCATGATAAAGACGGTTGAAGTGGAAAACGAGAAAGTCAAGGTAAGCTTCAGATTCATTTTAATGTATTCTTATTTTTTTAATATATAAGTATGCAGTGAATTTTAACGATACATTATTTCAGCTCCAAATTTGGGATACCGCAGGGCAAGAGAGGTTTCGATCTATAACACAGAGCTATTATAGATCCGCTCATGCCTTGATTTTAGTTTATGACATCTCGTGTCAACCCACGTTCGATTGTTTGCCAGACTGGCTCAGAGAAATCGAGGAATATGCGAGTAATAAAGTGTTGAGGATATTAGTTGGTAAGTTCGAGTATTTTACGATAGATCGGAGTTAACGATTAATAGAAATAAGCAGTACTAATGTTTTTCCTTACAGGAAATAAAATCGATCGAGATGATAGAGAAATACCGACACATGTTGGGGAAGATTTTGCCCAGCGGCATGGCATGTACTTCTTGGAAACATCTGCTAAAGAAGCCGAGAACGTGGAGAGGTTATTCATGGAAATTGCCGCGGAGTTAATGGAGGTACTGTATCGTTATCGCTATTTTATTTCTCACAGTTCTACGAATTTTCTGTCGAGCTGTTTAAATGGAAAAAAAAATATTTACTTCAGCAAGCACGTAGTAAGGATCTACCCAGATATGAAACAAATGCAACTTCGATAAATGGGAAAACAACGTCAATCGGCGATAGCGGGAACTGCAGTTGCAGTCGCCTTTCTTAAAAGACACTGATTTCACGACTTTTTTTACCAATTTCTCAGAGCCTAAATCACTAATTTAGCTAACATTCGCAATTAATTCATATAAGTACAACGTTTTGTATAGAGCGTCTTTTTTTATTTTGAAATTCACACTAGTTCACCAATAGTGACGTAAAGTTTACTTAGACTGAGGAGGCGGTGCATTTCATCACAAATCGATTTTTCTACGGAAATCTTGCATAAAAAGCTTGGAGAATTTTGGTCAATGTTTGCTACTCCCTTTTATACGAATTAAAGTACACGAAGTGTCCGTTAAATCGTAGAGTATATACAATTTGTTGAAGCAATTTCATTTGCTATTAGTTGCTCCTCGCTGACTGCCTAAGATGCGTAGTCCATGCTAATGCAAGATCGATGTGATCTCGTGTTTAGATATGACTGTGAAATATGTCTTATGTCGACGATTCAAATTTTTTCAGTAAAATTTGACGGATTCAAGACAGTTACGAATGCCTATTGAGTGCAGTTGTAGCGTTACTTCTAAATGTTCTCATAATCTATAAGTGAAGCAGTGCTCGTTAATGCTTTTGGGCATTAGCAATACTTGAGGCTTGGCATTTAATGCTCCGTCTGGAGTAATAAACGCCGTGTCTTCGCAATAACTATCAACTTTTACAACACAACACATGTTCATACTCGCTAGCATATGAACCGACCACAATGAGTTACGTAAGAGAGTCGTAAGCTTGCACTCGATATGAATGTTCCCATTTAATATTGTTTGCACAATTATATGACGAGACATTTAAATTTGTATATACATATGCATAACGGAAGCTCTGTTATGTTTGATAAATGGTTTAAAGCACTGCCCGAACCATGCAGTTGATTTGTTCGTTGTATCCATGTAAGCATCATTGAATATTAGAGCGATGGTAATAATTTATAACTTCTGTTTGTACGATTCAGAACGTATACCAATGCTGTATTTCAGAGTATGTTCCGAAACGTTTTACTTGTTCAACTAATGGCTATTATATTCATCCTCGTTTCGCACCTCTAATTTAGGACCAATGGAACTTAGAACTGTGCTTCGGAACATATTCTAAATAAGTCATTCTAGTCTACGCGGTATTTTTACATAAGATGTTAGATGACACTCGAAGGAGCTCCGAGTGATGTCGTGCATCGTTCCGAAAGTAAGTTAATTTTGTGACACCTTTTAGGATATGCGATTCCTAATTCCTAAGATGAACGAGAAACATGCACAGGTTAGCTTTTATTTATAGTAAGATAAGTCATTATTACTAGCGATAATGTTAATCAACCGGTAGCTGATGCAGAATAATAATCGTTTTAGCTAATTGAAGTAGACATGGACGGTCTTGATATTAATTGGTAATTTAAAACTACAATGATGTCGAGTACGGTGCAGTGTGACTGCGAGTTATTTTAACACTTCGGTGGTTAACGCTAGGTGGTATTAATTACATTTGGCAGTCGAGGGACATGTAGGAATTTCACTTTCGAATAACGTAACGGGAGAAAAGTAGACTGTACTTTTACCAAGGAACATCGCGTTACGAGAGAGAGAGCATCGAATCATGGAATTAACGATCCGCGACAGATATCTGTGCGAGGGATTGGTGCTAATGTTTTTATTCCGAAGGATTTTCATTGCACTACCGCGACGCGGGCTTTTTGAAACGTTTTATTGTACCTTGAATTAGTGGAAAGGTATTATTGCTTGAGTACGCTGAATAGTGTTGGACGCGTCTTTCGTTGTGTTATAACTTCAAAGTGCTTGGTCACTGACGATGCATTTAAAGTTTAAACCCCTATTAATGATTTTGTATAGTTTCCAAATTGCGTGTCCTATGACTTGACGATGCGCTACTTTTAGAGCGTAATATTTATGTCAATTTTTAATAAAGACATATCAGTTGTGAGCTGTTCTCTTTATTTAGTGTGACGGAGAGTCACCCCCTTTGAGAACTTTTCTTTACATAACCCTGTTCACATCGTCATTCTCATAGGAAACCATAAAATTAACAAACTTCTTGGTAAATGTTATTCGCTACACCCTGGATCTGAATTCAGTCGACTGGATTAACAGATTTTTGTTATTCTACTCGTGTTGTATTATATGTTGGTATTGATAATGTACAAATGATTTGGTCTGTGGTAACAGGCACTTTCGTAACTATATTTATTAATTTAACAGGTAAGTATTTGCTTACGAAGTAAAAAATTAAAATAAATTATAAAAGATATATAAAAATTAGAGGAAATTGGTTCGTTACTGCTGCATTGTAATACTGTCGTTAAGGGAGAACGTGTTTTCCTTTAATCGAATGAATATATGTACGTTGTTTGGTAATCTATGAATTCGTCTGCGATAAAATACTAAAATAATTTGGCTCCCTCGGTGAAGGCTGCTCTCTCGATTGGCAAACGTTACGACTTTTGAATGAAATCTTTCAGTTGCGTTTGCTTAAGAGATAGCTGAAATAGGCGTTCTCTCAACTCCGGATCGAAAACTTTTCTATTGACAGCAACTTCTCGACAGTTGCTGAAATATAAACCTCCCTTGTCCTGGATTGATATGTCCACAATAGCAAACACAACTGACGTAGCTCCTTGCTCAGGTGACTGAAATTTCAGATAATTTCAATTTAATTAATTAAAAAAATTTCATGTTTAAAATAAGCCAGTTTCAGATGCATTTTTTGTACGTTTTGAAATTTTACAGTAAGCTAACCCCTTAAACTAGTCCATATTATTGATAGTATAAAATTATGTTTACCTTGAAAAGCAACCGCTTTAGCCATTGAAGCTTATTCACGTACGAATGTTGAAAGATGTCTGTGTTGACGATCCCTGGATGCACAGCGTATGCATCGATATACATATTTTCTTGCTTCAGTAACTCTTGAAGAGTTTTTGTGAACATGACTTGAGCTAATTTACTTTGAGAATATGCGGCTTGCGCAATAAATTCGTTTCTATAACAAAATGCCATACATTAATGAATAATGAACTAAGGTGTGTCCATATCGGATGGAGATAGAAATATTTCCTTACTTGCAATTAACGTCTTCAAAGTTGATGCTTCCCAAAATATGGGCACAGGATGAAATATTAACAATTCTAGCATGTTCGTCTTTGGTACCGGCAGCTTTTAACAATGGTAGCAGCAGGGACGTCAGCAAAAAGTGGGATAAATAATTCACACCCCATTGTTGTTCAAAACCATCCTCCATTTCAGAATACGGTGTGAACATGATGCCAGCTGGAAAATAAAAACTTTCTATGTTTCTCTTTTTGATTTGAAATGTAAACGAGTTTTCATTAAATGGTTTAATGAATTACTACACGTGTTAATTAATTGGCTCGCTTAATGCAGTGAATCAGAAGTGTCATCAAATGTTAAACTAATTTGTCACATACGTACAAGTTCTGCCCGTACTGAATCAGCTCCGTTAACAATGAATTAATGAATGCAAAGTGAATGTAAATGATAATACATGATAATGGTCTTGGAATAAATAGCACGCGTGAGACGTAAAATGCGCAACAATGTAGGCTAATTACCATTGTTCACCAGAATATCAATCTTTGTGTAATTCTCCTTAATTTTTTCGGAAAATCGCCTGATAGACTTGAAGCTGGCATTATCGAGTTCATACACACATGCTCGACCTTTGGTAATTCCTGCCTCTCTTATCTGACGAATGGTCATGTCACCGGCAGCAGGATTCCTGCAAGCTACACAGAATCGATACCTCGTGAATCAATTAATTTATTCAAATCTCATGCGGCATAACGAGCATGCAACTTTCGAATTTACCAATGATTACTTCCATGTCACACTTGAGAAGTAACTTAACGATCGTGGCCCCAATACCTCTGGAACCACCGGTAACGATTACTACCTTGTCGGGTCTTTCGCATAGTTCTGAAAAGTAGAAGTATAATTAAAAATAATGAATATGTAACATAAATGAAAAATGCACAATCACAGATAATCCAGTCATCGAATATCAAGCATCGTGTCAGATTAATAGTAACGTCGAAAAGATGATTTCACAGAACGGAAGTGGCCCCGATTACATGCAAGTTCTCATTATTAATTTATTATAACACGAAATAAAATACTTACCGATCTTGTTGTACTTTGCATTGAGAAAGTCTGCGACGATTTCTTTGACTGCAAGGACATTGTACTCAAGTTCATTCAGAATAGCCTTACGGATGATACTGAATTTCAGGGGAGGCTTGTAATAATACAAGAAGCCTGCTAATACAGTTAAGACCGATCCTAATGTCAGAAACATGTTTCTATATTTTTTCCGTTGGTGGGCCTCAGGTTTTTGCATTCACTCCCGAGGTGCTCCTTCAGCTGCAACTCTGCAACTGAAGACTCGGGAGAATGTAAACGCGTGGCCCACTTTTATAGTCTCTGGTAGCTGTAAATGCCGCCTACCACGTCGACGTGGATTGCTATCAGCTGTTTCAACCGGTCACCCCGTTTTAAGGTTACGTGGCGGGGGTGGCGATGTAGCGCTATCGAGCGCGTTTTAATATATTCTCTGATATATTCATATATAAACCATAACCAATTCTCGATCGCAATTTAGCTCTCTAACGGTGTAATTAAATTAAAAAGTGTTCGTTTCATTCAGCTTCGTCCGGCTTCGTTTCTCGATCTTGTATTTTCATCGTTATTCGTTGGTTGTGTTTTAAGGTTAGGTGGCATTTTCCACGAGAAATGTAATTCTCTACACCTTCGTCCACGAGCAAAGCGATCGCGCTTGTTTGGACGGAATTTTATAAAAATGATCTTTGTTTATTTACATGATTTATCATCTAATTTGATCCTTTTTTAATAGAACTCGATATCGACGCTATCCTAACTTTGATGAGCGAATGGATTGGGGAAGTATTTGCTGAGTAAGTAAATAATTCATTTGACAGAGACTTAGTACTGGAAAAGGAGTTCTTGCAAGGTTAGCACTAATTATTTCATCGATATGCAGTCTATGCAATCTCTGGGACGTCACGTGGCAGGTTGCAATGTCATCTTTTTTCCCTTTTCTTTCGGACGGTACGTAGGGGAAAGAAGAGTAATTTATTTTTCTAGCTTTCATTGGCTATTCGCAGCTTTTGCAGCTCATTGTGACCTGGAACTTGTCCGTTAAGTCGCAGATGATTCCTGGCATCTATCTGGAGAAAAAGCGAATAACTGACGTTTATGTTAATCATCCCAGACCATAATGATATCCTACGAAATTCAAGCCTCGATGATTTGCCCTTTAGTGTCTTATGTTATAGTTTCCTCTAAGCAAATTGCAAGTGTTCCGAATGCTTTAATAAGATAACGATTTACAAAAATCTGCATTCTCATCGAGTAATTAATTACATAACACCAAGTGCATCATCGTATTTACATTACTCGTTACAAAACACGGCCAGTTAATCATATTTATGCAAATGTTATTAATATGCTATTAATATTCATTTTTTTTCACAGCAAGATCGATATCGATTACTGTCCCTCTACTAACACAAAGTGCCAGCATCAGACTTTGATAAACAGAAAATAAGAGAACGACTGAGTTTTGTGTAACCTTTACTATTCTCTTTCAAATACAAAATCGATGTACAGTGAAAATTTTAAATAGAAGTACACACAGCTCTTAAGGCCCAACAATCCTGCGAACGATTATGCCCTTCCCGTGTTCTTGTACTGAACAATTATACGACTTACTTGGAATTATTCAGCCCTAGTTTAATAATCGACGCGAAGAAGATGGACACAATTCAATGTTGAAAAGCGACACCGAACGGAATACATCCATTCTGCAGGGAAAATTCAAGAACAACCTGCGAAAGGGACCTTCGTTACTTATTGGACACCTGCGCGGCGACGATTCTCCAGATTTATAAATATACAAATCCAACCGTGCAGTCTTAAATTCCTTTTAAAAAGGAAAAACGAAAAAGAAGTGTTTCAACGTGTTAGATAATTATCGGCTGGATTTGTCACGCGTACAGGTGTTGCACAGTTAATTAGGAATCTCCCAATTTCCCGCATCTCCCGACTTACGTTATCATCGCGTCGGATTTGCTTTAGAGCTATTTTTTTTTTTAAATAAATACAAGTTACAATCATGTTCACATATGGTGTATCAACTCGGCTTACAGAAGACTAAAAATCCTATCGGATCGTTTTTCACGTAGTTCGATCATAATTGATGGATAAATCGGGAATTGAGGCAGGGCACTGTGCGAATCGATTCGATCGGGTAACTAAAATGCGAACGTCACGATAATATCAAGAGATTCTTTATAAACTATAGAGTTGAATATACTATAACTATGGAATGAAGAGACTTGTATTCGGGTATTTGATCGAACTCGCACGAAAATGCGCACACTCCTACGATGATTCGTAGAGGTCGAACACTTCCGATTATCCCAGGAAGTTTGCCTTAAGGGGATGTGAAAGTGGCATCCCTGAGATCGATCATGTTAAATCTTACAACGTGAATATAGAGTTTATAAAAAATCTCTCGATGTTATCGTGACGTTCGCATTTTAGATATCGAATTGATTTCGTTTAAATAATTAACACAAAGAAAAAAAGCGAGACTTAATTACAAGCTGTGCAACTATACCGCGAAGATGTCCTCGAGATTAAAGTAGTTGACATTAAAAGAGTCTTCGAGAGCTTCCGGTAAATGTCATTAGTTGCAAATGGCTGCTTTCTGTCGAAGACATCAATTCTTCTTTGGATGAATATCCGGATTGGTGGGACTTTTGTTCGATGCGTGTGGACTGTGTCATGGCACTGCAAATTAAAATAGCGTGAGAATACATTCGAAAGCTGTCGTAAAGTATGTTCAGGTGAATGAAACGCAGCTCGTGAGATCTTGACAGATAGAGGATGACTCAATGACTCTAAACCTTGTTACAAAAATCTTTTGTGTTGTATGCTTTTGAGGGTTTACTTAAGACGATGTATTAACCCTTTGCACTCCGCTGTCCCCTCTGAGGGGACATTTTAAGTGTAAATGGGATGGCGCGGAGTACAAAGGGTTAAACTTGCCCACTGCGCAAAAACGATTCGTATAGGTTATTTTTTGTACTGTATTATTATTCTAAAGATATATGGCTTAATACCATAAATAAAAACAGTAGTAATATTATACCTTTTTCATTATCATTTGAGACTTTGATATCGGAAGTAGTTTCAGTAATCATGACTTTCACAGTAACCTTGGCAACTTTACCCTTTCGCTTCCTAATAGCTGTCCTTGTTCTCTTAGGTGATGGTGTCGTATCTTTCAATGCCTTAGTCTTCTCAGGTGAAGCTACTCGTTCTGCCGTTGTCACCTTCCTTGCCTCGGGCTCGGCAGGCTCTTCCTCAGTAGTTTGATTTTTTTTTGCAGGGCCCTTCCTTGCCTCGGGCTTGGCAGGCTCTTCCTCAGTAGTCTGATTTTTTTTTGCCAGGGCCTTCCTTGACTCGGGCTTGGCAGGCTCTTTCTCAGTAGTTTGATTTTTTTTTGCAGGGCCCTTCCTTGCCTCGGGCTCGGCAGGCTCTTTCTCAGTAGTTTGATTTTTTTTTGCAGGGCCCTTCCTTGCCTCGGGCTCGGCAGGCTCTTCCTCAGTAGTCTGATTTTTTTTTGCCGGGGCCTTCCTTGACTCGGGCTCGGCAGGCTCTTTCTCAGTAGTTTCATTTTTATTTGCTAGAGCCTTCCTTGCTCGCCTCGCCTTGCTTGCAGCACTTTTTGACTCCAGAGGTGATTCCGCTAACGATTCCGGCATTCTACTTTTAGCTAACCTCGGTAATCTAACCCCTCGAGGCTTGTCAACAAATTCAGCGGGTAGAAGTTTTGTACTTTTTTGAGAACCAGAGCCGGCCGGCTCGTCGACCGCCTCGGCTTTCTTCGCGTTTTTCCGTGGTGCCATGTCAGTTACTACTTTTATTTGTCGGCGGGATAAAATGATCAGGCTAAGCACGGCTATGTTCCTCGATGTTCCGGCGAGGTGTGAAACTGCTCGAAGAACGAAATATATTTTCGTCCTTGTAGGTAGCCGGCCGGTGCGACGATCCTTCCTAAAGAGGGTTGCACGCGCCGGTGTTATTCGATTATCGTTAATTTGCTACTATGTGTTAAGCGTACTTACGAGGTTATGTCGAATTACGCCGGTTTCGGACACGCTGCTTGAGTTACCGTCGGGCAACAACCGAGGAATTATTTGAAAAATTGATGACAACCGCTCGACTATCGTGACCACGTTCGCAGCTTCACGCGGCAGCGGCCATCTTGGAACGCGCCGAGCAATCAGAGACCGGCTCTACTGAGCGCCAACCAATTAGCGCGCATCAGTTACTACGAAGTACGTACATTTTTAAATCACCTTTTCCAAACGTATTCTGTCCTTCGAATTCGATTTGATTTATTCACTTTTGCACTTTACATTGCTAATAAACCTTTACAATCGAGCGTTTAATGTGTCGTTTATGATTACTTCAGAATGGCAATTCGATTGCAGCCAATCAGAAGCGACTTGGACCACGATCAGCCAATCAGAAGCGACTTGGACCGCGATCAGCCAATCAGAGGACCGCAATTTTCCGTTCGCGCAATTCCGGCTCGCTTTTCCGTTTCCAGGGGGAAGCGTTCTCCCGCTATTGCGATCCAAATTGTGCGTTAACTGAACTCGTACTTTTTCCCACTGTTACTGCAAGTCAGGAGTCGGAAAATCGATTAAAAATTGATTTCGACAGGTGAACAAATTGCACTCTGTTCAATCGATACATAATTCCTACATTTCTAGTTATCTAAGATATAATATATAAAGTAAATCCCATCTTACCTTAATGTCTTTTCAGGGCAGGATCCAGTTATCTCGATACCAACTGTGTACTCTCAGCGACGAAAAGAGGCTCGTTGAGATTTGAATAAATTTTCAAAAGGGGTGGCAGATGAAATATGGAAAAAATACGCAGTCCTTATTGGGTGCATCGTCGATTCGTAGGATAGTGAGAGAGCAATCTTCGAACGACATTCCGGTATGTTTTACTGTTCCTCTTCTCGTGTTGGCCGTTTCGCCTCTGGTCGCGATCGAGACGATTTGATTTTTTCTTGATTCCTGGAGTATGGACTAAAAATGCCCCGTCGAGGACTACCAGGCGATAATTCAAAAGACACATCTCCAGCATCTGCGAGGACATTAATTAATCCTTGTTTTATCATTTCAGGTGCCTTTCTTTCATGGAGCGTACCTGTGCCATTTTGTCCTGCCGACCTTCCCAGGATAATTCTTCCGTGTACAGAGGATCGGTCTTGGTCCCGATAAAAACGGGCTCCCACCTTGAATGATAGTAAAAAGAATTCTAATAAAATAAATCTACCTCGCTTAACGATAGAGCATATCGGTAAGAACTGGTGAGTCAAATTGAAGAAAATTTATATAGCGTCCTACGCTGTTAAACAAAATATATTCCAGTGTTATAACACTGTAATTAATAACAAATGTACTCGGATTCACTTTTGTAAAGTCAGGTTTAAGTATTTAAGGTGAAGGAAATTTAGAAATATTTTTAACAGCGTAGATTTGCTAATTTTGTTAGCGTTTACTGTAATACGAGATATCTGTGACGGTCTTAGCGAAATAGACTGAATTTTCTGCTTTTTCAGGTACACGCACCTGTGATGAGGAAATTCTCTCCTAGTGACGAGAAGAGGTCGGACCCTTCCAGGGTCAGGTCTCAGCATCCACTTGGTGAGTCCAGGGAACCGCTGACAGTGAGGACAAACGAACCTGTGGAGGCAATCAAGGAAAATAAACCTCCATAAGGCGAAGATAACTCTGGTCCCACGTAAAAGCACCGAAATCCAATATAGAATATGTAGAAGAAGAAGAACCTATGGAAGTAGACGGCGGTGCCGAGCTTGGAGGTCATCAGCAGGTCGCGTTTATTCCCAGGAGGAGTTTCATAAGCCTCCACCTCGAAGACGGGCAGGACGAAGGCAACGGCGACCCTGGGTGGTTGGTCGCCGACCATCTCCAGGAAGCCGGAGGCGAGTCGATCGCTTGGCAGAAGCTCGATGTCGCTGACGAGCACCCTCGACGTGGTGGCCAGGGTTCTGGCGACGTTCCTGGCCACGTTGATGGGGTAGGTCATGCCCATCTTGTGCCTCACGGTTTCGTCCTCGCGCCACTGGAGGTCGGAAGCTGCACAGTCGCCTCGACCTAGGTCGAAAGAACCTCCTAAGGTTGGAGGTCGACCTGCCGGGAAGACCAGATGCACGGACACCTTCGTCATGGACGACTCGCAGCGGCAGGCGCGATCCAGCAGGGCCACGGCGAGGTCGAGGTCCAGACCCGGGGCGAACACCGCCAAGCTTATGGGACCTTCCCATCTGGCAAGGTTAATCCGTTTGTATGTTACTAAAAAATTCCTCCATTAAGGTGTTCTATATAAATCAACCCGTAAAAGTATGAAACTTTTCCGAACAGGGTGCACAGGATCATTCGGCACTTCAGCATGTGATTATGTAGACCCTAAGGAAGAACGTGATGCTCGTGAAATTACATTTCATTTTGATGCACCCGGTTTGGAGAAAAGTTTTATAAATATTTTCACGTTTTTATATATATAGATTGACCCTTTTGTAATACCTTAAGACGAGTGATTGCAATTGAAGCGTGTCCGTACTCGAATTAGTTACATGTTCCAAGCAAGTTGCTCGAGGTTAAGGAAGGACAAAGGAGCATCGAGATGGGGATCGAAGAACTCATAAGAGGAACTAGGGGTAGCCACCCTGCTGGGGATAGAATTATTTAAAACGTAAGTTGCCAATGGGATCGATGGATGTACACTGGCGAACATGAATGCCTTCCCATCATGTATTAGTGACGCCATATCTGTACAAAAAAATTCAGTGGAGGTATTCATGCTCCCCAGTGTACTGCATATAGCTTGCATTTGATACGGATACAGGTATATGGGTCTTTTTTTAGGATATAAAGGTGATAAGGACAAGCTCAACCGGGTACCCGAAGAAGCCCACCTTCTGGCGAGCTCGACAATGGCGTAGACCTGGTCAGCGGTGGCGTGAGTGCACAAAGTCAAGGGAGGAAGTTGAATCCCAGGAGATCCAGGATATCCAGGATTTTCCATTCCACTCCCAATCCCTGCCACAATGAATGGCAGGATCCTGTAGGATCCTCGTTCTCCGGCTTCAGGGCTGGAAGTGATCTTGGCCTGGGAATACTCGAGGATGAACGGGAGCCCGTAGGACCATCTGCAGAAACTGCGGTTTCCAGGTCTGCGGCCGGCCATGTACATCCCCGCGGAATAGGCAGGTCCTTCTGCAGGACCCTCGTGTCTCCCGTAATCCCGAAGAGGTTGCCGATTCCCCTCTTCGCTCCCGATCATGCGAAAGCGATCTCGAAGAGAACCGACCCTGGAGGCTGCATAGAGAAGCATCGCCAGGACGACCACCCAAACCACGATGATGACAATCGCGGGCATCTGGGACCGGGTACACGTACTTCTGATCCGCATTTTGGCGAACGAATTTCCGTTAAAAAATTGTTAGTCCTTTACCGTCCGGAGATCAACTTATTCTCTGAAGCGTTCATGATATGTAAACAAAATGTGGGAACTAGTGGAGGTCCTGGAAGCATTCCCCACCCTGGAAGAGTCTTGTCATTCCTGAAGAGGATCTTTTGGCGTGGACGGTTCTCCTCTTATCACCGTCTCGTGTTAATTCGCCTGTTAAGAAACTCGGTAGAGTTCTGCGCCAAATGCATAAATACAAGCGCTTAAATTACCACTTGCTTGGAAGTTGTACCTGGTGGGTCGCACCCGCGTTTTATAAGTCAGGGCTACAGTTAGTTAACAACGGCCGGTCGATACTTCCGAGCGTACCTTTTTTAAAACATCAAAGCCGCGGCTTTGACGTACTAACTATAATTGCGCGCTCCCTCGCGCGGCTTAACCCTATAAAGGTCGGGTGTAAGACCACGTGTAGTCGCCGAAAGGTCGAGCAAGCGATAGAACGATCGACTCACGTGTAGAGAACTAATGTAAGGAGCTGAGAGCAAACGGAGGCGGAAGCATCGCTCCGCCTCGAGATTTTGCTCGAGACGTGAAAATGAATCTAGCGATCTAAGAGAAAAAATCACTTTCTAGGAAAAAAGAAATTCTGCGGTCGATTAGGTACTTCCCTAACCGCACAGAATAATCTCTGAATATTTGTTGATATCTCTTATTTACATATTGTTCGAGATTATTTAAGGGAAATTTTTTGAATTATAAAAATATTTCTTTGGTACTATTCAAAGAAATTTCTCATCCCTGCATGCAAGAGACCTTTCGACGGTCGCAGGTAATTCATATTTCACCTGGAAAGTAATTTTTTTGCTCAGTACAGCGGAATGTGTAATAAGATCGCACTTTTTCCTCGTCACTGCCGACCACGTGGTCCGGATATTCTGACAGCGACGCGTTTTCGACTGCTCCAGGAGTCGGCTCTTATCGTTCCGCTATCACGTGACCCGGGTTACGCCGGAAGTGCGTTTTGTCCACGCCGTCGAAGGACCTAGTTTCCGTCCCGCACTCGCACCTGCACCGTCGCGGAAGCACCTGATCGATCGCTAGAAGCTAGAGTTAATTATAGTAGAGTCAAGAGTCGAACGAAACCCCGATCGAAGCGCCGTTGCCTCGAAGATGGCGGCCGTACTCGTCTGTTAAGGGCGCCGCGACGCCGCGAGACGCTCGATGGCATCGATCCACGAGTCCGCGTCGCCGCGGATTGGCCATTCGTCGATTGGCCCTCGACGAGGGTGGACTGCGAGGAACAGGGTGGCGATGCATGTAAAGATAAATCCCGGTGATTTGTAACCGTTTGTAACCGCTACAGTTCCACCAAGGCCTTCCGCAGCGTCGATTAAATTTGTACAGATCGGTTGCACGGATTTACGGGGATTTTTCATTACGTACACATCGTTCACTTACGTGGGCAAATCGTCGCATCCGATTTACTCGAGTTTTAGTCAAATAATCATAAACTAACAAAATATTTCTTAGGAACTATTTGAAGAAATATGGTTTTCGACTCGATGGCTTTTTTTTTTCTCCCAGGGTAATAACGGAGGCTATACGCGGAGCAACACATTTTTGAGAGTTGTAATCTCTGCAGTTAAATTAATTTTCATAGCGTCCACGTGTTAACCACACATCGGATGAATCTGTACAAATCGGTTTGCCCAGATTTATCGTCACGAGAGGAAATTTGCGAATCGTTAGAGGGTACTTCTGTCGACTCGTGCTCTCGGCGGAGCGCGATCCGCACCCCGCGACGGTCGGCCACCGAGTGCGCCGAGGGCGTCGCGGTCGCGGCCACCCTCGCGAGGCCCGGACAGTCGCGACTCGCGGCCAGTGATGCGCGGGCCGCCGCGACGCACGGTCGACGCGGGAGTCGCGCAAGTCGCGAAAGGCGCGACAGTCCTGCGGGAGTCGCGTGTCTCTCCTGGCAGCCGCACACTCCCCGGACTCTAAGCGAGGTCACTCTTCCCCTCGAGGAGGTGGCCTCAAGGCCCCTCCGAATCCGACCCCGAAGAGGCCCTCGCTATGCCGGAGGACCCTGACGACGACGATGTCATCGTCTGCGCCAATGGTACGCTTTCGGATACAAGACCTTGTATTATTTAATTCTCGTCGTATTATTTTTATACTCCACTGAGATAATTTATTTACACGGAGGAAAAAGAAATTCATTGAAACAAAGAAATATTTTGTTAAGACCCCGACGACGATGTCATCGTCTGCGCCAATGGTACGCTTTCGGATACAAGACCTTCTATTATTTAATTCTCGTCGTATTATTTTTATATTTCACTGGGATAATTTATTTACACGGAGGAAAAAGAAATTCATTGAACCAAGGAAATATTTTGTTACGACCCCGACGACGATGTCATCGTCGGCGCCAATGGTACGCTTTCGGATACAAGACCTTGTATTATTTAATTCTCGTCGTATTATTTTTATACTCCACTAAGATAATTTATTTACACGGAGGAAAAAGAAATTCATTGAACCAGACATATTTTGTAATTCGAAGTATTAACTTCGAGTGAAAGAAATTCTGAGGAAACATTGCATCCAATTTATTTGTGTTTGTTCCAATTAAATAAAGAAAGTATTTCTTTGGGGCTATTCAAAGAAATACTTCATGGGTTCAATGGAATTTCTTCTCGGGGTATTAATGGCGATTCCACTAGGAAATTTCACTTGGGGTGAATTCCCGACTCGGTGGAGAAGCACCTGCGAGCACTCGCGAAATTGGCGGCGCACTTTCGATCGCGGTCGGCTCTGTACAAAGTTTGTTTATACGAAGTTCGAGGATGCTTTGAAATAGTCATGCCGGAGTCGCGGTCGTTGGAAACGAGGCCAAAGAAATCGATGGTCGCGTGGGAAGACCTCGGGATCGAGATCGCGGAAATTGGTAAAAGCGGGGAAAGGAAGAAAAATCAGCTGTTACTTCTAAACGTCAGGTAAAATTTGTCATTTCAGCGGAAGGTTGCTTAAGTCGCATGAAATTAGAACAATATTTCTTAACGAAATTCTCTTAGAAAATATTTCTTTACGAAATTCTCTTAGGAAATATTTCTTTACGAAATTCTCTTAGAAAATATTTTTTTATGAAATTCTCTNAACAATATTTCTTAACAAAATTCTCTTAGAAAATATTTCTTTACGACATTTTCTTAGGAAATATTTCTTTACGAAATTCTCTTAGAAAATATTTCGTAAAGAAATACGCCTCGAAGAAGCGTGGACTTCGGACCTCGAGTTTGGCAATTACCTCTTCGTCCATGATTTGGCATAATGACGTACTTGGTCTTTTGGCAGGCGTATCGGCGGCCGAGGGGGCTACAAGGCGACAAAAGCCCACGCAAAACGGCGAAAGAGCCGACCCGAGGAAGTCAATCGGCGTGCAGACCGCATCCGGGGTGACATATCGACTACGAGTGTTGCCATTGTTGAAGGACATCGTCGACGAAGCCGAGAGCAATACCGAGCCCAGCAAGTCCATCAGGGTGTGGAAGTACCTCAGGTTCCTGGGCAGGGTCTCCCTGTGTCAACTCGGTACGAGAATGAGATTACAAAAAATTCAAGACGTCCTACGGAAGCTTCCCTAGTAGCCTAAAACATCTTCTACATATTTACCGAGTATCCTACGTTTTGTAAATATTAATCTAAGTATTCCTTTCAGGGCTCCTTTGGCTGCTGAGCTTGTGGGCGGTCGCGGGCTCGGCCGCGTTTTACGCGACCGAGGGTCCTCGGGAACGAGAGCAGGTCCTGAAGCTGAAGGATATGCAGGGAGACCTGGCGGTCGGTTTGGCGGAGGAATTGCGAGGAATCGAGACCGACAATCCGGACATGCTGCCGAGGTGGAACCAGAAGGTGCAGCGGTACGTCGCCGAGCACGAGAAGCTCCTCCTGGCGGCCGTCAGCTCCGGATACGGCGAGGGTGGGTACGGCTACGACGGGGGAGGTGGTCAGCTTTGGACGTTCCCTGGATGTGTGCTTTTTGCGAGCTCTCTCCTCACTACTCTCGGTAAATTCGGAAGGTCTTCCGCCACCTTGGGAAGTCGATTACGATCGACATATCCGCCCTCGACGAGCCGTACGAATTATAGTTGACTATAGAAACGAGTACTTTTACATTTACGATTTTTATTTTATACTTCGGTACACCGAGAAAAAAATTCCATCGAACCAAAGAAACATTTCCTTGATACTATTTAATGAATTTTTTTCTCGGGTGATACCAAAGTGGAGTATCCAAGAGATCAATTTATTCACCAAGGACGAGAAAAAGGAGACGGATTTTTTCTTGGGAAAATTTAGTTGACGCGGCGGAAGGGTAACTTCGCCATTGTCGTATAGGTTTATCAGCAGGTATAAGATAAAGTGAATTTTCCCTCTTCAGGTTTCGGCGCACCCGTGCCTCGAACCACGGCAGGCCGCACCGTGGCCGTAATTTTCGCAGCAGTGGGTATACCGGCGCATTTTCTATTAATCCTGAACGTCGGAATCCTGCTGGCAGTGAAACTGCAAGCATACGCAATAAAGAAGAGACAGCTTAACGGAGAAGAGGGCGAATCCAGCGAATCTTCATCGATGTCCAGATGGATCAAATTAGTCCCCTTCGCGTGCATCGGTAACGCAGTTTATTCCCAAGCAACATAATTCTCTTAGCTAGTCTCCTTACATATCCTCGTGGCTATGCATCCTTGCTCCGAAGTTCCACGGAAAGGTGGAGCGACGTCGAACAAATGTGAATCAGACAATGGTTCGCGTTTGTATGCGATTAGCGCGCCAGGTGTTGCATTCCGGAATTAATCGTTACACGTGCCGACGATCACGAAAGTGGCCTAAGTAATTCCCTTCTTTTCTTTCTTACAAAACTAGCTCTACGTTCAACTCAAATGAATACGAGATAATCGCAAGACAAATATGGGTACAACGAATTATTTTAGATTTTTTACTTGGGCCAGATTTCTAATTACAGGGACATACGTCGTTGCTTCAGAGTTTCATGCTCAACTATTATTTAAAAATGTATTTGGCTCGAAACTCTACCGAGTTTCTTGTAACGAATCGTTGGCTTCTTTACTAAGAAAAAAAGCAATGCATCGAACCAAAGAAATATTTTGTTAACTTCAAAGACTCGAACTCAAATAATTGTTCTTTGAATAAACGAAATATTTCTTTGGTACCATTCGGAGAAATATTTTATTGGTTCGATGGATTTTTCTTCTTTTCTCAGTGTAGATGACATGCTTAGGTGGGAAGTCCTAAAGCAGTCTTTCGTTTCCAGGAGGCTACTACTTGCTGGGCATCCTCTGTTTCGGAGCGGGGAGATCGAGATCCCTCGAGGACAGTTTACTCTTCCCTTTGGATTTCACAGCAGCTGGTGGCTTGGCGACGACCTCGGGGATCGTGCGAATCATGTACGCCTTGTACTTGGAAGGAGCCGTGACGATAGCTGCCATCGCCGTGGCCGTTCTTCGGGTTTCGGCGACGCAGAGTCTGACGAACGTGGGTCTCAAGTACGGCCTACTGATTCCCGCCTAAAGACCAACATGAACGTCCCCAGCTACTTTAAGGTGTTACGAAAGGATAATTCCATATACATGAAAACGTCAAAACGTTTATAAAATTTTCCTCCAAACTGGGTGCACTGGAACATTTGAAACTTCACCACGTCATTATGGAGATCCTAAGGAAAATCGCTATGCTCGTGACATTAAGAAAAAAAAATAAAAAATTGTTCTTTAACCCCGACGAGAACCAAGGAGACATATTTATTTTGTTGAAAAATGAAATTTCACGAGCATCGCGTTATTCCTTAGGGCCTCTATAAATTATGCGCTGAAATTTCAAATTATTCGGGGCACCCAGTTTGATGACAATTTTTATATTTTGACGCTTTGATACATATAGAATGGCCATAACACCTTAAGACTACACTAATCAGCTGTTTCGGCACTCGACGTGCTGCAATTGTGTCGCTAGAGTGGACTCGAACATCCCTCGATTAACTGTGTATCGTGCACTCTCGATCCACCCGAACCGACCAGAGATTCAAGGCACATCGAAGCTGCCATTAAAACCGCGGCATGTGAATCTATATGGAACAATAATTTCCGCTTTACGAACATGTTTATAGTCTTTGTAAGATAAATCCTCACTTGCCAGACACTGGTCCGTCCATCGTGACTTGAATTACCCCCCGTGAGGCTTAAGGCGATACGAAAGTTAAGGACTGACATAAATTATGAAACTTTCCCCAGAACTGGGGGTAACGAATTATCTGAAACCTCACGAGGATACTCTCACCCCGAGATACCACTAGTGAAAAGTAATTTCTATTATAAAAATTAAACATTTATATAGAATTTGAAAAACCCGAAGTTTCATGGGTGTCGGACCCTTCCCTAGGGCCTCCACATCCACGAGGTGAAATGTAATTTCTATTATAAAAATTGAACATTTATATAGAATTTGAAAAACACGAAGTTTCATGGGTGTCGGACCCTTCCCTAGGGCCTCCACATCCACGAGGTGAAATGTAATTTCTATTATAAAAATTAAACATTTATATAGAATTTGAAAAACACGAATTTTCATGGGTGTCGGACCCTTCCCTAGGGCCTCTACACCCACGAGGTGAGATTTCAAGCGATTCGATAAATCCATTTAAAAGAAATGAAAGAAAGGTCTCGTGAAAGCCGTTCTCCGTCCGCCACTTTTGTATCGCCTTAATGTCAACGTGCGATTTAACGATATCGTCTCTTTGCCCGAGAAAAAAAATCATTCTCCGACTTGCGTAACGAGGAGATCCTCGAGGAGGGTCGAGGACAGCGGCGTGGGAGGGTCAACGAGGATGCATCCCCGGAGCTCGTTGGTAACTTGTAAAATGGATTTATTACGATCCTCGGTACTCGAACTAAGTGACAATCGCGCACTTTGTTTCAGAGCCATCCGCCGACGAGGAGGAGGCAACTAGGGGGCTGCAAGGAACGTCTCCGACCAGGGTGTCTCGTCCTGCTGTGCGGCAAGTGAGAAGAACTCGAGACTGGGAACGGATCTTCCGGTTCTACTGGGTGGATCGGGAGCCCAAGAGGTGGACGAGTATCCCTGGAGGACCTATGTCATCTTTCGACGGTGTCGCTTATCGACGTCGTCCTTGTCCGAGGAGGTCCTCGGGGCGTAGCCGAAGGCCGAGTCCTGGGGCACGTCGGCGGGACCTTTGGGCGTCACGTCCTCCCGAGACGGGCTCGGTTTCCCCAGAGCCGCTCGTATGGCGTTGACCAACTGCAGGGGCTCCGCGTAGCAGTGTTTCGTTCCTGGAGGCACATATTAGCTCGGTAGTCCTTTCCACGGCACCCTTCTCCTGGGTGTAGGGCGGAGCAGCGGTCGACCGGGTGCATGGGTATATTAAAACGAGAGAAAAACGCTTCAAGGATCTCACTCGGTGGTCACCAGTCGGGAGAAAGGAAACTCACGAGAGTTTTGCACTGCAAGTCACTCACCTAGAAAGATCTCTCATCCGAATATCGCCCTCTTGATCTTACCGAGCAGACCATCATCCCGATCACCCTGTACCTCGGGTTTCGCTTGAGTTCCCTCCCCGGAACCTCCCATGCGTGAAAACCCTAGAAAAAGTAACGTTTCGACACATGGTTGCTAAGAGTACACGCGGGATGGTCGTGCTAAGTTATGACTCCTTCGAGAACGATTTTTGCACTTTTCTACTTACGACTCGAGGCAACATTTGAGATTGAAGTCGAAGGAATATTTTGAGAATAACATCCAAATTCACCAGGAAGCGAGTACCGTATTGTTTCCTTACGCGAGTCATAAGGTGTACGGGAAGTGAACTCAAGCGATACCAGGTAGCGTAATGTTCGTTTTCATTTTTTTTTCTTTTATAGCCGAGTCTCGAGAGAAGGGCCGATTTTAAGAGTCGTGGTGATTATTGAAAGCGTTTACGGTGTACAATGTTCTCACAGTAAAAATGCTGGACTGTCGTTGGGAGTAATGACTAGATTAAACATGGCCTTCGGTGGAACGATTTTGAACTCAAGGGTATTCGTAAGAGGGTAATTTGAATTGCAGTACTTCTTTGGCCTTTTACCGCGGAATCACGTTAACTCTTCGATGTCACGGCTGAGCTAGGTCTCACTACGTCAACTTTTTTCACGTTTGCCCTTACCATCCTTCTTGTAGGTGATTCCATAAACACTTCCTGGAGTGTCGTTCTCGAGTTCGGCGTATGCTTGCATCAGTGATTTCTGCTCTTCGGTCAATCTCTCCGGTATGGTGATCTTGATGTTAACGTAGTGGTCACCGTAACCTGCTCCGTTCATTTTCTTCATTCCCTTGCCAGACAGTCGAATCTTTGTGTGCGAAGAAGTTCCTGGCTTTATCTGGATCGTTTGATCCTCGTAAACCCCTTGAACTCTTATGGTGCCACCCAGTACGGCTTGTGCAAGTGAGATCTCCCCATCGGTGTGCACATCTGCACCATCCCTGCGGAAGTATCTCGATTTCTCCACTCGGAATGTTACGAACACTTCTTTGTTGCCGACAGCCAAGCGAATCGTCTGACCATCCTCCACTCCAGCTGGTACCGGTACAGTTACCTTCTTTCGCTGTACCTGTTTTAACACAGGAATTAAATAATTAGTGGATTTACTATAATACAATAAAAGGTAATACAGGGAGAGGTCAATTTAGTATGTATCAGTAATTACCGACTGTCCTTTTCCTTCGCACTCTGGGCAGGGAAACTTAATATAAACTCTGCTTCCGTGGCAGTACCGACAAGTGGATCGCATGACAAAAGGACCAGTGCTGATCGTTTCCATGCCGGTTCCATTACAATAGGTACAACGAACTGCTTTCGTTCCGATATCGCACCGCGAGCCGTTGCATCTCGGGCATATATCGACTACATTGACTAAAATGTCTTTATTGACACCTCGCGCAGCTTGAGCAAAAGTTAAATTCATAATAACCTGCAATTAGAAAAGTGGAGTTCCCTTCAGAATAGCTCAATATTACTCTTTACAAAATATTGAATTTAATGTACAAGATTCAAGCAAAAATCACTTCGGTTTCGTTGAATATTGAAAAACTTACCTCTTGAGCCGCGCCGAAACCAAACTTTGAATCTGCATAATCCTCAAAATCACCAAACGTGCCTCTCTGAAAGCCAGCATCACCAAATATTTTTCTAAACAATTCTTCTGGATTAACGGTTGACTTGAATTGCCAGTTGTGAGTGAAGTTTTGAGAGCTCTGACCGCCTCCTCCCTGACCCATTCCCATTTGCTCTGAGGTTGCGCCCCAAGTGTCATACTGCTTTCTTTTGGCATCGTCACTTAGTATTTCATACGCTTCGGAAACTTCTTGAAACTTTTTACTAGCGTTAGGATCACCTTTATTTGTGTCTGGATGATATTTCTTCGCTAATTCGTAATAAGCTTTCTTTATGTCCTTTGCCGAGGCGTTCTTAGATACACCCAAGATATCATAGTAACTGCGCTTTAATAGACAGTTGGTTAAGTGCAAATTCCGTCGTGGTACCGTAATCTTATCTAGGTTACCTGAAATATTCAAGTCATTTTAATAAAAAACTATTCACGATAACGCCAAAATGTTGAACATTATTTGTACATAGAATTGCATGTAACTAAAAGTAATGGCAGGAGTTCAAAGGTCTTCACTTATTGAAATTCGCATGCAATTCTTATCGTTCTAGTTCCATTACACCAGGGAAGCGAAAAATTGTTTGGAGAATGCGATATCGAGAGTACGAAGTATGCATTTCAATATAAAAAGAGCAATTCAAATGTGGCAAGTGCGCTCCGATCGGCACCGATAATATAGGTTAGACATGCTTTTTTTTTCTATCAATCCGTCCACGCAATTAGGTTATGTTAATGAAAAAAACCTGTGAAGGCGGTAAAGCTTGACCGGGCGCATTAATTGCACGATAAAAACAAGCGATTTTAGCCGGACAGGATTCAATGATGTAATCTAAATTGCGTTTGTAGGGTAACAAGGCACGTTACATTTTTGGAGTTTTTGGCGATTCCCGACGTCGACACACAGTGCAACCGTAGCGAAGTGCCGCTGACACGCGTTGCATCGTTGCAACAGACCACACTGCAAATTACATAGTTTATTACACCCGATTAAATTGACGGCCCTCGGTCTCAAAATCGCTGCGAGCCCCTTGCCGGTAGCCATCTTGAATGAAGAACGCATGGCCGCTCGACTGGTCACGTGACCGGTGAGCAGACGATGCTTCCCCTGCATAATCTAAAAAAGTTTTTCACTGTTTTTTTCCTGTCTCGAATAAAATGCGTCGGTTAAAAATATTTCAACAAAATTCCTGTACCGACTGGGTCGATCTTCAGGATCAAGCGGGTCTTATCAGGATGTGGCAGGACTAGAAATTTCTATTTATTTTGAATGGCGGGGATTGTATGCATATAGGTCGATCTAGATAGTGGCGACTCTACGCGATCCTTCTAGAATAAAAGTTGAACCATTGAGCAAGGAAATTCAAGGACGAGTAAATCAACGTAGAAATTTCGGACAGGTGACAGCACGATCGGTGAACAGACGCCGTCTTGATTGTATGATGGAGTATCCTATCTTGATGGTTGCTGGTCAATGTTCTTGCTTTCGGTTTCTTCGTGACGAAAGAGATGCGTAAAGATGGCGGCGATGGCGGCGAAAGGTCAACGTTGGATGGTTGATTCTGGGATTCTGCGTAAAAAAAATGGTGAAGAGGAGCCGCAAGAACTGTTGGTCTTCGGATATAGCTGCAAGTTATTTCGGGACGATGAGAAAGCCAAAATGGTTGATCAGGGGAAGCATTTGATACCATGGATGGGCGATAACGAATTGAAGATAGACAGGTCCGTTTCCCTAACCTACAAGTTTACCATCTATAGGATATTTGTTTTTTCTCTGCCATTACGCACATTACTTATGTTAGACTATTTAGAGGAACGAACTGAGAGAGTGAACGAGAAAGAGAGATTGAGAGAAAGAGTCAGCGACCGAGCGACCCTCGTTTCGTGAAACAAGAGGAAACGATAAAAAAAGTTTCTCAGAGACACGGTTAATGTACGGTTAAGCAATCTGGAGACTGTTTAAGGTTTCTGCAGGTGTCTCGACTGCGATGGCGTTGTGCCGAAGCGCGATATGCGCTCTGCACGGGCGCGGAATAAGGTGCTTTTGTGACACGGCGCTTACGGCTGTCCGTCCGGTGCAGCAGCAAGGTGAGACACAGCGTAGAGAGAAAAACAGCAGCTGATGGTCGTATGTGTTACGATCGATCAGTGCGGTATGTATTAGTGCGCTAAGGAATAAATGGCGGAACTAATGCATAATGGGTTTTCCTTTGTACAACATTCGTTGCCCCATTTTCAGTTCATACGATTATTTGTAAGACTTCAAATTCTATCCAACATATAAAAGTTTCATCTATCATGCTCGAGATAAATATAACTGTTACACGATCGTAAATCATTTGAGTTTGGATACAAAAGTATTTCTATGGTCCTCGATGATGCAGCCCTATACTCGTTCATGTACTCGCAACTGCGGAGTGTCTAGTTTCTAGAGTGCCGATTGGTTTACATCCGTCGATTTGAAACAGCCTTTCTGCAAGCTGAAAACCTGATGCTTTACGACTGTGATGCATAACGTCGGTGCATCAAAATGGTTATAGAAAAATAATTCACATTGAATGAACACCTATGTATTTACTTTATGCAATTATTGACAAATAACGTTTTGGTTATTGTGCACAATTTTCATTGCTTGGGATTCCAGGCAATGAATGTATTTTCCCTACCTTACAGGCATCGCACTGGTGGTATTTGCATTTTAATCGGTGATATTATCTAACTTCCAGGTGCTGAATGCTGCCATTCTCCTTGTATTTTTAATTTTCTTCCTTCTCTAATGCCAAACTTATGTGTCTGTAGATACGATGGACGCGGGGCACTGGGGGATTTGAGGATATACGAGCCACCTACAGGTGGTTTCGACCTGCGGACGATTCTTACCGAGGATGAACTCAAAGTCGAACAACTGTGTGATGAGGAACGCTACAAATCCCTCTATAATAACGATGCAGAGGAAGCTATATGTCATGGTAAGTGTATAATAACTGTATTTCATAATTGCTAAACATTGTTTTCCTTTAGATCTTCTCTTGACGACCTCGTACTTTTTTGTCTTAATAAACCATTGAATATTTTTGTGATTGTGATGAATATCCGTTTCTTTTCTAAACCTAGAAGAGGAAATGAAGAGATTGCATCAGGCCTTAGACTCGGAGAATACATACAGTCAAGTTGGGTACAATTACCAAGAAGAAAACAGTCAAAAAGGTGAAGAATCGCAAAGCCCAAAACAATCGGAGGGTTCACAAGAAGAGGAAGACCAAGCATTCGTCGTTCCTCCTGAACTGAACGTACCCGAAGGGATGATCCTGGTAAGTATCGAAGTTTTATTTAATTTTCCATCGACAGTCGAATACAACAAAATGAGTCCTATTTATTATTTACTTTCAGCCTGAAACGCATAAACTTAACGCTATCATAACGAAAACGGCATTATTTATAAGCCGCCAAGGAGGCCAGATGGAGATTCTGATAAAAGCAAAACAAGCGAACAACCCCCAGTTTGCATTCTTATCGATCGACGGCGAACTGCATCCCTATTACAGGCACGTACTCGAAGCCATCAAGTCTGGGAAGTACAATCCAGAGAAAAAACCAGAAAAGGAAGAATCAGGTGAGCCTTATCGATCTAATTAAATCATGGACAGTGTAACGTAATCTCCAAAAACTGTCGACAGATGACGGAGAGGAATCCGAAGGAGATGACGAACCTTACCTCCATCCGAGCCTGGTATCGTCCCTGACCAAAGTGGAAGCGGTAGGTCCCATAGAATCTCGCGTTACGAGTATAAGAATTTCTGATTAACATAGTACAAATGCTCGAGGGATGACTTGTGCTCCGGTCGGTGAGTTCGGAGACAGGGGATTCCGGAACATTTGGTTTTCCACTGCGATTTAAAAGGTACGCGCCGAAGGCAAGTCAAAAGAGTCCCCGATGACAGGTGAGAAGTCTCTCGCGACCATTCGGATAACGCTAAAGATGCCACGCGCGCTTTTTTCAATCGCATTGCTCTAACCCTTTAACAAGGTTCAGACATAACCTATAATTCTTGCTATGCCAACTTAATCTGAAATGTTTCTGTTTCCAGGGCTGGTTCTGGTATGCATCGGATCGACCATTGTGCCCCTTTGTTTATATAGCCGCACCATGTTCAAAATGTGATTCTTGCCAATGATTCATTTGCGTTCTAGTACGATAACGTTCCTAGCCAAAGTACTCTTTCATCGTAAATTGGTCCCACGCTAAATTTCGTTGCCGCCCTACAAACCTCGGTCACTGAGACCCGATTCCGAGAGTAACCGTAAATATTAACCGACAGATCGTTTAATCCGGTTCTCTTCGTTAAACCTCGGGAATATTCAGTCGCGGTCCAAGTCCTATCTTTGTCGAGATACGAAAACCTTTCCGCTGGTAAACGTTAGACCGCGCAATAGGATTTAGACATATCTCGTAGACGGTACATAGGAAAGTATAATCGTAACGAGCCGCATGCGGTGAGATTTTAAGATCCCTCAATTTGGTTTCCAGGCGCCCAGCATACCGAGCATACAATACAAGCCTTCGGCGGATTGCGCCTACTCGATGCTGGTGAATAAAATAACCGGCAAACCGCCTCCCTCGAGGATGCCCCCTCAGTCGGACGTTCCGATGCAGCCGTTGATAACACCTGGCTACTACCACCCCGCTGCAGCACAGGTAAACTTAATTTTTTTTTTAAATTCTAACACTAAATTCTGTTATAATCGCAGATAAACCTGATCGAAGGTCTTGTTTCCCTTCCCAGGCCTACATGGCGTATCCTCCTGCCCCGCAGCAGTACTCTCACGGGCCAGTAATTTACGGACAAAACGGACAAACCCAATCTCCACCCAATCCGCAAATGGCGTCCGCGCCGTCGTCGAGCGTCGAGGTTGTCGCGCCTCATCTTCAACAGAAAGAATTGCTGACCCCCCTCGTGCCTTACGGGACGTCTTACCAGAAACCTCTGAGCAGGCCTTCGTTCATCGTGCCCCCGGCCGACGTGCAGATCATCATCGACAAGATGGCGAGCTACGTGGCGAAGAACGGCCGAGACTTCGAGGCCATCGTCAAGAACAAGGGCGACCCTAGGTTCAACTTCCTCGAGCTGTCCCACCAATATCACGGGTATTACGCGCACAAGCTGACGCTCTACGAGGGCGCGTTCAACGCGAAGGTCCTCACCGAGGAGGAGCTCCTGCAGAAGCAGGAGCCGCAAGAGGAGAAGCAGAAGAAGCTGGAGGAGCTGCACAAGAAGCAGCAGCGGATGGAGGAGGTGCAGAAGAGGGTCAAGATGATTCAGGCCAAGAAGAAGGGCGACGCCAAAGGGAAGCAGCAGGGAGGCGGGAAACAGGTCACCACGGTGTCCTTCTCGATCAAGAAGCCGAAGGAAGGGGAGGCCGGGGTCATCGAGAAGCGCAGCGCGCTGCCCCTGGAGGAGAGCGAGGACGAGGGCGAGGAAGAAAAGAGGGAGGCCGGCTCGAAGCCGAACTCGCCCCCGGAGTGCCTCGAGGAGGCGCGAGATTCCAGGGAGAAGGAGCCGCCCAGGACCGAGAGGCGCGCGAAAATCGAGGAAAAGGAGCTGGTGGACCTTACGGATGATATTCTAGAGGACTGGCAGAAGGAGGCGAGGAATCGGCAGGCGGAGGACAGGATTAAGGATAAACTTGCGGCGGCCGCGCGCGACAAGATGGCCGCCTCCGCGAGGGACAAGATGGCCGCCGTCTCCAGGGAAAGGCAGCTCCAGCTCGAGAGGAAGAAGAAAGCTGCGATGTTCCTCAGTCAGATTCAGGCCCCGAATTTGAACAAGATACCGTCCTCGGGGTTGAATCCGCGTCCTAGAGCCGAGGAGGAGGAGGACGAGGTGCAGTCCTTGCCCTCGCCGACGCCGGAAGAGATCGAGGAGGAGGCCAGGGGTGGATCCAATTCCCTGATGAGTCGGCTTAAGAGCGCGGACCTCAGCGGCAAGAGGTCCAGGCCCAGGTCCAGGAGCTCCAGCAGAAGTCGAAGCCATTCCGACAGGCACAAGCAGCACAAGAAACACAAGAAGAAAAAGAGCGCCCATAAGAGGTGAGGCGGCCGCAAGATGGCGGTATGGTCATTCGTGGTTCGCGGTTCTATTTACTTGTATAAATTAATGCGAGGTACTTATGTTGTATTTTTCCGTTATTCGTATTTTTCATGGATGCACCAGCTATGAGAGCCCCAGCAGCAATCGGCCGCACAAGTCGAAGAAGAGCAAGAAGTCCTCGTCGAGGCACAAGTCTCGATCTAGAAGCCCTTTGCACCGACACAGACAGTCCTCGAAGCACTCGAGGAAGAGTAGCCATTCCAGCGACTCGGGATCGAGTTCGTCTTAATGTATACAACGAGTCACTCTGATATTGAGTATGTAAAATTGTACATATACCGTCGACCTGTCTTTTACCGCAGATTATAAAATATAGACACGCAAGCATACACCCAGGAATAAATGGGAGGAGTTCTGTCTTCTGGATAATAAGGAGCGCCTCTAACATGTTTCAGTGTACCCTGTATTTTCAGTATTATAAAGAGAGACAATATTGCAGAAATATCTCACTTTTCGAATTATTCCGGACTCCTCTCGTTACGTCGCATTTTTTTTTTTCTCTTCTGTGCACAATTTGTAAGCGAAGTTTGTTGTATGAAACGCAAAGCGAAACGACGTGCCTGGTGTTGTACGAGGTTATGTATGGACCAATTAGGACTATTTATGAATTATGTGCCGATTATTGTTAATTTAGGTGTAGTTCTCTTTTTATATACAGCGTAAGGAGTAATAGAAGCGTTTGAAACGCTGAAAGGAAACCACTGGGATTTATGTGTGCGACTATGTGGACGAATTATCGAACTTATCGTTTCCGCGTTCTGGTCTTTAATGTCGCTCGACTTATCCTGGAGATGGTAGCGTTATCCTTTATCAAGTATTCTCTTGCAATTATCGTTTATACTCGATACGTTACGTAATACGAGGTTATCGTTTGGAAAACTTGGAGGTTCATTAATCTCTTTTGCGCAGATCTCGCGGGTTTGCGTCAGAATAATCGGACGATAGTTCTGAGCGCGTTTCCCAGACAATTGTGTATTATGCCAGATCTGGAAAATTTATCTTGTCCTCCTCACTCCGCGCTTTCTTCGGCGAGTGGAAAGTAAACGGCGATTAGAAATTTTACTCTTCCCGGGGCAGAATTTCTCGAGACGTGGAAATTAATGAAAAAATTCTCCCCTTATTTTATTCAAGTCGAGGGAAAAAAATTTTTATGAACCGAAGATTCGAAGAATAATTATTTCACGCAAATGGACTCAAATTGTCAATCCGAAGAAATGTCCGAAGTAAAACTTGTCTTTTTTAACCGTGGAAATGGAAGGAGAATATTCTCCTCTTATTTTACCTACTCTTGATAGTAGTATTTCTAGGACGATGCGATAACATAGGAATAGAATTTATATTTTTAATCGTGGAGGGAAAAAGAAAGAAAAAAATCCCCTGCATTTTACCGGGATTTTTTCTTTGTCGCAAAATTTCAGGACGACCGGAGGCTTGGAATGGAAGTATTCTTTCTTGATCCTGGAAGCAAAGGGATTGATCCAGGTTTTTCCGAGTCCTGCCAATTCGAAAGAAGAAAAAACAACGACTGACCGCCCACGAGAAGAGCGACTATTTTTCCGATTTTTTTTCTTTTTCTTTTTTACCATGCCTCGTCGAAGACAATGGATGTACTCATTACGGAAGACACGAACGAGCAAACGTTGCGGATATGCGGAATTTCGGATCACGGGATCTGACAGAAGCTGTTACTGTTTTGAAGCTCATGGCACCGATCGGCGATAAGGATTAGATTTCATAACGTCGGTGCACACCACAAGGGCACTTTTTATTAAGTGCCTCTCCTAAGATACGCAGGGAATCTCTAAACTTCTCTTCCTCGTAGGAATAATCGTTTTTTTTTATGGCCGCATGATAGCGGATCGTTTTAGACGTATTAAAAAAATCTAACTGATCCCATTCACCGACTTTGCCGTGATACGGGGTCAAGAATTCACCAGATGCTTCTCGTTGCCGTTTAAACCCCGATTTTGTTAATTGCACTTGCGAAAGTTCTTCCTCGTAATCGCAGAAAATATCCCAGCGTAAATTTTGATATTTAACTTAAATAATTCGTTGATATTTAACTTAAATATATCACGGAATTCAACTCAAAACTTCAGAACGAATGGAAATTATGGGAAGGATTTTATGCACCTCAAACGCCGAAAACAAAATGGCGGACGATTTCAAGACGCTCGAGAGTTGCGTGGCCTTTTTATTTAGCTTAAATAAATCTCCCTTGTTGAAAAACTTGATGATTGAGGGTCGAGGAGATTCTCGGGACCTTTTTTTTATCAGTTTCTCCCATTTTTTCGCCGCTGTGCCATAATATTCCAGGGAAGTTACAAATAAACCGCGATGCCTTGGTGGGAGATAGCGGGCCATTATACATCCGAGTGTAGAAAGATCAAACAGGGGTCAGGGGTGGTTTGTTTCAGGTTTATAAGTTAACTCAGTTATCCGACTAGTCAGTCAGTGTGGCATTACCAGCTGTGAGAGATAGTTTGTTTCGGAAATATGTCGGCCAAAATCGCTGTAAGTGCACCTTGTAAATACCGCGTCGGCCTATCGAGAATCTTTCCCTTCTTCTCGTTTTTCTATTCGCTTTATCCGGTGTTTTGTCAAGATTTAAACAATTAGTTCCGCTTGTTCAAATTAAAATTGAAGCGCCTTAATTTTATTCAGCCAAGATTTAAGCGATATTAATTTTTCTTCGTTCAAGTGCACCCATTTATTTAAGTCCCGATCTAGGTACATTAATTTTTTCGAATTGAGTTTAAAATTTGTTAAACGCTTTTTAAACACTATAAGAATCATTTTTTTTCTATCTAGTGCTTGTCAATTTTTTTTTTTTTTTTTCCCAGTGAAAGGGAAACGTTTGGTCTTTTTTCTCTCTCTATTTTTTTTTTCTTGAATAAATTAATTTTCTGGAATATGTAGCGATATTTTTCACGCGTCCTCCACTTTGTATAGTAGAGTGGAATTTTTAGAATTGTTATTTCAGTCGAGATTTTTATGGAATCGAAGGTTCGGTCGATCGATCGCGTTCACGGGCGAATAATTTATTAATCGGGACGTAAAATAAAAACTATATTAGTCGCCTCGCCGGCATCGCTTCTCAAGTGTGAAGGTCTAATGTTCTATTCTTGACAAGACAATAGAAATGAGCGTTATTTATCACAATCCAAAAAATTCCAGTTAAAAGACAAAGTTTCATTTATTTAATCTTGACCAGATTCCTAAACATGCCCTATCAGATATTTTTATTAAAATATTATCTGGGATGGATAATATCCTTTTTCCGATTAATTAAAAAATTCTTACAAGGAAACATTCCCAAGTGTCCGCCGCCGATATTATTAATTTTCATACATGTTGAAGAACACAAAAATCTAAGAGACACGTTTTTTTTTTATCTAGCTCTAGCAATCGTAGTAAGATATCCATATATCCAATCAGATCTGAATAATCAAGATTTCCTCGTCATATTCAGATCTTCTCATTAACGATGACTAGAAATAGTTTAACCAGGCGCATTTAGCAACATTAGTCGTGATTTATTTAGTGCGGGATGCGTATATGAATGTATGTGTAATATATTGTCGGCCTGGAATATGAAATATGAAAAATGTTTACAGCCTCTCAATCAATCGGCGACGATGCTGGACCCATCCACGCAGCTTCGTCCGGAGGAAATCTTCGAGGGGAAGCTGAAGACAGAATTCAGGAACTATTCGGTAGATTCCTCGGATCCGATCAAGGAACGAGTTAAGAAGACGTACTACAATATGCACACCAATCAGACCGTCCAGTTCGTCAGATGTTAGTATGCAAGCTCAAATGCGGATTCCGATGCAGACCATTAACGTGAAGAACTCCCGCTGAAAACGTTATCAGGAATTAATCGCTGCCCTTAATCGCCTCGAGATATAATGCCCATCTTCGAAGACACGAGGCAGAAGTCATAGGTTACTCGATATCGCTTCTCAGAGTACTTTTGCGAGCCCAGCCGATCGTCTGAGAAATCCTCTCCGGGTTTTCTGAGCCCAAGAAAAAAATATAAAAAAAAAGAACCAGAGTTTCGGTTATTTTTTACCGGATCAGGCCGTTATCATGCCCTTATCGCGTGAGGTATAGCGTAAGATATCATCTAGCGTTGACATAATCTTTCTGGGAAATTTAATGAGGATTTTTTATTCCTGTTATAATAATATAATATGAGAGTAATCTCATTAATTAAGAAAATATCCTTTAACCAGCGGTTAGATACATTAATCGGAGCTTTCGTTTCAATGTGCCCTACTTTGTGCGCGACATGGGTAATCGATAATATTTAAATTTACCGCCGCAATCATCGGACCCGGTTAATTGGTGCTGGAATAATTACCGATAATCGACTGTTATACTCGCTGAATGCATTATAGGGACATGTTATCGATAACGAGACCTCGTAAGAGTGTGCGGATTAACCGATTGATTTTACACCCATCTCTGTGACGTATTGTCGATTATTAAGCCACGCTAGAGCGTACCGATTATCGATATGTTTATCGGGTCGTTCCATGAGCTCGGTGATTTTCCGAAGGCTCGACAATTAATCTTTTTTTCCAGGTAAATTCACCGTAATGTCTCTTTAATTATTAATCTTCCCGATAGCTCGAATGGCGGAGTGGCTGCAATTCAACAAGTTCAAGATGGCCATTAAGGACGCTTTAATCAAGCTGAACGACATCGTGGACGAAAGCGACCCCGATACCGATTTACCGAATATCGTGCATGCCTTTCAAACTGCAGAACGCATAAGAGCTGATCATCCTGACCTCGACTGGTTCCAATTAACAGGATTAATTCACGACCTCGGCAAGGTATGACATTAGCTCTTATCCATTAACATAAGGTAACGAAAATGTCCGATTAATCGTTTATACATTTTTTTTTTTTTTTCTGCAAACCGAGTGTACGGAATTGACATATTACCACATGAGCATGAATAAATTGTTATTAATGAAATATAAATTGTTTAAAATGTCAGAGCCTCCGTGTTCACGTGGTAAAATTTCAAGTAACAGGTTGGGAGCTTTAAGAGCGATTCACCTTAAGTGTATTATTTTTTAGCATCTGGTAATGACAATTATTACCTTCCAGATCATGGTCTTCTTTGGTGAACCGCAATGGGCGGTGGTTGGTGACACTTTTCCCGTGGGATGTGCATGGGGCGATTCCATTGTTTACAGGAGTACCAGCTTCGAAAATAATCCCGATGGAAACGACAGTCGATACAAGTCAGTGGGATCTTCAATTATCTGGAAAAGGAATTTTATTTCATACCAAACTGCTTTAAGCGAAGTTTAGAAATATTCGTACAATGGTTCTGCAAATTGATTAATTATTGCTGCATGAAAAAATTGTACCGTGTTATTCGGAGGGTTGTGTGTGTCTTTTAATTGTTACTTCTTTTTTTTTTCTTGCTTTATTCTCCCGCAGATTATAATTTGAGGATTTATTTCAGTACAAAGTACGGCATGTACAAACCTCGGTGTGGCTTGTCCAATCTTACGATGTCCTGGGGCCACGATGAATATTTATATCGGGTCTTAAAACATAACAAATGTAAACTACCGGAGAAGGCTCTGGCCATGATTCGTTATCACTCATTTTATCCTTGGCACGCTGGAGGAGATTACATGTACTTCTGCACGAACGACGACATGGAGATGTTGAAATGGATTCTGGAGTTCAAGTGAGTTTCGATTTCGGTTCGACATTACCGTCCGAAAAGTTTCAAAGTCAATGATATGCATCGCTTGTCTATATTTATTATAAAAAATTGAATTATTCTATGCGAGTGAAAAGTTTCGGGCATGCCATTCCGAGTAGAGTAAAATGATATGAATTATGAATTAAATTGATTATTAATTTAATTGGAGGGGATTTCTCTTTTACAGCAAGTACGATCTTTATACCAAGAGCGAAGGCGTGCCTGACATCGGCGAATTGTGGCCCTATTACGAGAAATTAATTGACAAGTACATTCCTGGAGTCCTGGAATGGTGAACAATCGGTGAAGTTTGGAACACTCAGAGATGAACCATTTAAGAACCTTTTACGGCGGATAACGAGTTACCGGATGAGCCTTATCGATTAATCTTTCTCCACTGCGAGAAATAAGTAATGCAATAAGTATATATTTATAAGAGTAACGACCTGGCAAACGTCGAGGAGTGCAGGTGCCTTATCGATGCTTCAAACTAATTACCTGTATTAACGCACGCATAGTACTCGTACTCCTGACGCACCGTACAAAATGGAGTAACGATTACAAGGTTTACTACCTACTGGCGAACCGAGTTTCACAGTGGAAATAAATACTCCAATTCCTTAAAAGTACGTCCTTATTCCTAGACGATTAAAAATGCCGAAACGAGGAGAGAAGTAGACGGACCTGATTTGGTCGGGCGAAAATGAATCAGCCTAGAAATGGTCAGACTAAAGTAGTCTTCTTCCCTAGTAGATAAATCGACTTTCCAGTCAGACACAGATAGAAAAAAAAACTAGTCAGACGGAAGTAGAAAATCCACTTTTATTCAGACTAATCACTAGCCTCGATTTTGCACAGACAGGTTGATAAATTATGTTTAAGTCATACGCGCGATTAAAATCGTATATTAACATCGTAAAGAAGGCATTCATGTCCACCAGGGTGCATGCAGATAAATCGGGGAATTCGAGCAGATCCGAAACTCGACCGATCCCATTGCGGAATGGAAGCGGATAGAAGGGTGTCCGAGTGGGCTAGTGCGCGCCTCCCTCTGCGCATCCCTCTACGCAGGGTATCAGGGGCGGCGAGTCGGCCGCCTCGGCAGTACTCGGGATGCTTCGGGCGGGCTCGGAGCGCGGGAGGGCGCGCACCACTGGCAGTCGTCGAGCTCGAGCAGTTCGGGGCCGTTCGACGCGGCTCGGTTCGGTCAGTACGCCCCCGCGCCGTCGACCGGGCCGCACGTCGATGCTCGTCGCCGCGCCGTAGCGGGACCCGCGCAGCCACCGTCCCCGCGTCCCGCTGCAGGGTCGTCGGCGGGGTCGTTCGTTTCCCGGTGGCCGCGGTGAGTGGACCCTCTCTGCGTTCTTGAAAAGTGACCTCCGCCGCGCCGGGGGACGAGAGTGAGAGGGATAGAGGGGTACCCGAGTAGGCGCGAGAGAGCGAGCAGGCGCTCGGCGGGAGGGAGGCCGCTCGGGAGACTTCGGCCGACTTCGGGCAACCTCGGCCGCCCGTCGAGGGTCGCGCCGGAGGCTCCGTTAACCCATTACCCGCCACTCGCGCGCTTAAGAAATCGCGGGGGATGATAAGGATTTACGCTCCAGATTTATAGGGCTGCGTTAATCCGCCACCTAGCGCCGCGATGCGCGCTCCGGGAATCCAATCTCCCGAGGGTAACCTTCGCTTTGAGGTTATCCCACTTAAGAATACCTCGTAACGCTTAGATACGGATCCCCGTCCAACCGCGCGGAGGGATATACTCGCGGACGTCGCACGACTCTCGTTCTCTCCTCGAAATCCGCCGGCAGAATCGAAATTGCATTTTTTATTTTAACGCTCGATCGTCATTCCGACGTGAATTATCTTCTCGAGAGGGTGAGGAATGAATTCCCTCCGTTTCAGGTCCCCGTCGAAAGGGCCACTTCGGAACCGAGGTCTACCTTAAATCCGGAAATCAAAGAAGAGGAACTCACCAATTACGAGAAACTGCCAACGTTACCACGAAATCAAGATCCTGCCAAAGATACCTTACCCCCGAGTGATCGCCAATCGCATTAGTCGTTAACGACCTTAGGTTAAGAGATTTCGAGGAGGCGTTCATTATATAGGATAAAGAGGGGAGCAAGATGAAGAAAGTAGCGCCAAACTCGAGTTAGACCGGAGAGACCGGTGGGATGGTGTCGGGGTGGTGCCCCTGCGTTCCCCTAGGGCGCCGGGAGTCCCCGGCGGCGACGGGGAATTCAAACTGCAGCTACGGCGCCCCCTTCTCCGTCAGCGCCGCGACCGACCGCGCGGAGATGGTTCAAATGTTCTACTACGAGAACCGCGGCAAGTGCTGCAAGAAATTGCTTAGATACAACGGATATACGAACAAGGTAAGGTTACCTCCTACGAAACTTTTGACACTAGGTTTACGGGCGTTTTATATATATATATAATATATACATTATATATATGATGATATATATATATCATCATATATATAATGTATATATAATATATATATATATACCAAATACGTCGGTGAAAGATCGAATATTTCATTACATTGTTGTACATTCGGACCCTCTCCAGTGTGTGTCGACAATCACACACCGGTGAATGTCAACATTTACCGGTGTAAGTCAGAAATAAGGGTATTTAGGAAATATTTCGGACATACACGAAGCGACTATGTGAATGTTGACATTCACCGGGGAAAGTCGACATTCTCCAGATTTCGGTGTTTCACCGTAACACTTATCGTGTCGCTTGTTTAACTTACAGTTGTTACCGGTGAAGGCCTTAAGAATAACCGTTAGCATGTTATTCTTACGTTGCATAATTAATTAATGTCCCGTTTTGCTATTTTTCATTCTTTAGTAATTCTGGTAATATTAATTATGCATCGATTTGGAAGTGAGAATTTTCTAGAATTTGATCGGCCAATTCAATGGTTTTAATGAGAAGTGAAACCTGCAGTCGTTTCACCGAATACCCCCGCCGCCATCTTGTAAAGTGGTGCTCGAAGTCCGACCGTTATTTCGACGTTTGAAGGGCGTTTCTTTTTTATATGGAAATTGGGTTTTACGTTCCCCTGTGTCGGAGGGGTGCAACGACTGCGGGGCTTCAACTCGAAATTGGCACGGGAAATGGCTACGTGATGTATCGCACTCCGGGAGGATATACATACATGTATTGTAGGAATTGCGATGCCCGTCGAAACGAGTGATTGCTTAGACCCGGTTTCGCCGCGCTGCGGTCCACCGGAGTGAAATAGAGCGCCGTGGTTGGTGTTTCCCCTGGAGCGGTCGGAAGCTCCAATGGAAATGCCAATCAGCGTGCCGTGTTTCCCCTCGCACCCTCCAATGGGAGAGGCCGAGCGAGGATCGAGAATTCCGAATAGAGTGAAACCCCTGGCACTCTCGCACCCGATCTCGCCATAAAGGCAGCAGAAATGGAAGAAGGGAAACGATGCGACTTTTTCTTTTTTTTTTCTCTCTAATCAATTTTTCCCATTTTACGTGAATTATTTGCGCAGCGAATGCTGCCTTTACTTTTTATCAAGGATATTGTTGCGTATATATCCCATGTCCGTCTCACCATAAAGGCAGCGGAAATGGAAGAAAGGAAACGATACGACTTTTTCTTCTTTTTTTCTCTCTAATTAATTTTTTCCTTTTTACGTGAATTATTTGCGCAGCGAATGCTGCCTTTACTTTTTATCAAGGATATTGTTGCGTATATATCCCACGTCCGATCTCACCATAAAGGCAGCGGAAATGGAAGAAGGAAAACGATGCAACTTTTTCTTTTTTTTTTTCTCTCTAATAAATTTTTTCCTTTTTACGTGAATTATTTGCGCAGCGAAATATGCCGGTTATTCGACAGTTCCCTATTCCCTTCTCGCTGCCTTTGCTTTTTATCTAGGATATTGTTGCGTATATATCCCACGTCCGAGGTAAAACCTTGATAAAGAGGCACTCACCCTCGTTACGCACGAGGGCGCTCTTTGAGGAGTTCTTTTTATTTATCTTGCGCCCGCCTTGTCGAGTTTCGAAGCTCCTCCTTGATAAGGGACGAGGGAGGTCGTCGACGAAAAGGACGGCAATCGCTCGCGGAGGGAAGATGGAGATCGGATTAATGATCTAGAGCGGCTACCTTTATTTGCACAACCTCGGATCATCCATGGGGGAGGTTTAAGGGAGGAAATTCTACCCCTCGTGCCCACTTGATAGATTACTAGTCTCCTCGTTGGTCAGAGTCATGTGACACGTAATTCCCCTCCCCTTGACGCCTATTTGAATAGTTCCCGTATATCAAGGAACTCGGCAGAGTTTCGAGACAAATACGTTTGCACGAGAAATGTTGGCAGAGAGAGGTGGAACCTGAGCTAAAGATGCTCCCGAGTTTCTATACGTCAATTATACCGAGAATTAGATATATGTTTTAGGTACTTTATTACAGATGAGATTATTCCTTCATCGCCCCGTAATATATTGTGATAATATTTTTATCGTAATTATATTTGCGCAAGAGTCTTGAGCCGATGCTACCAAGTATCTTTACGTCAATTTTCCGGATAAAAAAAATATGCTTTAGATATTTAGGCCATAGGTGCGATTGTTCGTTCATCGCTCTGTAGTCAGAAATGGAGTTTCAAGCCAAATACGTTTGCGCGAGGATCTTGAACCAAGAGAGACGCTACCAGGTATCTATACGACAAGGATCCACTTTTCTGGGGGATGAGAAATATGCTTTGGATATTTAGCCACGTATGAGATTATTCGTTCGCCGCTCTGTACACATAAGCGGATACTGCACATCCAATGAATTTAATTTCGTCCAAGGGATGACTGGCATTACCCAGCGGGGTATCTTTTGCGAATCGATCCCGATAAGGGATTCCGGGCGAGAGCATAAGAATGCGACTCGGCCTCGCTTCCCCGAATTCAGTGGGGGTGTTTTCAATCGATGTCGAGGCGGTATTTGCATGGAACGCTTCGAGGGAAGTTCGAGGAAATGGCCTGCACCAAAGTTGCGCCGTTAAACTCGCTCGTCGGTGTGACGCCATGACGGGAAACAGACTAGAAAGAAACTCAAGGAGGTATTCCGTGTACCGACCTCGGAGTGGTTCTAAACGTGGTATATTACATCAAGGACGTGAAAACACCGGAAAATGACCGACCGATTTTATCGAGAATTTATACATTTATGCCTCGAGTTAAAGAGAAATGAATTTCTAACAGAAAATAACACCTTCGTTTCCATTAATTTATACCGACATACGGTTGACTGGATTCTTGAATTCCAGCCCGGAATTTTTCTGATTCCCGAATCTCGCAAAACTCACGTGGAAATCTATGGTCATTCCACATAATTCTGGATAATTACATTCTCGATAAAAATATTCAATAGAACGCCGGGAATTTTTAAACTCCAGAGGGCCGATTCCAATATGGCGGACAGCTGACGCCATGACGGTAGGATACACGGGCCCCGCAAATTCAAGCATTCTCTTCGCATTCTTTTGAAGGGAGCAAAAAGAAAACACAATTAGCATCTCGCAAAAATCACATGGAAATCTATGGTCATTCCACATAATTTCGGATAATTACATTCTCGATAAAAATATTCAATAGAACGCCGGGAATTTTTAAACTCCAGAGGGCCGACTCCAATTCCGCGGATTCCAATATGGCGGACAGCTGACGCCATGAAGGTAGGATACGCGGACCGTGTAAATTCGAACATTCCCTTCGCATTCTTTCGAAGGCAGCAAGAAGAAAAGAGAATTAGACTGCGGCCATATAGGCATGCAACCGATTGGCATAAATCCCGAGAATAAGCGAGAAAATACGAGAAATCGACCGTTCTCTCTTTCGGCTGTATAACCTCCGTGGTCGGATCGGCGCGCGAAGTCCACATACATTCTACGTTCATGGGGGGCGATTTCCCTAAAACGACGGGACCGGGACGCGAGCAAACGTGGCACTTGACACGCCGCGCCAATTTGATGCACTGCCTGGAATGTAATTCGACGCTCACAGGCCGGGTTATTAAATTCCCCCCGACGTTGCAAGAACATTACCTGGGAACTCCCGTCCGAGCCTGTTAATCGGGACGAAATGGAATTTCATTATAAGATAATTACGGGGCGATTAAACGAGCCCGAGGAATTCAATCGGGTGAGGAAACGCGAGGAACGTCTGCAGTCTTCGTTCCCTTCCGGTGGACTTTTTTCAGGAGAAACAAAATGGCGATCGAACGGTCGGAGCCAATCGCGAGGGCGACGCGACGAGAGCAGGCAGCGCGCTTGTTAAAAACTAATTACACTCGCGAAATGACCGAGGGGAAAAAGGAAGCATAGGTGTACGATGACGTTCCCGGGTAGAACGTCGCAGAGGCCGGTGATTAATTGCGGGACCGCCGAAAGAATCTGCCACGCGTAAACGCGGGGACGGCCGCCATTTTGTCCGCGACTTAAGGGAGGAATTACCCGGCGGGGGAAATGCCGGAACGATTAATGGAAATTAAGGGTGAACACTTGACGCTAATCACCCGACACGTAGATAGACATATGTATGCCACGCACGTTAATCTGACCGTGGGGCTAGAAAATACGAGAGAGGAGAAACAGGGGGCTATTTTCTCGTTCTCCCTGTTTCACGCAAAATGGCCGCGCGGTGCAGTATGACGACGCGCTATTTAACACGATAAAACAAAAGGGGGAGAACCAAAATAGTCCCTCTGTTCAATCCTCGTTTTATCCCCTGCCTTCGCGAGAATATCAAGGGAATATTCAAGTTCGTAGATTTCACATATCCTACGTTCGGCATTGAAAAAAAAAAGAATTCATTAGAACCAAAGAAACATTTCGTTAGTTCAAAGAATTTCACTCTAATAAGCTCAAATAAATTGTCACAATTCCGAAGAAACGTTGCATTCAATTTATTCCAGTTTGATTCGAATCATTTCTTGGTGGTATTAAAAAAAAATATATATATATACATTTCTCTCGTTCAATGAAATTTTTTTCTCTGCTCGGTCCTAACCTAACCTCTCTCATTTCTCGCCGCCCTCTGTAGGGCTGTGTAGAAATTCGGAGGCGCGGGATCTATTTCTTTTTTTTTTCTCTTCGTTTCTCTTTTTCTTTCGAGCAACTCAGTCGAATCCGCGGGTAGCCGGAGGGCGGAGGAAGAAAGAGAGGGAGCAATCGACATGACCGAAGGGGAGAGAAAGAGGGAGCGATGCGAAAAAGAGGAGCGAGGATTTCGCCCTGGTCCAGCATCGCCATGGCAACCGACTCTGAGCGTCCCCACCATCCGAGCTTTGCTTTCCAATGGTGGTAATAATGTATAAGTAGTTTCCAGTCTTCGATGCAGATCCTAGTATTCCCGGTGTATAAGCGGCGGGAATTACGGGCGAACAATGCGACGCGGCCTGGAATCCTGCGAAACAAGAGATCCTGGATTTAACTCCATCGTGGAGTTCGAGGACGCATGAAAAGAGAAAATGAAATACAGAAAATCCGCCGTTTCCGAGAACGCGTAAAAAGAAATAAATCACCAAGCTTGTACATTTTCACGGATACATAATTGTCGTGCGAGATTAAATTCTCTCATGTGTGTACTCACTCTTTACATGAAACAAAATGCCCCGCGACATCTGGCAAAAATATGGAATTTGACTTTTCTCCCAGCAGCAGGAAAATCCGGCAATTCCGAGAACACCTAAAAAGAGGGAATAAATTACAAAAAACTGTACATTCTCCCGGATAGATAATTATCAGGGAAATTACATTTTCAAATGAATGCACTCGTGTAACCTAACACGATAGAAAATGCACCGTAACGTATTACAGAGACATTGAATTTGATTATCTCTAGCGGTACGGAAATTCCATTGTTTTCGGCCCTTTCAACTTTTCAGGGAGGTAAAGAGACTCGAGCTGTTTTCGCGACTAGTCGAGGGAAGATATATGCATTTGGCGAGGGTTTGCCCACCGAAGGCGTTATTTGTGGCGATGACCATTTATCAATGTGGAATCCAGGGGAATTACGCCATTTGGCGGTTATCGGCGACCGGCGATAATTGGTCCCGAGTGAGATCCAATTTCTGGATCGGCTTTTCATTGTTTCCCTGGACTGTGGTAGCGTTGTCGCGAATCCGACGGACTAACTGTAGCAAGGATGAGAGTCGCGATCCGTACGACTGGAACGTCAAACGAATAAATATTCATGTTTCACTTGTTGCAGTAAGAGGCCAAAGCAGGCGGCGAAGTCGAAGGCATCTCCTGAGAAATGTCCTCAAGACATACCGAGGCCCGAAACATCCGGTCAATGAAGGAGAATAAACGTCTCTAGTGGATACGCGCCCGACAGTGAGTGCAATCGTCCGTCACCGTCAGTACGTGTGCACTGGAGACAAGTCCTTGCTGCAGTTAGTCCCTTCCGCTGCAATTAGATTCGCACCCACCAAGCACATTGTTTCAGCCACATAACGCCGAATTAACATGATACGTCAAAAGTAATTCCCTACATAGGCACAATATGGAATTACCGCCGTTCCACGCCGATACTTTGGTATCGTAATGCCAAAGAAAGCGCACACGGTATGTGCGCGTTACATTATTCGTTTCACAACGGTGTCAGACTTGACAGGAAATAATATATAAAAGTTAGGAATATGTAACGCGTATCTTAGAAAGATATATGGTAGAATTTATGCGGCTGTTGTGTAACTGTGTTTGGTGGGCACTAAGGTGGCTACACAAATCACGACAAAGCGTAGCGATAAGTCTCCGCAAACCCGATTTATCTCTTCGTCCAATTTATCTGCACAAACTGCGCAGTTGTATTATGTTTTAAACCTCTGGACAATGACGAATGGGAAATTTTACTCGGATCTCTGTCGGGAATTAAATATCTACGCAACTGAGATACTAATCGGTACGATTTATCGGTGCGATTTATCGGTGCGATTTATCGGTGCGATTTATCGGTACGATTTATCGGTGCGATTTATCGGTACGATTTATCGCTGCATGTGTAGTCAGCTTTCGTCGAGGAAGAACACGGATGATTGATCGGTCCTACATTCGTACGTCGTGGCTTCTCGAATTCCGGGGTTCCCCTTCTAAACCTGAAAAAGAGAGGCTATGAGAAAATACGTGACCAAGTTGTTACCCTCTTTTCACGTATTTTTGCGCGGACTCCTTCGGCAATTTCTTATCTCTCTCCGTGATACTAGCCTCGACCGACCTGTTGCGCCTGGTGGTCTCCTCGAAATAAGTGAAAAGAGGGCAGAACCCTGATATTAACTCCTCCAGGGTCGAGGAGTGATCTCCTTTTCGCCACTTATGGCGCTGCGAGGCTTACCTAACGGCCGAGGGGTGGAAAACGTGTCGGCTAGGGCTGGCGAAATTGATATTTTCTTCCCTCGGGCTCTCCCTCGTTCTCTCTGCAATGACTTCATGTATATAAATGACACATATATACATAGAGAGATTCATAACAGGGGAACAAATCCCAGAAAAGAGCGAGCTGAATATAATTTCTCGGCAGATTTTAACAATGCAACAAGGAAATTAATTACAACGCGCCCTTATTCTTATGGTTTATTTAAATGGAATCTGTACCTTGTCCAATGTCAATTGTCGATGTCGTAGGTTCTCCTTTTCCCCGAAGAAGGCTGGGCAAGAAGTGCAAGTAGTTCCTATTGGACCCTGACGCCATTTTGGTGGAGCAGGAATCGGTGTAAAGTTGTCGAGGTCGCCGGAACCAGAAGGTACGTTTCGACTAGAATTCATCGAGTCGCTATCCTAACGAAGAACTTTCATTTTGGATTATTAGACTTTACTTACAGGGTATTTAAGCGACTGTATAAATCTGCTTTGAATCGCAGGTACAGCACCCAGGCCAAAATGGTGGACACGGGTACTGGCACACTCTACATTATAGGTTCCTTCAAAAGAATGACAACGGATCCAGATTTCAAGGTGTCTATATGAGAAACACATATCGAAAATTAAATTAATTAAATGAATACAATTAATACTAAGACTAAACCTGATAAAACAGCATGTACCGATCGGTCCTTTACCTCGATTCGTTGGTCAACAGTTATACCTGACGTCCAACGTCTCGTCGAGCGACTTCAACATGGGCTACAGCATGACGGGCACCTTGGAGCGTGGCTGCAAGAAGACGAACAGCTTCCAGATGACGCATTTCGCGGTAATAAGGCGACGTGATTACGAGAAGGCCTATGAGAACTCCAATCCCACCTAGTGCCCGTCCATGCCCACGCTCTGTGGGGACTGCGAAAGCTGCACTTAAGGCGTAGCTTGAGTATTTTTACCGTGACAGGGTTCTCGAGCCTCGCCTTTGCGGAGAGGTGCAGGTCTCGTGAGAAAATTCGGTACCAGGGATGTTCTAAGCCGCTCCATCGAAGCCTCCTTGAGATGTGTCGATCACTGAACCGAGCAGTGTACCTGGAATTCGTCGAAAAGCTGGATTATCCCGGTTTTTAGATGTCTTTCAAATTTTTTATTTTTTTTCATAGGCTCGCGGGTCGTCTAGCGAGCGAACTACTTATGATTTAATTGCGGTACAAGCACTCGTGCGCGAACATAACCTCTGATAATCTCGAAGGGAGTTTACGAAGAGGTTATGGTGGTCCAGCGAGGCAGATTTCCAGGGGAAACCCTGAAGAGACCTTCGTAGTGGTCGACGGCGACGAGGGTGCATCTGGAGCGGCGTAATTTTAAGATTGTACCGCGCCAAAAGAGAGATTATAACGTCCGTAATAGTCTTTATTAATTTTAAGGGAAATCAATTGGCACGTTGACGGACCCTCGAGGAGGTTATCCGGAAATGCGCGCAGTGTAATACCTAAAAGTGAAGATAAGTTACATGGGTGTTAATGCCAACGAGTCCTTTGCCAAAGTACTAGAGTAAGTCTGCGACAATGATTTTTCAAAGTGTGAGTACATGTGGAAAAAAAGTGCGTCCTTTCTTTCGTACACGTTTTTGCGCGTATACATGCAGTGTTTCACGAGAGAACCAGATCTATATGAATATATTATATACACGAGTAATATAATTGTAATCCCGTGACGAGTCGTGAGGTCACAATTGCATTTCCTTCCGAGTCACCAACACCTAGGTGCGTGTTTTGTTGTAAGTAAGGTATTTCCAAAGATAATAGAGTACTCGACGTTTTCTCTCAAGTTCCATATAAATGTTTGATGGTTTTAATAGGTATTTTCAAGTGAAGGAATTGCTCAGACGTAGAATCTCGAGGCTAAGATATGGCTCGATACGCTGTCCCCTTTTTGTTTAGCCCGTTGGGCAAGTTAATCTAATTTATTTGTTGAATTGTTGTAGTCCTTAATGAGTATAAATTATTAGTCGGAGAATAGATGCCAATTAGAAGAGTTGCGTTACTTTTGGCTGGTCCAACGTTTCGGTTTCAATCCCTGTAGTTTGATCGAGTGGTAGACATTAATTACGCAACGCGTAGTTTGCCTCCGATCTATGTGCGTAAGCCGAATTGACACATAATGTTCACGGATTGTAGAGTACGATAAGTATATGAAGCAGGAGTTGTCAAAACATAGAGTGACGATGTTTTACATGATATTTATTTTTGCTAAGAACCAGGAATTCTGTCACGTCTATATGACTCGCCCTCGTCAAAATTGGGCGTTTATTTATTTGGCATATACTATGTATAGATAAGAGGTCCTCAAAATTAGGGAAGTACGTCTTATATTTAATAACTCTCCCATTGTAGCTTGTGACTGATTTTCTCACCGATGCTCTCGATATGATGATTCAAACTCTTGGCACGATAAGTTTACTAGCTGTAATCGACACTACGCTTCGTAGTGAGGAATTATTATGCTCGTGCGAAAATCTCTCTTTTGTAATCACTTAATAAGGTCACGAACGCTCGTACTACCTCAAAATAATGCGCTGACGTGACCACAATACATTATAATGCAAGTGAAATTACGCAGGAAATAATTTCGATGAACACCACCAAAGACAAGTTACATTAAAGAACAATAACGATGAAACAGTGTTAGAGGTATGATTACGTAGCAATTTCTTTTTCAGCAAAGTGAATTGACAGTCTTATGGGAATATTTTATACACAACTATACGCAACATGTATTACCGTGGTTAATTATTTGCCTGCGGAATTTCACATACCGCAAAGTGGGATTGTTTTAACGGTGGTAATCGTCGACAGAAAGTGCTAAAATATTTTTCTTTCGTCTGTGCTTAGGAACGTGCTCGTGCGAAGGAGATTTAAGCAAAGCATGGAAATCTAGTACAAAAAATAAGGGAAAACAAAAAAATTACAATCGCTGCATAAATTTCTGTAGGTTCGAGGCAGTCCTGCTTTGTGGTATCCTTCCTTTTACAATAAGTGTAATTAAATAGTAATATCGAATACTTCTTCTAAGGTATGTATTTCGTCACAGACGTACTGTCATGTTCAACGAACAATTCGATTTTTCGTCCATAGATGCACGGTGAGATAAAATATTTTTTTATATCATGCATCCCTGTGCATCGACGAAGAATTGCATTCACCTTGGAAAGCCGTCGTGGCATTTTTCCTCAATGGCATACTGCTAAGTACGGTTAAAAGTATTAGCAAACCGATTAATTTGCAACTTCACAGACTATCTCACATGAAACATTTTAAACGGTGAGAAACGCAGGCATTGTCGGAGCATGCTTTCGATTATAATCTACAAATAAGCACACCTTTAATATCTCGTTACGCTCTGTAATAGGGTTATGAAAAAATGGGGAAGAAAAGACATTATGCCGTCTCGAGGTGGAACACTCGCTTGATATAAATGTGCTTCACATTGTGCACCGAATTCTCCTCGTTTTAACCGGCCAATGCAACTTGAGAAAACCGTTTCTTTTCGACGTAGAGGTTAAACTGTAGGCTCAATGGCGACTTTAAAAGTGAGGTGCGAACTCGGGCCTTAAACGGTCAATTTTTGCTCAAGTATGTTAGAATTTCACGGCGAAGCTCAAGTTCGATGGTCGTACACTTTTCCTAAGATCGAAGACACGCTCAGAAAAGAGACGCATAACGACTACGGTCGTTGTTGGAAATGATTTCCACTGGTGCTACTTTTTCTAGGTTTTCTTATATTCTCAAGTCCATTATGCAAACGCAAACGAATTAAAGAGAACGATAATACCGAAAATACAGGGACGAAGGGGGGTGAGAAACGACGTAACATCTTTGATGTAAGGGAACGGTTTAGATTAAACAAAGCGAATGTACAAACGGTGTAACGATTTATTCTTCCTCTGCGTATCGTTTGAATGATTTTATCGGGGCTTTCGATTGGGAACTTTTTAACGAAGAAGCGAACACAAGGCAGGATAATAAATTAAATGTTTATTGGCACTTGCATGTTATACATAACAGTGGAAACCGCATCGAACTTTATGAACTAATTCTAATATATAGAATCTTATAAGTCGAGCTTGTCAATTCGAAACTCACAATTACTCGGAGGTCTGAACACAAGATTTTCGCCGTCTCCTTCGCGATTTCCCCCCAATAAATTCAATTCGTCGATATTTGTCGCATATCGCCTTGGTATCGGTTCACCTTCCGAAGCTTGGGTGGTTTCAACGGTGACATTTATTTTCTCCCCGTTAGAGGCTGGTCCTTTTTCGGAGGGTATAAGGTTTTCTAAAATGGATACGTTCGGTGCAGTTCGTGTTAACAGACATATTATTATTTACGAAGTATGTAAAATATAAATATTTAGATGTAAAAGATAATACGTACCAGTCTCTTCAGCAGTCCTTAGGATTTTGGGCGGTTCTCGCCGGGAAATCTCGACTTTGGCCGTTTTTATGCTTTCGTGCAAACTTTTGGCCGACACGCATCCAACACTTGGATAGTGAACACCGTGAACGGTTCTTACAAATTTATTAAGGTCCTCCGGTATGTTGAATCTTTTGAAGTATCGAGCTTCCTCGGGAATGTCGTCTGTCTCACAATAAGGTAATTGTATCGCGTAATACCTCTTGTTTCGTCGCGGATAATTTTCTTTGATTAATCTCAGGGCATGATTGTCCATGTTCCGATAAATTACTGGCACTGCAGCGTCACCTGTAAATTAGATTCCAAAATGACTGCACGATAGGCCTTCGAAAGGGCTGGCGATAATGACAGATTATTTATGAATTTTCTTTTCAGATGGGAAACATAATTACTTGGAGGTGGAGAAGTGGCTACTATCACCACGTCTGCTTTTTCAAAAGCTGAGTTGCACCAAAGACCGGGATCCTAAAATGGAGAAAATGGAACATGTCATGAAATTTATTCAACATTTCTAACGCATGGTGAGATATGACATGTTACCTCATTGGGGCTTTTTGGAATGTTTAATATGTCGATCATTGCATCGATATCACAAGCCTTTAAGTACCTCGATAGATCAGCCATTACATTTACGTGGGCCAAATGCGTCGGTGAATATACTAACAAACAATTCGTTTTGCGTCCTCTACTTCTTAACGTTCCTGAGTTGTAAATATGATCGGTTAAAATATTATCTTTCAACCTTTAATTCAATAAAAATGTAGAAGTACCTTTTTTAGTGAATAATTTATATGCGTGATACATTGCGTAACAAATCACAGGAGGTATCCAAATAATACTAATGATCATTATCAACAGACGACGGGATGGTCGACCTAAGATAATCAGTGGGGGAACGAAACGAAATGAAATTTCATGAGAAATGATTAAAGAACAATGATAAGAGACTGTAATGAAAATAATTACGCACTTATAAAAATCAACGGCGACGTAACGTTATTACAACCATATTCATTGCACGTGGAATGCATTGCTGCTACCTTAAAATAATAAATGCCTTCATCCACGGAAAACTCATGTAGAATATGAGAATCTGCTTCCTTGGGAGTGAGGATTGCAGTAGTAACACTGTCCGTGTCATTTTTTATTAACCATGCTTTATAGCTGGTAACGTTAAACTTTTCAGGTACTCGCTGTACGTATAATGAAAGCCCATCTGTATTCGATATGTCTATGTAAATAAATGGGGTATACGATTGAACGTCTGTCACCATCTCATCTGAAAGTTTATGAATGGGATCGTAGAGAAGAATACAGGTAATGTACCGGCTTGCATAGAAACGGGCTTAGTTTATGTAATCACTTACTTACAAACCTATGTATTGGTACATTAAATACCAATTTGCGACTGAACTCATAACATTTCCCAACCACCAAATACTCCAGTCTATAAGAGGCTCCTTCGAATGAATCATCGGAGAAAGGACACGATACGAACAATTCCGAAGGCCTTTGATGAGTAACGTTTCCATAAAGGTGTATATGTCGACACACCGACGTTCCCTCCGCATTGATATCTTGATATCTCGTTATCAATTCTGTCGACAAATTATGGTTAATGTTTCAAAGCAGTACCTATGACCCAACTGTTATATTAATAATGCATTCAAATTCCTGCTTACTTTGAAAATCGATATTGCTGACAGAGAGATTGAACGCAGTCGCCATACCTCCGAGCTGATCAAAGTATTTGATATACGCACTCAATCTAAACTCTGCTGCTGCCGATTTGTACAGCGGGTAATGACCCAGATGTTCGAAAGTCAGCTTTGAACATTCTAAAGACACATTTTATCTCATTAGAAAAGGAACGACGAAATGAAATCTATGCGTTCCTACCTTCTCCTCTCTGCACCGGAGTTAACAAACATTGTTTTTCAGGAACTGGATGTATGACGGTCTAGTGTAGAAAAAATCAAAATTGCCGATCAAACCGATTACCTAAATCTATCGCAGACTTATCTTCCATAAAAATGACTTATCCACTTAAATGTTATCTCGAGCAACTCACTTGATTTTGGCAAAACTCCGAGTAGCATTTCGAAGCATTGCTATTTTTCAGTAGGCAGCAGAGCAGTACAAGGAAAACGTACACATTTGACATATTGAGGTTAGGAAGAACGCGGAAACCAAGATCACATTAATTACACGCGGTTGGGAGGACGGCATATTCTCATCAGCGAGAGGTTTGGAGCGATATCACGCATTTGATCGGTATTACAATCACGAAATATCGATATCATCGCTTAGTAACCTATACATGTCACCAACAATCAAACAATACCATTGTTTACGAGCACTGCCACATAGAGTACGCTCGAGATAGAGATCCGACCACTGGGGTGATTTTAATGCCCACCTTTCGCCATCTGTCGGGAGCATCTCGAAACACGATTAACGTTCTCATAAATTCTCGATATTCTCGGTAACTTACGGTACGTTTCGCGATTACCTTCTTCGATTTTCTATCACCGGGAATTGTCGAACTGTACGAGTCATTAGTTCGCCCACTTCCCGAGGGATGGCGCCACCGCTCTCCTCTGGCGGTTCACCCTTTCCATAATTACAGATTTCAAGTTCGACGTCGACGGTAACGCAATAAATCGGCAATAAATCAACCGGCGTACATTTACCACCGTGTAGTTATGCAAAGCTACGTGACTTTGATCACTTTACGTTCCGAATTTCTGTGTCCCGTTTCAGAGACACGTCGGCGGCCTTCATTGATCAATGGTGCGAGCAGTCGGCGACGCCATAATACGCGAATCTGTATCAATAGCGATGCCACGCACGGCGGGGCTTGCCAGAGATACGCGTGCCCTATATATAGAGGCCATTGTGCCAGAATTAGCGTCAGTTCGCACCGGCTGTGCTTTTACGTTATGTAAGCCCGGAAGCGAGCGAGGGTTCGTTAGAGCGTCCATTGAGTTCGCGCAAACGTGACGTAGCCGCCAAAATAATGCGCGCTCGCGTGACTTCCGGGAAAGTAATACCTGGTAATTGCAACGTACATGCATCCGTAATCAGTCTTCGACGATAAAAGGTCAGATGCGAGGCCCGATACGTGCTTCGTGCGTCGATTCGTAAAGTCTACGTTTATAGGAAATTCAGCCGAACCGGAAACGCCTCCATTTAGCTGCAGCGCTATTTAACGATAAGCGCCCATTATGGCCTTTTATCTTTTCCACACCCCTTGTTCATGTTTCAGAATCCTATCTAGAAATATAATGGTAATTGTGGTTACACGGTTTAACCCCTAAACGGAAATAGGGACATTTTCAGTCAATGCCATCATATTAGAAATCTGCACTTTGCATACACGATCTAGCAATTATTTTTTATAAACAGTTTCTTGTATATTTATAAAAATTGGATTTCCATGGACTTTTCTTAGGGCCTCTATATTCACGTGGTCAAGTTTCAAATAATTACGTGCACCCAGTTCGGTGAAAAGTCTTAGAAACGATTTATTTTCCTTGGGCGCCACTTTCGTATCGCCTTAAGGTGAAGTGAAACGCCCTTCAAATCAGTCGATTCGAGTACAACACTTTTTTTTAAGGGTATTAGACCAAACTGTCCGAAACTTTGACACATCACTCCTGATCATCTAAGAATTGTCCTGACACTGATTCAAAATTTGGATTTTTTAACAAAATTTGTTAACTCAGCCCAGACCAGAATCAAAATGGCGTCGAGCTCTCATATTTCGATCGATATACAATTATCAAAGACTCCGATATGAGAATCGAAAGGGTCAGGACAATTTTACGAGAATTTAGAACACTCTGGTAATCGATAAACTCGCATTTGAACGGGATAAGGGCAAAAAAAGTGTTGTATGCGCTTCTATGCTAAAACGATGGTAATACGAGGTCTCGGAGTGAAAATTTAATTGACCTGGAAATCACAGATGGCGCAGGGGGTCCCTCTGCAGTCAATTAGGGCCCCAGAAAGCTTGAATCCAGAGGATTTCTGGAGTTTTACTTCGATTTCTTGATATTTATTATACGAAAACGACAGGTGTAGTATGCCATTTGGTACAATACTCAATATAATTCGACCCAGCTGTCAATATAAAAACGAATGTCGGCAACGTGGGCATTTAGAAGAATCTTCTTTATCGACGTTGATCAAGTTCCTCGACGTGTTTCACTTCACCTTAAGGATTAATTTAGCGCGTTTCCAGGCGGTCACCCATCCCGGGACCGGCCACGCCTAATGTTACTTAACTTCGGGATGGGACGAAAAGTGACATTTTCGACGTGGGTTAAGCGTTGACCAAATAACTCCATTTCCGTGTTCCGTTCTCCTGGATCCACTCTAGAAGAACGTTGCGCCATCTGGAAGTTCCGCCGAGGGCGAGAAAGAGGGCGCTGCATGGCCTCGAGTTATTTGCGTCCGGTCGTTAGACATATTTTTGCCATTCTCGAGACGGCAAATAATAACTTCCTGTTACCATCCTTCCCCTAGTTCTCGGCTTCCGGGGGATGAACGAGGACTGGCAAAAAGGGCGTTGAGTTACTGCTTCGGGAGTGAAATTCTGCACGCCGGTTCCAGCTATCGATATTATACAAGACAGCTAATAAAATCGGCATATGTGCCCATAACTATGAAAGTGGTCTAAGTCAAAATTAAAAAAAAAAATGAGTTTATCAGTTATTCCACGCCATATTATTTCAAACAAAATTAATTCAATGTAATTTCGAAAGAAAAAATATATGACTTAGACCACTTTCATAATTATGGGCACATATCATAAATATAGAATCCAGAAGTGCAAACTCGATTTTACCTTTACTCCATCGAGTACTGGTTTTAATATTTCGATAATGGTCTTCGTTTTGCAAAGAGTACACGGTCTCGCAAGTATGATTTTCCACATCGCGGGGTAGGAGTTTCTTAACTAATTCCCTTGTCCATCTCGAGGAACGAGGTCGAAAGACGTCTCTTGTCCGTTTAAAGTTTAAACTTCACGGTGGGAAACCAATCTCCCGACGTCCGGCCGGCCAACTTTTTCCTCCTCGTTTTTCTCCCTTGCCGGCTCCTTCCTACCCGAAACAACCGTGGAACTTTTCCTATACGACTTCCTGAAGAACGGTCGCCCAACCTGCCGTGAAGGAAGTAGTTTAGCTCGCGAAAAAGCTCCTATTACGTAACCCTCTGCATAGAACTCTTCCTTTCGCCCTTGGCGCAGTCGCGGCTGCGCACCGATTCGTCATCACTCCGAGACAAAAAATTTCACTGAGCCAAAGAAATATATCTGTGATCCGTATTAAAGAAATATTCCGTTAATTCAAAGAATAATTATTTCACGGGAATATATTTACAATGCAAGGGTGAAAATTCAGGGTCCATAGGTGTCGATTCGGCGGATGCAAGATCGGCCACGGATTCGAGATTCGAAGATCGACCGTCGCCACGTAGGGCGCATGCGCGCCGCGCTCGACCAATCAGCGCGCGGCTCCGGGAGAACGGAGCGGCGCGGCTGCGCGGTGGGGGAAGTGCGCAGCGCCGGCTGCTGGTCGCGTCGCGAGCCGCGCAGCCGGCAGTCCGCGCCGAGTCGCTCCGCGGTACGCGTCGGGTCGCCGCTCTCGCGTTCGGTAACCTCCTCGAGGTTGAGGCGTGGATTCGCGCGATCGGCCGGTTCCGGAGTCGCGAGTGCGTCGAGTAGGAGTGTCGTGCCTGCCCTGGTCGTCGGGTCGCCATCGACGCCTTCGAAGGGAGACGGGAGGAGAGCGTCGCGGCGCGCCGTGAGAAAGGTCAGTACTGGCTCGGCGCCGGATGGCGTTGCGCACCCTGCTCGCCAGGTCCTTCGTCTTCTGGGAGGTTCTCTCCGGCGACGTTTTGTCGTCCCCGACACGCCGACTGCCGGTTAAATTTACTTTCCCATTCTCTTCAGCCCCAAGGTCGGACACTTGACAGTAAGCACTCTACGCGGAACGGTCGAGTCACGGGAATTCTCCTTGGGCTCTTTCTAAGAGCGGGTGATACTGCAGAGATTTTATTTTTATTCCTCGCCCCCCAGGTATCGATATCCCGATGGGACGACCCAGTCATAAATATTTTGGTCTCCCGCAAGCAGGTGTTGCCGCACAATTTTACCTTCCACGTCCTCGGGTGCTAATGAGGTGATAGGGCGAGTGAGAGGGATTTTAAAAAACCGGCAAACAAAACTGTTCCGTGGTAATTAAAGCGATAAGTGGTCCCTAAATAAATCCGTCCTCGGTGGGTTAACTTTAACAGTCTATGACTCGGTGAATATTAATTTTAGGAAGACATGGTGAAGCTTACTTTCGATTTCAAACATCCCTAACTCCCTGATGAGCATCGGGAAAATCGATGTCGCGGATGAGACGAGAGATAGAACGCGAGGAAAAGAAGCGTGGGAAGGGAATGGAGGAGAAAAGGGGTGGCGCTCTTGAAAGGCGACGTGACGTAAGTCGTCTTTGAGATAGAGAGAGGGAGAAAGAATAACCGGAGCACGTAAGGGTGAAGGTAAACATTACGCAACGGTGGAGCCCGAGATTGCGGGAGAAGACAAAATGGCGGGTTAAGGCCAACGGCGAGACAATCGGTCCCTCGTGAGGATGGGAAAATCGTCGGGGCCAATTCCCGGGATAATTCGGACGAACCGATTCGCGAGCTTCGGTACCATAATCAGCGCAATTAACGTCCAATTAACGCGGAAGAGCGCGAGTCTCGACGGATCTCGACGCGCTCGTTAATCCCCACTATTGAATTAACGAAACCGACAAGATCGCGCGGACGTCCGTTATACGACCCGGGTATCAACGGAGAGGATCCGTGTGGTATACGGTTCGTCTTGTTTTATTAAAATTGATAGGCGAAAGAAGTAAATCTAAATCACATTTTTGTGGTAAAGGAGATTAATAAATTCTGTTAATTACTTTGGATTATTCTTGTTTTATTAAAATTGATAGGCGAAAGAATTAAATCTAAATCACATATTTGTGGTAATGGAGATTAATAAATTCTGTTAATTACTTTGGATTATTCTTGTTTTATTAAAATTGATAGGCGAAAGAATTAAATCTAAATCACATTTTTGTGGTAATGGAGATTAATAAATTCTGTTAATTACTTTGGATTATTCTGTGGCGCCGTTAAATGTCGTTAAATGTCGTTAAATGTCGTTAAATGTCGTTAAATGTCGTTAAATGTCGTTAAATATCGTTAAACGACGGAAAGGGTTGAAGACCGATATGGACCCCGAATAGAAAGATGCTCACCGTTCCGCAGTAGTTGCGTTTTCTTCGACGGTCTCTCGCGAGACCTCGTTTAATCGATCGCCGATGTGTCGATGATTAATCGGCCACGGAGTATCAATATTTATCCAACTCGTCGCAGTTGCGGACTCTTTGCCGGTTCCGTCGTTTCCCCCGGAACATGTGCGAGCCCGATGAGTAACGGCCCGTTTGCATCCCACTGTCCGTTGACGCGCCGTAAATAACGGCCGTTGCGAGTGGAAAAGAAAATGTGGATTGCACGGAGAGCTCGCATTCTCGTTGCGGTTTTCTCAACGCTAATCATGGCGTCGAATTTTCGGACCTGGGTCATACAGGCCAAACTGCACATTCGAGATAATTCCAGCGGCGTTGTATTTTATCTTACTTTAATTTCTCACCCTCGAATATAAACGCGAATTTTATTTTTTTGTCAAGACAATGTTATAGTGTCTTTTACATACAAAAAAAATTGATTTTCCTTGGCCGTTTTTTTTTTAATTTATGCGTTAAGGGGTTAAGCCGACCCGTTTCGAGTCTATCCTCGTCGTATAGACCCTCGGTGGTGCATCTACTGCACATAGGGTACTTGGCTAATACATGACGGTCGCAGGTGAAAATCAGAAATATGAATTGGATAATGCAACGGCACCTCGTCGTTTAGAAGGCTAATCATGGCGTCGAAATTTCAGACCTGGGTCATTCAGCTTGCGTTTATTTTAATCCGACTCGTATAGAATCTCGCACGGAACTCGTCGCGCCCATTAAACACGGCGAGGGTAAAAAAAAAAAAGATGTGCCCACTTATATATGGGCAAGATAACGTCATGTAAATTTTCTGTTACGGGAAATATCTCGACTCGCATCGCGCACCGCTCGTATATCTCGAGACAATGTCTCGTTACCGTACAAGATGGCGACGTCACGTTTAACCACTTACTTATTAAGTCATATATTCCCCAGTTTGGTAAGAGTCTTCGTGAATCGTATGGCTCGGTTGTTATTAAAATGATGAATTTCACCGTCCCGAATGACGAATTCATGTCAGGCAAAATAATTATCCTTGGAGTCGAGGAAATATATTTCATCGAACGAAACGAAATGTTTCATCGAAAAGTACCAAGGTGATATTTTCTTAATTCAAAAAATGGTTATTTAATTGAAACGCGAAAAAGAAATTGGTTGAAACGTATACGAATAATTATCCTTGGGGTCGATGAAATATATTTCATCGAACGAAACGAAATGTTTCATCGAAAAATGCCAAGGAGATATTTTCTTAATTCGAAAAATGGTTATTTCATTGAAACGCGAAAAAGAAATTGGTTGAAACGTATACGAATAATTATCCTTGAGGTCGACGAAATATATTTTATCGAACGAAAAAAAATGTTTCAAATAATGTGTCGGCCCCGGGCATATTCGACGGCGTGACGATTGTCGGGGATAAAGAAGGGAAAGAAGAATGGCGGAACGAGTCGGCACCCTCGACATTTGGGGACGGCTAATTACCTTAAGGGGGTCGAACTTTCGGACGGTATATGGGGTATCGCGCCATCGGCCTTAGGGGGTTTAATTGACCGTGTGGAAGTACCCGTGAAAGTTGCTCCGGAATATACATATTTATTTATATTCGCCGAGGCGGTCGATGGCGAAACTCGATTCGACCTCGCGGATGAAAAATCACCGGGATTTATCGGCTACATGTGCACAGTCGCCTTAATGGACGTTAGGGGTGGTGCCGATTTTCCGCCGTGATGGGAAATACAGGTAATTTTCCCGGAAAATGGAGAGATCTCGAGTTTCGATTAAAAGCCGCCGGATAAAAAATGGCCGCTCGTCCCAGGGGGCTGAATTATCCCTCCCGATGATTTACGAACGGCTTCGGATATCGGGAAGGGATATATTCCAGATCGATCGCGTCATTCTTTATTCCGCTTTTCCCGCTAATGAAAAAGGGTGGAGGGGTTAGTCGGGGATGTTCGATTGCGGAAGTCGTCGGGCACTTTATTCCTGGCCGCGCCCTACTTTCCGCTCCACGTCGTCGTCGCCGTCGACGCTCGATAGGGCCGACGTCGATGGTCCTGGGGAAGAATGGAAGGAATTAAGCCCGGAGCCGTCTCGGGGACCGGGGACTTTCGAGCTGCACCCCCCTTCAGCCGAGGTGCACCCCCCTTAAGCCGAGGTGCACCCCCTCGAAGCACTCGGGTGCACTCTCTCGACACAAGGGAGGCGCACTTTTAATCTCTATCTCCCTCTCTACCTTTCTTCGCGATCCTGGGGCCGTTTAACGGATCCGGGGCCACGTTTAACCCTGTATCGCGTGATACAAAAGACGAACCGGATATTTATCGTTACGTCAAAACAGCTCGAGAAACCGAAAAAATGACATGGGTCCTCGTTTATCGATATTTTTTTTTTTTTGTTAAAAATACCTGGATCCTCGTTTATCGAAGTTTTTTATTCGGTTAAAAATACCTGGATCCTCGTTTAACGAATTTTCCGTTAAAAATACCTGGATCCTCGTTTAACGGTTATTTTGTTAAAGATACATGGATCCTCGTTTAACGAATATTTTGTTAAAGATACGTGGATCCTCGTTTATCGAAGTTTTTTTATTCGGTTAAAAATACCTGGATCCTCGTTTAACGAATATTTTGTCAAAGATACATGGATCCTCGTTTATCGGTCTTTTTTTTTTTTATTAAAAATACGTGGATCCTCGTTTAACGAATCTTTCTTTAAAAAATACCTGGTTCCTCGTTTAACGGTTATTTTGTTAAAGATACATGGATCCTCGTTTATCGACTTTTTTTATTGTTAAAAATACGTGGATCCTCGTTTAACGAATCTTTCTTTAAAAATACCTGGTTCCTCGTTTAACGAATCTTTCTTTAAAAATACCTGGATCCCCGTTTAACGAATATTTTGTTAAAGATACATGAATCCTCGTTTATCGAAGTTTTTTTTTTTGTTAAAAATACGTGGATCCTCGTTTAACGAATCTTTCTTTAAAAATACCTGGATCCTCGTTTAACGAATCTTTTGTTAAAGATACATGGACCCTCGTTTATCGACTTTTTTTTTTTTTGTTAAAAATACGTGGATCCTCTAACAAATTTTCCGTTAAAAATGTATCCGGGTCCCCGTTTAACGAATCTCCCGTTAAACGGCTCGTGAGGCATTTCGGGCTCGCCGAAAGAGGTCGGGTCCCGGCATGGCATCCGCGCAATAATGCACGGCGCGTACCCATTGCGCCGCGCACGGTGGCCGGGCAAACACTGGCCACCCCGAGTACTCGTCGGTGCGCGAAAGTGCGAGCAATTACCCGAGCTCAAAGCCCGCCTGGGAATTACGACGTCAGAATTGTTCCTACGTGGGCGCGCCGTTGCGGCCTTTCGGACGATATCGTATCTCTTCCGCCGCGGAACCGCCGCGGTTCCCTCCTACCGCTCAAACGAATCCGTTGCAACTGCAACGGATTTCCTAGGCAAGGGTTAAAATAACGCCAGGCC